ATTGACATAACTTTCACATATTTGATAATAAAACAATTTTTTACCGGATTGAAGTTATGTATTTACAATTATTTTTCATAATTTTTAATTTAACCGACGTTTCGCGTGCTTTACGGCGTGCGTGGTCACGGTGACTGAAGACAAAAGGTGTTAAATGTCAAAAAGTGTCACAGCTGTAGATAAAGTTGTATTATCTGTATTTGTTTCCCCGGAGTTGGTATCGACTAAAAGATGGTTTTATTATCAAATATAACAACATTGTTATACTGTATTTATTTTATAAGATAACCAAATTGCTATTTTACGAAAATCTAATCCAAAACCCAGCTTAACCAAACATAAGCCCTAGAAACACGGACGTAATAAATAATTCAATAAAATAATCCCATGGAAAACTCAGGAACTTTAGTTTTAAATGTCGTTCCCGTTTGTAAAGTTTTTAAATTCAATTGCGAAGCGTGTCCCAGCGAGATGTCAGATAGACCTGTCCAAATGCAACTCCGGGCAATGTTGAGAAAATTAAATTATAGATAGGTACGTAGGATAATATCTAATATTATAAAGATATGGTTTCTGAGCTTGTTATTTAAAATTATTAAACAAATTTTGAATTGCACTGGAAGAAAATTATTAAGTGGTGAAGTATTGTTCACATTTTTTAACACAAATATGTTTTTTTCTAGTCTTTCGGTTTTGGTATAAGGGCACGTGTATATGCGAGTCCCGTTACAAATGGTTTATACATTTCTGCGTCACTAATTTTCAAGCAAGGCAAGGTTTAAAACTATTTGAATATATAGAATTTAGGTTTACAGTTAGAACTTTATGTATTACGTAGTTACTAAGCTAGAATATTTTTTTAGAAATGAATCATAAAATAAGTAGTTAGGAATGTAATCTTTGTTTTTAATTTATGTTATTATGATTAATTACTTAAAATATCACATGGTACATGGTGTAATGGTTGCAGCTCCTAATACAAACATTTTGTAAAACAAAAAAAATGGCGATTAAAAAGAGTGGCGGAGAGTTTATTGCCAGTTCTTCTCTCCCGTTATACGCCCTTGATTTAAGAACTGGCAGTAAATGTAAATTAGAAGCATAAAAATGTATTTCTTTACTGACGAGTCGTAAGTGTACATTATGTTACCTATGTGATTAAATGATTTTTTTACTTTACTTTACTTTAATAAGAAAAACTTTGACTGAATAATTGAGGAAACGTTCATAAATAATCCTTATTTTTCAAGATAACCAATGCAGCCCTTTTATTTACTTATTTAGTACTCCTACAGCTAACTTATATAGTATATAAAAAAAATATTATACTAAAAATATAGCTATAAATATTATATACAATGTTATACACAATATATACAAAAAGGACAAACATTTACGATATTTAGGAAAGAAAGAAATCAATAAAAATAGATTGAATACATTTAACTGAATATTTATATTTGAATAATATTTGAATGTATGAAAGTGTAACAGCCTAGCATATGCTACTTTACTAAGGTACTTGGCAAGTAAAAAATACTAAATAAGTGCCAAATACAGGTGAAAAATATTGTTACTAAAAAATATGTCTTCGATAAAAGAATCGCTCTCAATGATTTCCCAGCTGACTCTATTCAGAACTCGACAATATTTTCAATAGCCTTTGATGAGGTTGCAATTGAATTCTGGAATGAGGTACTTATGTGGTTTTTAAAATGTGAAGTAAAAAGACAAACCGAAGTATTGTGATATAAGATGTTTTTATTATCATTGCGTAATACAATTTTGATGATCTGTTTCTTAAAACCAACTTATGTAGATTAAAAATCTTAACATGGCATATAACCCGGATGTCCAGAGTTAGAATTCCAGTTTATTCGGCTTGATAGGCACACAAAACAAACTTGCATTTAGAATAATTTAGATTGATTGACGGCATGAAGACAGAAAAGATGTTAAACACATATTTTGTGGTGCCACAACCCTTGGAATCTGTATCAATTTCGTGGTAAAATTTTTTTTTCAGAATAGGCTAGTTGGAGATCAGTCTTCTGTGCCTGACACACACCGTCTATTGTTTTTGAGTCTAAAGCATATGTCGGTTTCCTCACGATTACGACTGAGTCTTAAATGCGTACATAAAAATAAAAGTCCATTGAAGCACAGCCAAGGTTGGAACACAGGCAAATCCTACGCTCAATCCACTGCACTTTGCTCACAAGTACTCTTTTGTCCTCTTTCCGTCAAATTGTATTTACGCTATAAAGAAAAGAGACAGGACTTTTTAAAGTAGTGTAATTGAACTGATTTTTTCGTGAATAAGGGATTTTTTTTAAATCATCAATTAAAACACTTTTTCCCTCTTCTGGCTCTCGTCGCGCGATGACCGTTGTTAATCAGAAATAAATACGTAGTTATTGTTATGACAAAACTCAAATACTATAAAGAATGTTGTCGCAAACATCAGCTCGTATCCAATTTATATTCACTACTAAGTTAAACATACAGCAAAAGTAATTAGACGCGGAGTACAAGTTAGTCATAACTCCTAAGTAACAATTTGCAAGCAAGTTATCGGTAGTGAGACACGCGCACTTTATGCGTTTAGTATGCAAATAACTAATACATTAGCTACTTCAAATAGAGGCACAGTAAACTTGTGTGTCTAAGTTTTAGCTTAGACTTTGGCGCTTTATGTGTTCTAGTCTGAGACCAAACAGTACGAGTCCAAAGTAGTTTTATTGTATAATTGCATTCATAGGTCATACCCTAGGCCACGTTTCTAGCTATTCGGTGAAGCTATCCGTAAAAACTTATTTATTTATATTATAACGCCTTTTTCCCACGGCAGGCCACCGCCACCAACCACGGATCTACTGTCCTGACATACCTCTCCGCGCTTCATCCATTTTCATGACTTTACATGCATGCTCGGCGATTATGGGTATTTTTAACTTGTCCCTTCTCTAGTACCTCCTGGATTTGGTCCAGGTATGTACGACAAGCCCTACACAACCTGATATCACCATCCACGGTTGCCTTGTATATTCTATTAAAAGTTTAATGTATACATGGTAAAGTAGATCTATTCTTTAGTTATATAGTAAGTTAGTTATATAATTTTCTATTGATGCGACTGAGACGAATAATAGACATATACATATGATTATTTATTAAAACTTCTTACACTGTAATGTTCTACCTTATTAATAAACGTCAAATCAGTCTCATTGCAATTTGCACAGTGTTAACTAAAGTGCTCGTCTATCTCTTTTCATCACAGCGTAGATCTATATTAACAGAAAGAGACAAAAGACCTAGTACTTAGTACTACTGCTGATCTGTCTCAGTACTTAACATTAAAAGAAACACTCAATATAAAATATAACTTTAAATCACAGCGGTATATAAATTAAACCCTCATTCATAGTAACAATAAATTGTAAACGTTATAAAAACAATGGAACACTGAATCAAATTAAAAATCCATAATTCTAAACTAAAACGATCCAAAAATGTGTACGGAATTGTTCAACCAATATTTGGCAATCAGAACAACACATAAATCAAGCGATTGCAGTACATAGTCGGTAAATAACATAACGTAGTTTTTTGTACTACAGCAAAACAAGTTCACCATATTCTCGTTCATTTAACGGCAAAAAAAAATATATTACATTAAATTCTATTATTAGGTTCTATCGTCTATGGTCCAAGGCCTAGGTATTAAAAGTATGAATACTTCAGGCCCTGTCGTGGAATTAATGAATCAGATAAAAATAAAACATTCCCTATTGGTAATTAATTTCGAGCCACGATTTAAGTACACCCTAGGCGCCCTCTACCCACAACACACGATAACTATCGCGCCCAATATATCGCGGTTATTGTATAAGGTTTCCCGTTTTTTCGGTTATCGTATATATCTAAACTGTTGGTAGAAATACAATAATTATAATATGAAGTTTCGTAGAAGTGATTCTTGGTATGTTAAACTATATAAAAACTATGTAATGTATCGAAATGGGTGTACGGAGGTCCGTACGGTTCTCTTGCCATAAGACCTGTATGTCGATTAAGGGCGTGCTCAGAATCGGTATGCGTTCATTACCCTTTAGGGTTGACGAATTAATGTGAACAAGAAATTTTGTTTAAGTATGATACAAGTCATGTATTTATTAGGACATCACTGTAGAAGAACCGCAAAGAATTATACTTAAATCGAGCAGTATCAAGAAATGAATAAGTAGTAGTCAAATTTGTGTTACAAGAAAGTTTTACTTCTTTACATTTAAATTCTCTCATTTCGTAATATACGAAACTAGTACATTTCGAATCCTCATAATTAGTCGCTTTAAAGTACAGCTAAACATTCAAATGATTCTCGAATTAGGACAAGTTGAATAGTCTGAAAATTCTCGTATATTTTATCTGAGTTGACGGCCCTATACGCTCCCTATTCATTATACCCGGCTGAATAACTAATGGCGTGCGTCTTAACGCGCCTTCAGAGCAGTTATTTTCAATGAAGTCAGCCCTTGTTATACTCGTTTCATAAACTTGTGTGGGAGAAATTGCTCATTTACTCGACTCACGTTGTCAACCCTATCGATGGCACAAAAATAGGGCACTGCAATTGCAATTGTTTTGTCCTTATTATATTTTATAGGCTGCTTAGTTTAGTTTTAAATTTTAATACTATGGACACTAAGTCAAATAATTATATAATATTTTGTCTGTATTCGGTATTCTCCGAATAATAAACTTAATTATTGTAGATATTAATATTTGACGACCAATTATTTTAAAACCAAGATAACACGTATACTAAATTGTTTAATTTTAAATACGTAGATTTGATATAAATCTCTACAATTTTTACAGTATTTTCCTTAATATAAATCTCTACAATTTTTACAGTATTTTCCTTAATGAAGCTTGTAAATAAAATTATTATCGAACACGTGACGTAAAGCGTAATTTAGGGTATTTATTTACAGTACTCGGGCATCGGTATGTCGGGCGGTTGCGGCGCGGCCGGCACGCGCGTGCCTACCGCCGCGTCTCCGGCCAATACTGCATCTAGTTCCTCGTCGAACTCAGCAGGGGGCACCCGCTCCACAAGCCTCAGCACCGCCCCACCTCCACCAGCTTCCTCCACGTCGACCACGGGAGCTTCGGGGGAGCAACTAAGCCGTACTAATCTCTATATACGAGGACTCAATCAAAACACCACGGATAAGGACCTCGTACAAATGTGCCAAATGTAAGTGTTCAAGCTCAATTATATTTAATTGTAAAATAGATGCGTGGCTGGCCTTTTATATTTTGTGTATAGACCAAAACAAAAGATAATATAGAACCATATAGTACACTAGTGTTGCCTCAATACGCACAACACAAAAAGTATTAGGTCCAATAATTTTATTGGGGTCAGACTTTGGTAAAACATTAGTACGAGTATGTAAGTATTTACGTAATTTCATAGGATGAATACGTACGTAAGTTCCTATTAAATATTATTTTCATTTCAGGTATGGCAACATAATTTCGACTAAAGCTATATTGGATAAAAATACAAATAAATGTAAAGGTAAACAGAATTCATTAAAATATTACACAATCATAAATCTAAACTTCTATATACGTATGTATGTATTATATACAAAATCTACACTTCTAGTATTAAACTGAATTATACAATTATTTTCTAGAACATACCCTCATTAAACTAAACCATGCGGTGAGAACTTTTTCTATATGCACGAGCCTAGTTCCATATCATTTGACATTTAGTATCATGTCACATCTTTTTTACGCACATACATGTTCCATAATACTTTGTGCATGTTTCCGTTATTATTTCGTCATGTAGTCGTATCATATTATCCATTTTTATTTTCACAGGTTACGGTTTTGTAGATTTTGAGACGATCGCGTCGGCGGAAGCGGCTGTTAAGGGATTACAGGCGAAAGGTGTCCAAGCCCAGATGGCTAAAGTGGGTATCTGGTTCCTGCGTAGACTGAACCGTGTACGTTGTGCATGCAAGTAATACTATTATGACTAACCGCCTGCTCCTTTCCTCAAACTTCCCGACCCTTCGGGACCTCTACATCAAGCATGAGCACTTGTGGCTAGGCCTCACAGGTATATGACTTGTGAGGACAAGCTGCAATTGCCTCTGTTCTTCGGATTCGAAGTCGTAACTCATAAGTCACTATTAACTATTTAATTATTTTTTAAAATCAAGCCGTGGCCTATCCGATCCATACCTTCCTTCTACCTTTTACTATAGCTTTAGTATTTATTGTGATAAAGTGCTATTTAAGCCACCTCAGGAACTCATGCTAGATTTACTAAATTGTGCCTTTGGATATAGATAAAATTCTCTAGTTTTATAGTAATTGAAGGCGCCAATATTAAACGAAGTATGTATTTGACAGTTCATTTTTATCAACCCGATAAATTGGTGTAACAGTGACTTAATTTTGTAAGTATTACGATATTTAAGCAAAAAACGCTTCCTCTACTGACTTCAGACATTTCATAACTCTTGTGGCTTTAGCGTAACAATTTCGCTATTGGGCAATGGGTTTCTATGCTTTCGATATTAATAGTGTATGCGACTCTAACTAGCTTCATAACCTATGCTGATGTATATACCATTTAACATAAGGTACTAACAAGAATGTATAATAGATACAGTCTGCTGAAAACGTCAATGTTGGCTTTCGCGTCTAGTAATTGCGGGCTTCCAGCTAATCAATATTAAATTAAAACGTTCTTTAGTAATATTTCTTGATTCATTTTTCAATGGATTTTAAATTTCTAAACTTGTATGTGAAATAACTGTTTATCTTATATCGTATTGGCGATAAATGAAAAGTTGCTTGAACGGTTTCCCTTGGGGTTTTCAGCAACAAGAGCAGGATCCGACCAACTTGTACATGGCCAATCTACCGCCGCACTTCAAGGAGAATGATGTGGACCAACTGTTGGCCAAGTTTGGACAAGTGGTCTCGACGAGAATTCTACGCGACACTCATGGACACAGCAAGGGTGTTGGTTTCGCAAGGATGGAGTCTAGGGAAAAATGCGAACAGATTATTCAAGTAAGAACGATGCTATTAGAAAAATAAATACTTACAGTAAACTTTTAACAAAACGATGCAATGCTGTTGGAATGGGTTTAAAAAGATAAAAAGGCAAATTACTAGATTAGATTATCATTACACACGCATTACATCGTCACAAGCGAAGGCCAAAAAAGGTAGAATAACAAATACACAGAAAATAAAGAAATACTATTTTAACTTTAAATCCTATGACTAGATGGCGCTACGTACACCATTTTTCCAAATAATAAGAAATATTATGATTATAAGATACATACAATAGACTAACTAAATTATTTACAATCTAAACCTACATAATAATAATAATTTAAAAATAAAAATAAATGTAAAAAATTTTGGTTCCTGTGGCTGTGTACTTTTAAGGCAGCATTTCCTCGCTGTACTGCGATACTTATTCGTTGAACGAGGAAAGCATCAACTGTGGATGTGGTCTAATGGTAAATCTTTAACTAGCCCCAGTGCACTTGAACCCCACGACCCAAGAGTCCTACTCTAAAGAGAACGAAATCATAGTTAGAGTAAAGAGTCGTGAACAACTTTATACGAAAAAGCAGTACAGCGCAGTAATAAAAGTACATTATTTTTTTTAAATAATTTTGTTTTTGATAAAATAATTGAAAATATCCTATAATTTCAATTTATGCCTACTCTACTCTATATATTATTAGAAATCCAAGGATATTATTAAGACTATAAAAATTAAGGATATTTTTACGAAATCCAATTTTGACTAATAATTCTTACCAAGGCTACACAATCTTACTCATACTTGGCTGTTTTCCAAAGACTGTTCCTAAATCTTTAAGCTGAATTTATGTTCTTTGTTACATACCATAGAGAAATACACGTTATTCTTGTTGAGACAATCTTAACGTAGGCATCTTGTTTTGTACATTTTATATACTGATAACTTCGAATGAAATAACTGTTTTTATATCGACCCGTAGTAATGGGTAATTCAGAGTCGAGACTTAACGCAAAATATGGCTTCCGTTTGTTAAAACCAACACAGTTCTACATGAGTGAGTCAACCTTAGCGCTAATTTTCGGTAAAGAACAATTGTTTCGGATTGGTAACAATAGTTACTTGAGATTTTCTCTATATATTGCTTTTTGATTTCGTATTACAGATATTTGAAAATTCAAAATCTCTTATATACGGAAGCGTCTTTCAAAAGTCACCTTAAATATAAATATTAACAAATTTCAGATGTTCAATGGAAACCCAATACCGGGAGCCAAGGAACCGCTACTGGTGAAGTTTGCCGATGGCGGAAACAAGAAGAAGACATCGTATAACAAGCAGAACGAAAATGGCCGAGGATGGAGGGATAACACTGATTCCATACAGGTAAATAAATTTAAACGAATTAAAGGCCGACTTATCAACAAACTATGTAATTTTTTTTTGAACCTATGTCAAATTGGTTCGGAAATTCTTCAGTGGATAGTTGGATTATTACATTAAAATTACATTTATTAAATAAATAAATTTATATTTGAGTAATTTATTAATTTTGAAAGTCGGTTCAAATTGTAACCAATGCATTTAAATATAGGACGGCTTGATAACTGTCAGCGCAACCTTTTAGCCTCTTGTTACTGACGTAAAGTGTATTAACGAATTGTAGCGATTTCAATGATCACTGGTGAGTCGATCATTAAAAGCTACTTATTAATTAAACATATAAATGAACAATAAATCTAATAGCTAAACTTTTTGCTTTGTTAATTCAGACCTTAATCGGGAATTAAAATTTTGTAGCTGCCATTTTTAAGAAAAATAGTTGTTAATCTATTTAAAAAAATGCGAATCTCAAAGGTCGTGTATTCAAATCACGGCTCTACTCCAACGGATGTGCGCAATTGATTTGTTCCTACGGTAAATGTCGTGTTGCAAACCGGCATGTTTCAAACCCAAAAATCTACAACATGCGTCAGGCACTTGTCTATAAAAAGAAAAATGATCAAAGAAAGCATGCAATCTGCGGCCAAGTCCCTTATCCCGTCACTTACTGTGAGAAAATACACATATATAAATTATTTTCATAAAGGAAGCATGCATGATTTTGGACGAGAATCAAATTCTCTTTGTTGTATGAAGTATTTTAACAAAGAATTTATGTGAAGATTATACATGGTTATTTTTCAATGCACATCAAAGAAAGAAAAGGAAAGATTGCTTATTTTATTGAAACATTGTCCAGCATTACTACAATTGGTACTTCATTATCTCTTGTCTTAAAATGGTCTAGGATTGTAATCTATTTGAAATTGCAACAATACATTATAGCTTATTTGATACTTTTAGAAATCTTTTGAAAAATGAGAGACATTTTCCTCAACAGTATTATTAGAAAGTTAGCCCTTTTAACAGCGTTCGTAGGCGTAAAGTTATTTTCATATATTGGGATTTTGTGGTAACAGAACTAAAATAACGAACAAAGGTTAGTTTTATTGCTCGAATATATCATTAGTGGACTTTTATTATTCCGAGCTTAAAAATCCTGTAATGCAGTACCCAAAGCGTAACATCCATAACATTAACGCAGTTATACTTACAGCAGGCGATGAGCGTGGGTGGCGTGTACGGGGGCGTAGCGAACGCCGAGTGCGGCGTGTACCGCGGCGGTGCCGGCGTGTACTTCCACCCGCAGTTGCACCATCACCACGCGCCACATCCCGCGGCGTGGCTGGCCCCTTACGCTGCGCTCATTCCGCCCGCGCCTGCTCCGCATCCACACCCGCATATACCTATAGATGCTGTGCCTAGCCAATATGTGAGTATTACGATCTGATATCATTTACAGAAATCGATTTAGATAATTGTCATTAATGTGTAACCAATTAAAAAATTAGAATCATTTTTAAAAAAAACAGTCGTTATCAAAATCTTACAACATGAAATCACAAATTAGGAATAACAATTTTTACGTGAAAAAAAATGTTAAATTATTTATTAACACTTGTTTGCGCAAGAATAAAATAATAGGTGGTGTTATTAAATGGTGTAGTATTATTGCAAGGTCCATTTTGGTGATGATTTATTAAAATTATAAATGTCTGAAATAAACCTACAGTCTGTGTGTGTTAAATTATCGATGACGTGGAATATAAAATAAGACTTATATCTGCTTAAAAATCCCCGGTAATCAATTAGTTTAAAATTGGAACGAAAGCAAATACAAAACTTAAATAGAAATGGGCCATTCGATACAATAAATCTTATCAAAGATTTCTGTATTCCAGGTAAACTGGGACAGCTTAAGGCCGGAAAACGAAGTATACGTGAGTGTATACAATAAGTAACAAAAACTCTGTATTTTTTTTAGTTTATGCTATTATCCAAATGCTAAGATTCTATTTCTCTTCTGTAATTGATCCCAGGTTTGATTCGTAAAACTGAAGCGACTATTGTCTTGCTAAATGTTATGTAATCCTTAATGGCATATTTTGTCTTTATCACACGTGGCGTTTTGAATAGAAAACAAAACATACGGGAGTAATAGTAAGCCTATTAGGATTATTAGAGAATTAATCATTCTTATGCTCCAAGGTAAAAACTGTACAGGGTTTTTCTTGCATATTGTACATCGCTTTCTGCTTGGCTGTGTTTCTTATAAACCGATGTTAACGATCCTTTCTTATTGCAGTACTTCGCGTCACCTCCGTACCAGTACTTCACGGGCCCCAATCCGCCGGTTATACAGATGCCTATGGAGAGTGAACACGCGTCCACGGCCGCCTCACCCGACGAGGCCTACCAGTCCTACCCGCCTCCCAAGTAGACGATAAGGAACAACCCATGTACACGAGCCAAAAATCAAAGCAACTGTGACTTTTTACGATGTTAATTTGTTTTAGTTTAATTTGCGGCCGTTATAGACTTCATCGAAAGTTTCGCCGCGGTGCGCCGCGTGCGAGTGCGGCCTTGTACGTATACGTGGTGCGTCTCGGACGTACACGTATCGGATCATACTGAGGTATGATTTGGTGACGGCAGCGTGTCCGTACGTCCAAGGCCTTTTAGTTTTAAGCCTAATTTTATTTAATACTTTCGCCTCGACTGTTTTCTCAATGGCCTTCGTCTCTTGGCTTACGCTAAACGTTCAAAACGCTGTGATGTTTTGATGAGGTCTTTTGACGGCTCGGGAGAGGATTCGATGTATAGAATTAAATCCAATTTAAAATGTGTTTTTACATTATAGTTTTATTATTGTTTTATGAAAATTTTTAAATTTAAGATTTTTAGACACAGATTTTGAACATGTTGACACGATTATTTAAGATAGATAGGTATTTATTTTAGCTTAGTACGATTATTTGAATGAATTTTTAAATTTATTTTGCAAATTAAATTTATTTATTTCTGTGTCATATATCGTAAGAAGAAATGGCTAAATTCAACAGAACTTATATCGATCAAATAGCGTGCAATCAGAGAGTAATGAAATTTTATAATAATATAGTTTTAAAAGAGAATCATTTCCTTATAGTTTATTTTCTATTTTATGTAAAGCAATATCCGAAGACGGCAGAGGGCGGTGATTGGAAAAGGTCATATCAAATATATGCAAAAGGAGAAATATGTGTGTTAGAGAAAGTTTTATAACAGTTTAGAACTTGGAAATAATTTATAAATATTTCGAAGATTGTGAATCTTCCTTGTAACTGATGTATTTCAAAAATACAATAAACAATATCAAAGTTCCAACTATTATAATGGCAAGTAGAGAGTTATGACCACCTCGTGGGTTTATGCTAATGATACGTTCGGCATGGTGCTTTAGTAATTTTGTTTGAAAATGGTACTAAATCTATGAAATATACAGTATTATTTACATTAAATCACACTGGTGCAGTCTTCCAAGAGCTGTTCGGTTCATCTCCATTCAACATGGGCCTCTTAGCATCGATACCACTTTCCTAGTAGATTTAGCGATGGTAAGGTACATTCGTACACGCGAATATGCTACTTCACTCTTTTATAATACAGTTGTTAACCACTTGACAAAATTGTAAACGTTGTTGCCAAACCCGAAGACAGACTGAATTTATGTATACCGAAACTTCCAAATAATTATTTCTTGATCCGTGTTTTGATCCAAATGTTATTCATACAATGATAGTAGCCATACATCACGATAGTTTTTTGTACGATTCGGCGTCGGCGGGTGCTATTGTCGGGACGTGCCCGTCTGGAAGCTATAGAAACATTAGCAATAAGCAGTTGTATTAAAGTCTATTTATACATTTTACGAGTCTATACAAATTTTTGTATGTGTAAAGTCATGTTTGGAATGAGGTGATCCTTTTTTTGAGAATCATGTACTGAATCAAATGGTAGTTGTTATTTTAGGCGGTCGGCACATTCCACTAGTGAACATCAAAATTCCACGATTAATTTCCACATTATGAAATGTAAAGGATTTGAAATCCAGCGCACGCGCATTTTGGTGCGAGCGACGTTTTGTACCATCGCGTAGGTTTTGGGTACACTTTATGACTTTATATGAAATTTGATATTTTTATATTGAATATATATAAATTATACATGGATATGTATACATGTATATACATTGTTGATGGGTACGAGTAAAAGCCTACTATATAGCCACTGTTTAATTCTATTTTGGCACGTCAGAGTTTCATCAGAACCAAAGTATACAAATCATTAAAATCGAATAAGAAGTAGGAACATATTTATACAACAAGTCAGGGACTGAAGACTAGTTAAATGTTTGATATATTAACTGTATTTTAACTGAAGGTGATTAAGCGATGACTTCTTTGTTCAAAACCTGTGTAACGACTTAACAATACAGGAACTGACATTAGATGAACTGCAGGTTTTGAATGAATGACGTAGATTTCAAAGAAATAATTAGACTTTTTGTACTTGATTGTATTCTATCGATAACGGAACTAACGTCTGTGGACTGCAGAAACTTCGCGTAGCGGCATTTTTATAGGTGTTCTATCGAACAACGTGCGTGTTCTATTATCCGTATGAAAGCAAGTATGTTAGCACAGTACGAATGTTTCACTGCGCGACCACCAATGCATGAGCGCCGTTGCTTCGTAGAACACTAATTACTAACGGTACTATCATAAAGTAATATCGCTCTTTTGTTCAGCTGACTGCCTCTAATTCGAATGAGTTTACGCTATCACAATACAATGAAACTCACTACGGCTTAAGTAGGTACTTGTATTGATACTCCATAGATCACTTTTATACTCGTATAATTGTGGATCGAGCCAAATTTCTTGAACTGATTTAAACCGCCTTTGATTCTTGTGAAAATAAGACACGAAGTGCAATGTACGGTATTTAGATAAGTTCGTTCACGTGTGTTCGATATATACAGTGGCTTCCTGTAAATGCAGTCTTCCGATAGATGTTTCCGCTAAACTTTGCATTTAAAATTGATGTCGTATTTGTACACAGTCTAAAGCTACTATCCCCGTATTTGTTTGATGTCATAGTGGTCTATGAGATGTGAACCCGTGTCCATTATACGGTAGTATTTTCGTTTCAGTTAAACCCGATGCACTTGTAGAGACACAGTAAGTAGGTAACGTAGCGTCGCACGATCCTTATAGGATGCCGTCAAAAGCGCTATTATTTTGAGCACGAATCATTTTCTCAGGCTTCTTCTTCCATTGTGAGCAATAAATTAATTTTTACGGTAGTGCCTTCAGCTTCGTTGATACAGATGTGAATACAATAAACCAGTTGCATGTGCTTTACGAGATATTTTTACAGGTAATGGAGAACTTACCGTAATCATAAATAAATGTAAGGTAAATAAAGCTATGTTTTAATATTTTCTATCGATCACTAAAACGAAATAATGTGGCTGTCTAATCGTTGCATTTTCACACATGGTGTTGAGATTGAATCCGGGAGTTAATTCTTAGATGTTCCTAGTTACACTCGCTTCAATGTTCTTGACATGTGTGATAAAGCGTTACAATGAGATTATGGGTGAACGTGACGTTGAGCGTTAGTTAGTTAGGAGTTACGTGAAGAACAAGCACAAAAATAAGGAACCAATTCCTGAATACCAAAACGATTCAAATGAGACATGTCGATGAATTGAAGTTAATGTTTTTAAATAAGTCATAGTTTTAAGAGAGCGCGCGTTTTGTATTTGTGAAATGTGAAACAGGATCGACGAATTGATGGCTAGTTTTAGCTTTAGGCTTAATTAGATAGGTTAGAATAGCAAAAAAATGTTTCGACGCTAAGTTAGCATAGCGATTAGATTAATGGGCGGGCCGCGGCGCGCCTCGCGGCTCTAGGGTAGTTTCCTCTGTTAGTTTATTAAATAATTTAATTTAAATGGACTGAGGCCGGCGCGGTGCGTCAGCGCCCGCCCCTAGCTTTAAGGAAATCTAAACCTAGCGAACACTCGGAGTAAGTTTCAGTTGAAGAGTTTGCTTTCACCTCTTTTGTTATGTAGTTGTATAAGTGTAAAAGAAATTAAATGAGAAAAAAAATACCGTGAAGTGTCGATACAATTGTATTTGTCCAATGTATTATTAGTGTGGTGTTCTACCCGGCAGCCTAGTCTAGCGAGTAGATTAGATAAAAATTAGTTAGGTAGCTTAGAAATGCAAAAAAATTGTCATAAAATGTAAAAAAAAGATGAAATTGTTGGTAAGAAAGAGTATTTTTAAGGAACATGTTGCTTCGTTGTGTTATGATGTGAGGTTTGGCATAACTATAACTGAAATGAATTTCTCGACACGGGAAGACAGAAAGTTATGTATCTATTTTGTTACGAAGTGTTTGCAAGTTTCTATATAGTGCTATGAGCATATTAGACCGCATTATTTATAGTTATGCTGAATGGAACTAAAATAATATATAAAATAAATGAAAATGGTACTAAGAAGCATGTTTTATTGTGACGAGTCATGTTCCTTTGCATTGAACTTGATATTTTGTAAGAGCAAATGATTGAAATAAAACAAGCAAAACCATTCATGTTTTGTTATTTATCGCCTAACTGCACTTCCCTTTGTTAGGCGTCCTGATTCCTCCATCCTCTCTTCCCTCCAATAGAAAACTAATTACAACAGAATACTTATAGATAAATTGCATTGACGCACCCTTGCAATGATAATCAGTGTTCGGTGTCTAGTTCATTCAGCCATCCCACGACTGCAAAACTTTTGTATGTATTAATGCTAGAAACATAATTTAAGCAGCAGTGCGTAGCTCTTAACCCTGATGTTCTTCTGCACCAACGAATTAAACATCTTGAGGAAACTAGCACATATATAATCGTAGGTCAAGAACAGGCTTATCACCCACTGATATAAAAAAATTATCAAGAAATAAAAACAGGCTAAGACCAAAGCCGGTATCTCCAATAGTTTTTCTACACATATCCAGTGTTATCTACCTTCTTCACTACTATGCCCTATTTTGGGGTTATAAAACTAACAATATATTTTACCAGTTCTTCAGTAAATTTAAATTTTTTTTTCGTGTTTTTATGATTTTCACAAGGTTATATAACCTAAAAGTATATTTTTGAATAACACTAATTGCTGTTGCTCATAACTAGAGGTAATCAGGATAAAATAAAAACAATTTCTAACAGAATATTTATTACCACTAAAGGTTTTTATACATCTTAAAACATAACGCAAATTTCACATTCGTTAACTGATGCACTCTTTAGACAAAAGACACTTTTGTAACAAATTTTCCTTTATAACATGAGATATGGTTGCAAATTGAAAATCAGACTGTTAAAAAATCATTTTGTAATATATAAATGGACCACTGGCGAAATAAAACAATAAAAGAATTACTTATAGGGGTTAAATAATTCCTCGTACTTCTTTTCATATATTCGCTACAAAAAATGCCATCCTCGCTTCAATGTACAAATAAAAGATGTCTCTGTCTATCCGAATTTAGCTCATCGCATGTTTCGCTTTAAATATCCTCAGCGTATTATCACACGAGCCACTGATAAGAAGCGAAGGATTCGACCAATTACAACACAGCACTTTATCTTCGTGACCTGTGAGGTCGTAGAGCGGCGTTTTGGGACTGGAAACAAGAAAAAATTGTGAGCCTTGGTTTGTACCAATCATAAAATCCAGACACGAGTTTATGTACCGCGGTTGTATCGACACTATGGAAATTTGTGAAATCGGGTACAAAAACGTCGGTATCGAAAGCTATTGAATACTGTAATTATATATATTAATTGCAACAACTTAAATAGATTCTACCTTCATTTAGTTTAATAAAAATAAATAAACATCTAATGACACACAACTTAACCAATTTCCTAATGACACTGGAAGGACCTAGCGTTTAAGTACAGGCTTGGCCTAGTTTAAACGCTAGTGCTCATAGAAGTATATTATGTATAAGGTTAACCACAATGAATATTTTATCTCAACGATTCGTTGCCTAGTGTATGTCTACAATCTTTTAAATGTAAGTACAAAATTTAATGTTTTTGAGTCAAATTAAGTAATTTTTATTATTATTATTACTAATTTTTATTACTAACGCCCGAACCCAATCCACAATCTCAGATTGAAAACAATCTGACACAGACCGTGACAGTCTATCGATCTCCTATCTGCATCCCAATAACCAAACCCTACGAAGACAATCAATTTTTGGCGACGGATAAAATGCTCTTTGTCGTTCCATTTTACCGAGTTTTCACTCATATTTGATAATCAATGTAAACCAAATAAAGTAAATAAAACCGTACAAATATCAATCCGAGTTTATGGTTTAGTTTCATTAGAGATCGTTAAATTCTTCGTAGGTATTAAATTCGGCCGTTTTACTTAATCCCAATCCAATTTTTACTACTAGAGATTGATATTTCAATCGACTTCTTATAAAATGCTTTTCAATAACCTATCGATGGATCATTTTAGTAAAATACCTTTCAATTCGACAGATCGAATTTTTACATTTATCCATCTAAATTTTAGAAAATCTGGATTGGAAATAACTTTAGATTATAGAACGAGTGTAGAAAGCTGCCGTTACGGATAATCGGATAATCATTAAGTTTCAGAAACTAAAAAAGACCGTCACCGTGACGCACGCTGTAAAGCACGCGAAACGTCGGATAAATTTAAAATTATGTTAAATACTTGTAAATTTATAATAATACATAACTTCAATCCGGTCAAAAAGTTTTTTCTTTAACTAAAAAAGACGTTTACGCTTAATTATAAGTTTGACTCGTTTGTTTACAAACATTTAAATTGAGGCAATAGGTCAATTAACTCAAACGTTAACGAGAGATCTGACACTTAAGTAAATTTTTGCTAGTTTAAGTTAAGATTAATATATCTATTTTTTACTTCAATTTCTTCAATCTTTCAGATACTTAATTGACTTTTTTGATTGGCCTTAAGTAACTAATAGTATTATTTAATTTCCCAAGAACGATCTAATCTAGTTAATTGAATGCCCCGTGCCCCACTCACCTCCTCGTATCCCACAATTTGACTTGATTATCGTAACCCGCCGAAAGGAATAAGGTGTCCCGTGTTGTTGACCAACGAACAGATTGGACCCAACCCGTGTGGGATGTGAATGTTGTCTTTACTAGGCTGTCTGAAAGGGAACAATAGAAATACAATACAGTTTCATATTGTTAATATTATATTAACTATACATAAAAATATACCAATGAATTAGATTTAACAATCCCGCGCATCATTTATACGTAACTCCAACTAGGGCCGCGTGTTACGAAATAATTATTCATTAACTTCATAGTCACATCTACTATTTAGTTTTAGTTTAGTTAATATTTTCATTAATTTTTCACATTTTATATTATATAAAATATTCTATATTATTAGTTATAAGATGTAGGTATATAAATATATATATTTTTTTTAATGTTTTTTATCTAGGTTAATTGGTGTGGGTATAAATGTTGTGTCGTTCTATCGAATTAGTAATTACTGTAATGATAGAATAATGATATGGAATAAATAAATAAAAAAAATAATCAAATTAAAGTTCTACTATATGCCACAATACAATTGTTTACACTTACAAAATTCGCGTTGTAATTAAGTTTTATATGAGCAATGGCTTGACCATGTAACTCTCGTCCGAGGTAATTGGTTCGAATCCCGCCTGAGCACCAATAGACCTTCTGTCTTTGTGCGTATTAAACACTTACATATGGTGAAGAAAAATATCATAAGGAAAGCGGTATGCCTAAAACCCAAAACGTCGACGACATGTGTCAGACACAGAAGGCTGATAACCGACTTGCTTATCAAAATAAATTATCCGGGCCACTGGTTTTTTTTTTAATATTTTATTTGACGAATTTTTGCAAAATGTCATAAAATAAAAGTTTTAATATACAAAACTCGATCCTAAGTATGTTATTTTCTGTATCAATAATAAATTATATTTCACAATAGCTCTTTTAAATATTAGTACCTGTAGATCTCGGATCATAAAGACGTATGTGTCTATCGGCGGATGCCGTAATAATGCTGTTACTTAGAGGCGACCACGCGGCGTCGAAGAAAGCTTTGTTACCTGAAAATATAAATTTTCTCTAAATAAACGTGGCATAGAGGATAAAAATTACTACATTATATTTTTATTTTGCAGTCTGTTTTTCCAATAAAAAATAGTTAAAACCACATTTATTTTAATATGTTTTTGGTATGTGGTGAGAATCGAGTAGAGTAGTATTACTAAATTCAAACATGTCTTTATCAACGAACTTTACAATTACTTCATCATTTCCAAGGATGATTTTTAATTATAAATAATTGTATGTGATAAATCATAGCGTTCAGCACACCAAATTATTATAATATTTGTTAAAAATTAGTTAAGTAAGACTAGTTATTATGATATAATATAATTTTACTTAGTAACCTAACGTCAAAATGCAGCTGATCGCAAAACAGAATATAGCAACAGGCACACTTCACTCATCGCAAACGTCATGTCGCGTAGAAAAGCATAGTGTATGCCATAACAAAGAGAGTGACTGAAACAACAATAGAACTGGCTGTGCAATATTGCAGTTGAATTCGATAGCCTAGCGATCGTCCGGCCACCCATCGGGGCAACATCAGCCATATGTGGCTATACTAAACATGTTTGGCTATATGGCCGGGACATTACTGCAATATTGCATAGTGTGGCTGCTATTGTTTGCAATGTTTCCGGGCCACAGTGTTGCAGCCATCAATTGCAGCAAAACATGGCCCGTTTAGAAGCGCCATAAACTATTTTGTAGGGCATCAACAAGAACTTAGTTTAAATCGTTAAAACTAACTAAATAAAATATTGTGTATGAACTATATAAAGTTCAAGATAATATTTTACCAGCAATGTCTTGTTTGATAGCACCAAGTTCACAGTCCCAAATCTTAATCAAGTGATCCCAGCTCCCAGATAGAACAGTGTTATAGTCCATCCACTGCACACTGGAGACAGCTTCCTTGTGTCCTTTTAGAGTAGTCAAGGCTTCCTAATTGAAACGTAAGAATAAAAAAAACTGTAAAACATATGTATGAAAAATAGCATTTCATATTTTGTCAAACTATAACTACTCTTAGAAGATACTATTAATGCTAGGATGTGATATATTGATATTTTTTAATCTAAATCTTATTAGTTTCTAATGTTTGCTATAATAATAATAATGTGTTTCAGCTAATGTCAAGTAAACAGTTATAAATTGTAGAAGAAAAGTTTATTTAAAGCTGCTCTTGATACATGAATACAGCAACAACTTACCCTTGATTTTCCTTGTTCCGGTTTACTCTTCTTTTTAGCTGGCACATTATCTTCTTCTGCTAAGCCTATAAACAGAATTTCAACAACTTACTACAAACTTGCAAAGATTGCAAATATAGATAGTATCTGACAAATTTTAATCTATAAAATATATGATTTTCTTTTTAAAACCCAACAAATAAAGAAATCTAACCTTTACGCACAGACATCTTGCCACTAACCACAAAAAATGTGACGAGATTATATAAAGTATAATAATAGTCACAAATATAAGTATTAACAACTTCCCATCATTAGGAAAAATTTCAAACTATAATAAAACTTACTTGCACTCCATAAACAAATATTATTATCCCAGCCCCCCGTTGCAAATTGTTTACCATCTGCAGATACAGCCAAACACTCAATTCCTTTCTCATGACTCCGACATGTCACCACACTCTCTACAGAGTTTCCAGAAACATTCCATGACCACAAAATGGCTGACTGGTCATGAGAGCCACTGAAAATTTTGAGAGATAATTGTACCATTTTACCTAAAGTTCTCATATCAACATTAAAAGGTATTTATAAAAGTGTATGTTTGAAAGACAAAATTTCTCTTCAAAATTACATTAAGCTACAGATGAGCTAAAAAATTTATAGGCTTTACTAATACCACAAAACTTGAAATACAATTAATATTAACTATATTATACCTTACAAAAATTGCTTGATCACCATTAAAGGCAACCCAAGCAACTGCTTTAACAGGGGAAGTGTGACCCGGTATTGCTAATTTGTGTTGTCCTTTAGTGGTCCAGATGTGGACACTGTTGTCATAGCACCCTGACAGGATCCTGAATATGCAAAAAATTTACTAAGTATAGAAATATTACCTTTAATGTATTAAGGGATGATATAACAAAATCTTGTTATAACAAACAATAAAATACAAGAACAATACAATAGAAGCAATTATTTAGTGAGTGAATCCAATTGTCAAGTCTGTAATGCAACATAAATAGAGATTTTTTTAAAAATATTACATGTATTTCTCTTAAATTGTATACTTATTATGAATGTTTGCTGCAGTAATAATGACATACCAACTTCCATGAGTATCAACAGCTGCCACCCAATCATCATGCATCAAACAGTCTTGAGGACTTGGAGCGGGAAATCTTTCAATATATTCAATTTCCAATGTATCTTCTGTAGATACTCCTTTCTCTTGCAAATGCTCAGCTACAGTGGTACGCAAAAGTTCCCCATAAATGAGAAAATCAAAATCAATATTCTTTTTATGAGATTGAATAGATTCTGTCAGTAAGCCATTAACAAGTGTGCTTAGTTCTGCTGTCTGGATATTGCTTTGAACAGCCAATGGACTGTCTGGAATCGCATATCTGTAAATTGTTTATTTACAATTATATATTTTATACATTATTTTCTTAGTTAGTTAAGAAAACGAAACTTACTGTTCTTGTTTAGTGACGAATCGAACTTGAATTTGAGCGGCATCTGCATCCCCGTCCATTATTATTGTTATTTACGTAGTACAAATGTAAATCTTCACACAATATGTTTTATACCTCAGCCAAGTACTGAAAATGTGATTTAAGCTACCTTATATTAAACTGTAAAAGTTTTATTATAATTTGAGCTGAGAAAATAACATGTGGATCCTTATTCCTTATTTTGAAACTAGAAACGAACATGAGGAAACGATGTGGCATGTCAATTGTCAAGTAAATGAAGTTCATATTAAGAATGACAGTTTACATATTGACGTTCAAAAATTACGGTAATGACAATTAAATGTTAAAAAAAAAACTGTTTCTAAATATTTTAGGTTAACTCATGTGGTAAACTTTGAATTGCCAAATAATATGTTTATTTGTATGCAAATGTAATATTAATGCAGTTTTTAAAATGGTTGTTAAAATAAATAGTAATCAGAAAAACTATGTTTTCAAAAGAAAGGCTGGAAGAAGTTTAATTGAACACCGTCCCATTTTTTCGCCAAATGAAGAGTAAGTATTCCTTTCTTTTATGAAGCAATAACTTTATGATATTTTACTATTATCTTTCTTTATCAAGGTCCCTGGTGGTTATAGTTGAAAATGTTTTACGTGTATATAATGTGAAAACGGGTGATTGCACACGATCTTTAGAAACTGAAACTCCAGTGAACGCTCTAGTCGGCATAGAATTTCCAAAGAAACAAGACTACAATTTATATGGGTGTTCAGACCTGGGGCTTGTAATAACATGGACCTGGGAAAATGGAGCAGTTCTCCGAGAAGTTGTGAGTCTCATAATTAGTATTAAATTAGATTTTGGAAAATCAGAAACATTTTCTATTGTTGCATTGGTAAACCATAATTTACATAAATGTAAAGTATCTTATTCTGTATGGTTCTATATTGGACTGTGTTTATAGTAAATTATATGCAGTCAAGACTTACCCTTATTATAAGAGATCTATTTGTTTTTTTTTAGCAATTGAACCTTCCAGTACACGCAAACATAATTTACTCCTTCAACCTTATAGATGAAAACGAATGTTTTGTCATATCTGGGAATCCTTCAAGAAAGATTTTTAACCTTGGATCATATTCTTTAAGAAAAGGAGATTTGGTGACAAACTATTCTGGCTTGGTGATTCCTCAAAATGATATAATTTCAGTTGCGATTGGTTCTATAAGGGAAGAGAAATTTGCAGCAATTGCTAATGGACAATGCAAAGTTTATTTTCAAAACCTTGTACAACCAGAAATGTACATTCAGTAAGTTTCTTTTAAGACTATTTTATAAAATTTATCCATTCTCATAGATAAGCATGTGATGAGGTTGTGTATTTGAGCCTATAGCAATTGTTGGATTAATCAGAAATATATGTGGATTGTAGTTGTGGAATACATAATTGGTAAGGATTGGATTGGAGTCCCTAAAGTAAGATATTAAATAATATTTAATGTGCTAGAGGCACATCATTTTTACAGAGTAAAAATATTGTTGATACTTTTAGGATATCAAACGCTTAGTATACTAAGCAAGTTTCTACCATTTTGTAGAAACTCAAATAGGTAGAAACTTGTTTTCAAAGTATTATTAAATATAGGTTTATTATTTACTAGTTGACCTGGCTAACTTCTTTCCGCCTTACAGTGTAATAATTTAGTTGTTACTTTAGTAAAACTTTTTTTAGTATTTAATTATGTAATAACATTAATACCAATACTTTTTTTGCAAATACAGAAATGTTTTATTGCTTGCCATTGCGAAAAAAGAATGGCAGTTTTACACATTAGGTCTCTTCTCTCTAGCGACAATATTGCGATACTGCATGTTAAAGCACTTTCTGATATACAACATTTGATGAGGTAACACATATCTTCGATCAAGATCAAAGCCTGGTTATGCATCTCCTCATACACCCCAGGATCGGCATTTCAAAAACTGACATGAATTCATTTCATTACTTATTCTGCTATTCGGAGTGGAGAAGAATCCACCAAAATAGAGATAACTAACATTGGTCCAGCCAATCTTGAGTTATAAGTGGTGTAACTAGCACAACTTTGTTTTATATATTTAGATAATTACAAAACTTACTGAAATTTCAGAAAGCAGTCTAGATTTAGAGTACTGTCTGTAGCAGCTAACCAACATGGTATGGTGGCATATACTGATGCTTTGGGAAGAGTGATGGTCTTGAGAGGAAACTTGTTCGTCCCTAACAAAACAGCACAAGAAACCTTACATTGGCATTCGTTACCTCTATTCGCTGTTTCTTTTACTTCAATAGGTATATAAATATGTACAGAATTTGACCACTATTTAGTAGTTTTAAAGAGGTTTCAAAGAATATTCTGAGAATTCCTATGTTTGCAAAATATTTTCTATCCATTTTGCTGTGAATTTCAAGACAGGTTAAGATAAAGGAATTAAATTTTTGTTATAGTATGCATTAGAATAACCCTCATAGTAGCTATTATATGACAATGCTAGGTGTTATAATAAATTACCAGAAATCCTATTGTAAAATGTTCTCTATTTCATCTTATTTTTGTAACAAATCAATAATCTTGTATTTTTTAGTATATTATTGTTACAATAACTCCTATAACTATGTTGGGTACATAGTTACCCCTTGACTCTGCTCAGTATATATACTCACCTCTGCTATATTAAATCTTCACCAAACCCATAACTTTTTGAACAATAATAAGTTCTTTTAGGTAATTATCTTATTACTGGAGGAATGGAAAAGGTATTAGTCAAGTGGTCCTTTAGTGAACTAGCCCAGAAAGTTGATGAGAAGAAATTTATACCTCGCTTACCAGGCCTCGTAAGGTTTATAACAACGAGTAATAGTTATATTGCTGTGTCCCTGTCTAATAATTGTAAGTATTTCAATTTTATTGCTTTTAATTAATATCAATAGAACTGTTGCTAAATAAATGGAATCTGTAAGAACAAGTTTTATTAACTCTTGTTCTTGTTTGAGGGTATATTTAAAATTTTGATTTTGGGGGTTATGTGCCATATGCGTTAACTAGTATACTATGTAAGCGACACTGTTACAAGATGTTATTTTCTTCACTTCTTTCTAAACTACAAGCTGTGTCCATGTTTTTGCATTCTTTTACAATAATAATTAACCACAAATGGTGAATGTTTTCATTATTACTTGCAGCTATTGTGATTGCAAATCAGCAAATGTATGTGAGTAATACAATACTGGAATGTGGTGGTCTATCATCAGTAACCCGCTCACTTGGCTCTAAACTTGTGTACATGAAACCCCTGGATTCTCTCATAATACCAGGACGAACAGGGTTTCTCCAATTATATTCAACGGCGACAGATAAAGTTTTGTATAATGTAGGTGAAAATTACGAATTCAAAAATTCATAACTGTTATCATAAAGATATTTGTTGTTATGTATGATAATGATACAATAATACTATTACGCCATTTACATATTAGCAGATTTATTTGTGATTTATGTCTAAATTGTTGATTTAAAAAAGGCTTCTAGTTAAAAAAGGCTTTCTTAATTATATATATTTCTGATTGTTTTACAGATTGATATAACTGAAACTAATAGCATCCCAGCTGAAAGATACAACATAACACCAATAGAGACAGAAGTTACGACTGCCGCGGTTAGTGCAAATGGTCAATGGCTTGTCACCTCAGAATACCGAAATGATGGCACCAATTACCCAGAAGAAAAGCTAAAATTCTGGTCTGCTTGTAAAAACAATGCGTGTCCCTTCATACTAAACACCTGTGTTAATCTTTCTCATGGCGGATGTGATGTTGTATCTATCGCCTTAAGTAATAACGGTGACTTTTGCGTCACATCCGGCAACGATCAGAAATTTCGAATTTGGAAAGTCAGTGTTATAAACAAGAAAAAACAGTGGTCCTGCCTCACTGCCTGTTACTACTCCTCTGGTGTTTCTCATTATCAATCGATTCCAGTGCTAAACGAATACAAACACAGCAACATATTGGGCTTAGTCTCTCAAGGGGAGAGGCCATATTTGACGATGGACTTGTTTGGCAAGGATGAAATAAGAAAAGTTTTGAACGTTCACAAGGCAACAACTGTACTGGATGAACGGATAGCTGAAAAGACAGTATCGAAAGGTGATTTAGCGATGGGAGGGGTGGCCATTTCTCAGGATGGATCATTAATAGCAGCGTGGTTTGGGCCAAAATTGACGCTTTGGGATTCACATTTATGTAATTTGAGGACGACCTTGTCTCACGTTGCATTAAGGCCTAAAGGGGTTCATGTACATTTTGGGAACCACGATGCAGCGCATTACGTAAGTTTTTGTTTTTTTGTTTTTTTATGGCTCTGGCACGGTTTGTGCATTAGCCAGCGTCAAGTATATAAGATTTTTATAATTCGTGCTTGTCTTAGAAATTCGACCGTGTCCTCCATGTACGGTTTAAGCACTCGCCCGGTACCGCACAACCCTTCCAAAGGCTGAGAACAAATTTAAATTAAATTAAAACTTGCCCTCGAACCGGGAATCGAATCCGGTACCCCTCACCTAGCTGCCACTTAATAAGACCGCTAGGCTATGAGACCCCATTACGTAAGTTATCTATCATTTCTGGTTAATATTTCATACAGTTGCGTAACAATAGGGTGGCAGGGCTGGCAAAATGCCACGGGCCCCCGACCCAATAGAGCCCCTGCCCAAGAGATATTATGTTTTATGGATGAATGTGAAGTCTATAATACGCATTGGGCTAGCGTGGGGACTGCAGACCATTCCCTCTCGCCTAAGAGGTACGCTGAAAATCTCAAATTTAATAAAATTAAACTGAGTAGGGACGATTTTTACTAATAGGGCCCCATCAAAATAATTGCTACGAAAGAAGATTTGCCACGGGCCCCAGATGGTATAGTTACGCCACTGATTTCATGAATATATAAGAATACCTTTGTGTCTATTCTTTTTTTTTTGTCTGTCAAAAAAATACAAAGTGATGGTGCAAAGTAATTATCTAAATGTCAATCAGGTGCAAGGAATAAAGTTCTTTAAAAAAATGTCTATATTCTAAAGCGTATTACTAGTTTTAGCAAGTTGGTTTCTTTACTCTTAATTCTCGCTGATTTTAATTGCCATATTACAGCATTAAAGTGTATTTTAAAATGTGATAGTCGTGTTTTGACGGGACGTATCCGTAACCGTATGGGTGATATTCAGATAAAAAACTTGCACGAATTAAAACTTCCGTGTGTCAAATCCAAAACGTTTTGACATGCTGGAGTCATACTCTTTTTCAATCAAACTTAAATCTAGTTTTAAGAGCTGTCAACCAATTCTGTATGTATGAAGTTTGACATATTTGACAGCGCTTAAGACGAGGTTGTCACTTGAGATACGAATTAAAATCTGGATCTTAGTGCTAAACCTCGACTCTTTCAATGAATTAAAGGCGCCATCTAGGGTGTGATTATGTTTTTGCTATTTTCTTGTACCTGTGACGAAATTTTTTTTGCAGTTAGTATGTACGACGGAGGAGTGCTTAGCTGTATGGAGTTTGCTATCGCTCACAGTAACTTATATAGTACGAAATAATCCAGTCTGCCTCGCTGCTGATCCTTTCTCCAATAGAATGGTAGTTGTCACAAGAGATAATGATGGTAAGTTTTAATAATATATTTTTTTAATCTTTACTAATAATAAATAATTAAAAACTATTTACCAATGCTTCAACAAATTTAAATCTAATATAGAAAGTTCTCGTGTCACAATGTTCCTTCCCTTACTCCTCCGAAACGGCTTGACCGATTCTTATGAATTTTTTTATGCATATTCAGTAACCAGAATCGGCTACTATCTATATTTCAAACCCCTAAGTGATAAGGTGTTTGAAACCACCCCAAAACAATTTTTTTTATTTTTTCTATGTTACAGCATACAAAAATACATACAACCCCTAATTTTCACCCCTCTACGAACAACCCCTATTTTTTCAATAAAAATAACTATCTTCTATTATTGTAGATAGTTATTTTTATTGAACTAAAAAAAAAAGTTTCCTAGAAATAATTAACATGGCAAAACAACGTTTGCCGGGTCAGCTAGTATTTTCATATTTATTTTTCTCTACGAAATTTTATAAATTGTGAAGTAATATACATTATGAATAACGTATTCGATAGCGGTAGAGACTACTAGACTTGTACTGTAAAAAAATTTTTTTTTCAGTACACGTATTCACTCCACACAACTCCTCTCCGATTTTATCGCAGAATCGGGTTCTTGAACCTAGTGCTGGTGTAATCACTCACTGCACCTTCGGGAAGACCACTGAAGACGATGCGAAGATCTACTTTATGAGGAATTATTCGGTAAGGAGTTAACTTTTGTGATTGAAGACTTAAAAAGTTCTTATAAAAATATACAAGCATAAAATTATAAACTTTCGTTATTCGTTTGAGCTCCTTTATCATTAGCCCAGTGGCCTACACGGGTGTTCCAAAGATTTGAAAATAAAGTAAACACCTATGCGTCTAAGATTTGTGATTCTAACAAAAATAGCTGATGACCACAAAACAGATCATAAATAATAGCTAAGAACCAACACATCAGATTTCTAACTGAACCGGGTCAAATTCCGTCCTTTCGTTCGTCCAGAGAAACAGACCTACAAAAAACCTCCCCTCTTAATGCCCCGCTACAAAGAGTGTAAGTTTCATTCTCAAATCGTTAATCCAGTTTTTAAATAGCTGTCAGATTTGACTCGGCTTGGATAATATACACATACATATATGTATTAAGTCGTTTTTTTAATATTTTTCATTAGGTACTTTTCGACTTGGAAAAGCGTACGTTGGTAAAAAATTTAAGTTCTGAAAAACTAGTAAATTTAAAATCTAAACTTTCAGGAAATATATTGCTTGGAACCAGAAAAATCAACAGAATCCCAACTAGAAGTGATATCACATAGAAATGTGCCGAAGTCAAAATTCGGCCAACTACTTGCTGAACAGCAAGTGTCTGAAGTCACCTCAACTAGAGCTGAAGAAATACAGCAGCTTAATGTGGAAAGTCTTGCCAGTAGTGCTGTATCTCAGGTATATCTTTTTATATACTCTATAGTCTATCGTAAAATTTAAAATACAAACGTACAACAATTTTAAATTGGTTATTTTTAAAAATTACCATGTTTTTAACCTTTATAATTTATTTGTACTAGACGAAGCGCTATCTCTATTATATAACAATTAATTTTTATTACGAGAAAAGAGGTTGCAGGCACAGACAGAATATTTCCATAAATAATAAAAAATAATTGTTTAATGTTTTATTTATTTGTCTTTTTCTCTTTCAGTTCCTATCGGCCGCACCCCACATGATTCCACCAGTGCGAATGCTAAGCACTTCCTTCCTCCAACTTATATCAGGGTATACGGAAAATGAAGAAGTGGAACCAACAGAGGCACCCATGGAGGTGGACACCAGTGACGATGAAGAAGCACCTAAAGTTCAGCTTCCGAAGCCTGAACAGCTGTGCAAAGCGGACTATGATTCCATTAAAAATAAAAAATTAAAGAAGATTTTAGACCAAAATCTTTTGGACTCTGAAACGACAATGGAAGTTTTTAGTTTGTGATGTAATAAATATTTTAAAAATCTATGTTTTTTTCATATTTAAATATACTTGGTTTCAGTTGAATAAAAACAAAATATTAAATTTGATAAAATATCTTACTTGAACTAAAGATAAACTGCGCGGCTTAGTTATTTGTTAACTTGTGATAAAGAAGAATTGTGTACAACTTTAATACTCATGTCTGCAGTAATCAAAGTTAAATATAGCAGTAAAAGATAATATATCATTTAACACAATGTCTTTATTTAACAACGACGAAGTGAAAATTATCGCGGAGAAATGTGGTTTTAAAAATTATGATACTTTACAATATGAGATACAAAATTATTCAGAAGAATTAGTTGGTTATTTGGGAGAGCATTTACGTTTATTTCTAAAAGTTAATTCACATGATAGAGTTTTGTTTGTGAAGTGTGTGCCGCGGTATGATGAATATAAAGCGGATTATTTGAGAAAAACTGGCTTCTTTAGAAAGGAGTATGTACTATTGAGTTCCTTGTTTACTCAGTTTATTAAACGTGAAGGTGAGTACTTTATATACATTTTCTATAATTTTATTTATTCTTATTTATTTACACTTCGTTGCAATATAAATAAAGGAAACACAATACATAAAAATTATAAGGGATGCAACGGGCGGCCTTGTCGCTAATAAGCGATCTCTTCCAGGTAGGGATGTGACATTCTGCATAAAAAAATCGATTTTTTATTAATCGATTATTTTTGTAGCATGAATAATCGATTTTTCTTAAAAAAATAATCGATTTTTTTTTTCGATTTTTCTTAAAAAAATAATCGATTTTTTTTTTTCCTAATTTTTGAATTATTTTCAAAATAAACACCCTAAATATTTTAATTTCATAGTTTTTTAAATTAAAAATAAACAATAGAAATTATAAACACAAATTAACGTTTAAGAATAATCACAATCGAAATTAACTTAATCTCGTTTTGATAGATTTTGATAACTGCTGAGTGTATTCCTTTTCAGTAGCACATTGCAGTATTTTTGTTGTCTTTTTAATTGTATGGAGTCTTGTGCTGCTGAATAAATTTATTTTACTTTTAAATAATAGTGTTCCATTCAAACTTGAGTTTTTGTAAAATTAACTGCTTTTATCATCCTTTTGATGTTTTACAAAAAAAAACAATGTATCGAGTATATCAATACATCTTCAAAGAATCGGATTCAATGTATCGCATTGTAAACATCGTTGTGTATCGAATATCCCTAATAGTTCGAGGTCCGGGTTATAAAAGACCAGACATAATGTCGGGAGGTGGCAGATAAAAAATCGATTATGACTGATTTTCAATTATAAAAATAATCGATTATTAATCGATTATTTTAAATATAAAAATCGATTAAAATCGATTTTTTTAATAATCGATTATTTTTTCACATCCCTACTTCCAGGCAACCCTAGTTAAATAGAAAAACTAAAAAACAAAAAAATATTAATAGATATAGATCAGGAGTTATGAATATCGTTACTACTGCTCACTAATAGGTGAACCGGCATGTGTAAACAAATGTGTTTTAATCAGCAATGTTTGGGAACTTGAAATTAAAGTACTTATAGCTTCAGTGGCAGACAGCAAGGTTCCTATCGCATAAAAGAAGCCCGCCTTGTAAAAAAAATTACAATACAATTCTTAAGTTAAATAGAGAAAAAATAACTGTCTCCGATGCCAATATTGTTGTATTTGAAAAGTTCTACGAATCTAAATAACCGTTTGACACTTTTTACGTTGTAGGTAGCAGTAAATGGCGGCCAGAAGTTATACACCTAAAAGACGAAGTATTCGTGTTTGAAGACGTCACTAAAATTGGCTATGCACTATCCGACAGTCGCAAACCCTTCTCGTACGAAGAAGTAGTCGCGACCGTTAAAGCAGTAGCAAAATTTCACGCTGATTCCCTTATATACGAGTACAACAAAACACAACAATTAAAAAGACCGTATTACATATGGGAGGATTATAAGGAATATTTGTTTGAGCCCGTCAAAGCACAGCCATGGCGAGACACAGGCTGCAAGGGTGTTATAGACATCCTAAGAATTTATTCTGCATATAAAGATACACCAAACTTTCAATCAGTTGCAAATGTTGTAACCGACTTATTCAACCGAGCCACGAAATCTATGCAACCAAGCCGCAAACACAGAAACGTTGTTGTTCATAGAGACGTTTGGTCTAATAACGTCTTCTTTAAAGAATTGGAGGATGGTTCAACACATGCACTGTTAGTGGACTTTCAAACAGCGGTATATACGATTCCTACCCATGATCTAGCAACACTGTTGTTCTTAAATACAACAAAGAAATTTCGTAGTGTCTTCACAAATAAAATGGTAGACATTTATTATATGTGTCTCAGCGATATATTGAATGATGCTGGGGTTAATATATTGGAATTTTTTGATAAAAAAGCATTATCGAAGGCATATGAAGATAGTGTGGTGTTTGGCATCACACAAGCGGCATTGGTATTGCCCATAGCAAATATGCCAGAGTTCATTAAAAACAAATATTGCCGAAGTGGTAATGATGAATTTGACGCGATATCTAGGAGCCATTGTTTCATAGAATCATTGGAATCCGACGAACAATACCGCGAAACCATTTTAGAGCTCTTTGATGATATAGTGGAAAGATTTGTTTTACCGTCTTTAAACAGTTATAAATAATAATGATAAGATAAATAAGACATATTTGAATACAGTATCTGTGTTAGTTCAACATTAAATATAAGTTAAATTATGTAATTAACTTTAACTGATAAAACCATTAGTTTTAAATAAGGTTTATATAGTTATTAAGTATATTGTAGGAAGTGAAACACTTGTGTATTAAGCCAAGATGCCACAGACGTATAATAGTATTACAGCTGTTAATTATATATCAGAAAAAGAAATTGCAAAAGTAATTAAAATTTATTTTAAAGAAAATGCGGTTTTCGAAAACTATTCTATAGATTTTGCTAGTCAAAATATGCTAGGATTTTTATGTGACTATTTAAGGTTGAACATAAATGTATCTGTCGGTGCTAACGAGAAGCGAGTATTAAATTGTTTTATAAAATCTATATCTAAGAGTAATAAAGCAAAAGCGGAAATGGTTAAAGAGCTAAAACTTTATGAAAAAGAATCAAAGTTTTACACAATCATTATAGAGAAGCTTCGTACACCAGGTATGTAAAGGTTTTTTTTTTTCAAATAAGTCACCTTCAATGTGTTTCACGTGAAAGAGAAACAAATATCAAGATTTAAATCGATTAATAATATCAACATTAGGGTTAGGGGTTAGGGTAGTAGGACTCCTTTCTCCGCAATTAGACTCCTAATTGGTCCGTTGTGCGTACGAGTCCTGACTAATTTAGCCAGCCTAGCTCCTTCCAGAAGCACAGAAGTCTCCTGGGCACTTCACAGGCTTCCCGGAGCGACCTCACCGTTCCGAGGATTTTTTCACGTTGATTAGCCACAGCCACGCATTCCAGGACTACGTGGGTGACTGTTTCCTCTGCGATTATACTGCGATAATATCAACATTTCAAAACGATGCTTAACTTTGGTTATTTGTATTTTCAGGCATAAAAGCATGGAGTGCAAAACTAATAGTGGCTTTAGAAGACGCATTGGTTTTTGAAGACTTAAATTCCCTGGGGTATAGAATGCACTATAAACTCAAAACTTTAGACGATGCTCATATTTTTCAAGCATTAAGAACTTTGGCCAGATTTCATGCCTCTTCAATTATTTATGAAGAACAAAAATCTGTTGAATTGAATCGTCCCTACAGGATTTACGAAGACTATAAAGATTATTTCGACAAGGGTGGATATAAAATAACAGCTCCATGGTTTAGTCAATGTATGATTGCCGCTTTGGAAGTTGTAAAAAGCCATTCAAAATACGCTAAAACCAAAGATATTATTGATAAGTGTGATAGAAAATGGGCGAATGTATGGAAAGCAGCGCTGGATTTGACAGACACATCGTCTAAATACAGGAACGTTATCTGTCATCGGGATTTATGGAATAATAACTTAATGTTTCACTATAAAGGAAATGAGCCTGATGATTGCTTATTAGTGGATTTTCAAGCAGCCAGGTACCACCCACCTGCGGGCGATGTTGTACTTCTGCTTTTCTGTAACTTAGAGGCTTCCTACCGAGAAGAGAATTTTAATAGATGTTTAAAATATTACCATTGTACACTTCAGCACATCCTCGAACAACACTGTATTGAAATAAATGATATTATTTCGTTGAAAATGCTTCAAGAATCAGCAAAAGACTTTCGCCTTTGGGGGCTGGTAGCTACCGCATGTCTAGTGCCACAATTTTGGATGAAAGACGATTTAACTACAAAGATCTTTACCGATTCCAACCAATTTAATAAAATACTTTCGCAGGATAAAGCTACTTTTATTAGGAAAATGTGTGATGAAAACGTCGAGTATCGAATTAAAGTTTTGGATTTATTTGAAGAAATTGTTTGCGAATATATCTTAAATTAAACTTATAAGAATAATACGACTGTTTACGTTATTTGTGCGTCTAAGTACAATGTACATAAGTCATGACTACAATACATTTTAAGCAGATTTTTAAGTAAATACTACGCATCTATGCATTTAAAATATAATATTTTCCCGCGCGGGGTGGTGGTTTTAACCCCCCCCAAAAACGACCCGCCCCCCCCACAATTTTTTTTGGGCAATTTGGGTTTTTTGGGAAACAGAAAAAAACCAAAAAAAACCCCAAAAAAATAATATTTTTTAATTTTTAGATAAATTTTTTTTTTTTTAAAAAAAAAAAAAAAAAAAAAAAAAAACCCCCCCCTTCCCCCCCCCCAAGACCCCCCTATTTTTTATTATAAATGATATACATGGCACAATGAGTAGGCATTACTTATAAAAGGCTAATACACGTACGATTTACCTGACGGAAAATATATAGAGGTCTAGATAAGATCTAGTATCTAAACACATATTTTTAAGTAAAGTATATTAAGTAAACGTTTATAATTTTAGAGACTCGCGCTTCAAGCGAAGTTGAATAAACTTGTTGTCTTCTAGTTTCCGACCATATTTTTCATGCCAAGGGTCCTTGTAGCGTTGTGTGTAAATGTTGCAGAAGGGACGTATTAGTATAATGTAGATCAACTCGACGAAGCTGAGTATAGTTGTGCCAAGGAATAAACCACCCGTGCCACCTGTTGAAACTAAAAGAAAATGTTCTGTACTTATATATTATATAGAGAGGAGTATATGTATTATTCTAGCGAACCCAGTGTAACATCGCTTCATACTTTAAAGTTTATCGTATCGGAAATCATAATTGATCATCAGAAGTATCAGAAAATATCTTTCATAAATTATTACTTATCGATCCTACGACCAAATATATAAGAAATTTATTCAATTACCAACTAAGTCTAAAGCACCGCGTACAACGTTCCTCCTATATCTCTCAGTGGGAAGAAAGGCAAGCTCTATTGCTACTGAGGCGTTATATTTATCTGACTCGAAATCTTTCACTGTAGATATTTCTGCCTCAGTACAGGATGGTAGACAGTCGCAGAAAAGACCTGTTCTTGACGACCAACGCGCTTTGAGTACCTGTCGAGATAACAATTATATAAATATTGGCAAGTAAGGATTGACTGACACAACTTCTTCATATCTAAATTTTATTTATACTTAACTATAAAAGTAATTTAAAATGATAAGATTAATTAATCAGTAATGTCTCCTTTGTTACGTTTATTTAAAACGACAGTGATAAAGACAAAACAAACAACCGCTTTACGATGTTCATTGTCAACGGTGAATATACAGTTTTTTTATGGGATGGCCTGGGTTTCCAAACGTTTCGGGATAAATTTTTGGCACAGACTCGACGTGTATGTCCGTATTTATGTACACCCGTCCTTCCCTCTATATACGCTTATGGTGATCAGTTTACACTTATGAATAAGGTAAATAAATGCCATTTAGTCAATATTAAAAACTTTGAGAGAAAACACACAATGGTGCTTAAAAGATAAGGCTTTTAAATGGACAACTTACCGACAATGTATTCAAGTTATTATAAAGACAAATAACCCCAGTCATATTGCATTTCAAGTGTTCCTCAACATTAGGCATGTAAAAGTTGGTGCAATTACACATTCGCAGTTGAGCATCCTTCCTACATTGAACTGTGCATGCCGTATATGAATAATACGGGTACACCTCTATATTATTTTCATCTGTGTACCGACATTTTCGTTTCACTGGAGATATTAACCTGGCTCCAGCATCGTTGTGTATGTCCTTTATTGATATTAAACGCCTTAAAAAATATCGAATGTTAAATGTTCATGTATTTATTTGTTTCAATATTGTTTAAAAGATTCGACGTTATTAATTTAAAAAAAAAATGCTATCTTGCAGAAAAGTTACTAGTGGTTGAACCTCTGGATTTAATTAACATTAACTGACTTATCTTCTCTAATACTAAAACGTTACGGTTCTTAACTATTTAATAAAGATTTAAACATGTTTACTGCAGAGTGCAGACCCAAATGATTCCAATGACCCAATAAATATAATCATGAATCGACCTTTACATTTAAATAAATGGACGATTTTGTGTACGGCTGCGCGTTACGTTTTTAAATAAGTTGCGTGTATTTTAACTTTTATTTCTACTAAACAAAGATGGTCAATGAACTTACGTTATTAGTAGAAAATTATAAACAATCACCTGTAATAACTTTCAGGCTTAACATTGATGACGTCAGATTCCGGAGTGGTGATTGATGGTACTTCTTCCTCGTTCAATACGTAAACTTTACCCGGTAAAAGAACCTTGAACGTCATCGTGCCTGGCCCTGTCGTTCGGTTGTTAACGAGCTCCAATTTTGGCGGACGCCTTTCCCTAAATAATGTGATTAAATTGGCTGCTGAAGATACGAAGAAATATTACTTTGCTCTAAGGTTGACCGAAGAGTCCTACTGCCTGTCCAGACGTGTTTTGGCAGGCACGCTGCGAGTGAGGGGGAAATGTGGCTAAAGACAAACATATTTGAAAATCGAATATGTACGAATGACGAAGCGTTAATCTACACGTATGTCATACCAATACAATTAAATAATACTATACTGTGTTATGCCTGTCTCTGGAGCTATACCATGAGTTTAATGCTAATTGCTAACGTCGGGTCACACACACAAAATATTTCACATAGACAATAGCGTTAAATACTTTTTCAAAGTAGTTGTAACTATTTGTTTTCTGCGTTGTTAACTTTCCAGCGGTTAAATGGGCCCTTTGTAACCTTTTACTATTTTTTTTAGTCAGATCGGCGAATCCCTCTAGATAATCGTCAGATTATGAGACAGTACGTTTAGAACATAAAGATGAACCACATATATCTTAATCTGACGCGCTTGAGTATTTCAAAATTGCGATTTTTTTTTGCAAATTAAGAAAATGGCTGTGGGTTTGCGTCCCATCGAAATCGTCAGATTAGTGAATGAGAGCTTTTTTTTGGTGCACTAACACTCCCTTAGAAAATCTGACGCGCTCGATAATTTTTTTTTTTTTTTTAATTTTCAACCCTTAAATACAACCACCCGCATCATGCAAACGATCAGATTAACATACGTACATTATCAAAAATACGTAGGGCATAGTGCTATCAAGATCTGACGCGCTACGTGACCATGTCTATGCAACAGTTTTTTTTTAATAGTTAACTATTAAGCCCCCCCCACCGATGAAAAGGAATTTATCATAACATTTTTTTTTAACTTTTTAACTAAGCTTTGAATCCCAATGGTCTCTACACGCTTAAATCCCCTTTAGAATAGATTGGGGTCCCTACAATACTTTTACCCCATCTTAAGTTCAATTAACAATACAATTAAATATCTAAGTAGTCTACGAGCTCTACCATAGTCTAACGCTAATTGCTAACGTCGGGTCACACACAAAATATTTCACATCGGGGTACCTTTTTAAATTGTTACCTTTTTTTTTCCGCTTTACTTTTCTTTTTTTTTAATTTTTTTTCTTTTTTTTATTTTCCGGGTCAAAAAATGCTTAATTGTTGAACCCGTTGGCATAAAACTTAAGACGAAAGATGGCGCCTTCCAAGCCGACAAGTAACTTACCTACTACTACGCCACAGTTCAGGTGATTGTGGACTCAAATAGAATTTTAAACTAGTCTTATAAACAGGTCTAGATTAATATAATGATTAAATAATTACGTTAATAAAACATTCACCTTCCTTGAATAGAATTTATCGCATAACAGATCCCAAGTTCTGTGTCCATTGGTCTAAAATAACTGCAACACTCGAAGGGTTGGCCATTCCAAGTACAAAACGATATTATAGAATTACAGTCGCCTCGGACCTTAAAATAATAAAGTGTATAAGCTCTTGTTAAAAACAATTGAGGTTTTTTTTAACAAAGTTGTTTTATTTATTTGAAGATTCATGACAACCGAGGCTTTCTGTGCCTGACACACGGTGTTAATTTTTGGGTGTTAGACTCTTCTCGCGACATTTTCTTTTAATCCTATGAGCATTGATTACTCTCATAGAAAGACAAATCCTATTGTACAAAGCCGAGTATTGAACTTGACTGTTCACCTCGTTGTTATAAATAAAGAATGTTTAAAAAATACACTATATCTGAGGCTAATATAGAGTTGGCGTACTACAGATACTTCTGAGAATATAAACATTATTAGTCTTATAAAAAATCTTACCAGGTTGACATAGTGGGTTATATTATGTTGAAAGCACTCTGGCAACGGGTCCTCGATGTTACAAAACTCGGTTGTATAATAAGCCGCCCCCTTGAAGTATGACAATTCCTTTAATACTTCTTCTATGTTAAAATCGTGATCTTTACCCCATAAACTACAAAATAACTTTATATTTAGCTAAGGTCGTAGTTAATATACGCGAGTTGATAGAAAATAGTATCGACGATAACTAAAATTTTTACTTGTAAACTGTTCACAATTGGTTCAGTGTTATATAAAGATGTCATAAATTCTACAAAAGTATTTTGTCAACTACACTACGAAATTTATTGCGTGATTAGCTTCCGATCGGATATAGATTCAGTTACAATTTAAAAGTTTTTAAGCTTACGAACACTATCTATAAATATATAGGTACTACATACTAAATTAATATTATAAAGCTGAAGGATTGTTTGATCGATCATACTCATCTCAGGAAATATTGTTTTGAATTTAAAAAAAATCGGTTCGTTGCATTTATCGTGGTAAACTATAGGCTATATTACTTTTTAAGTTTTAATGCGACAATTTCTTTAACTCATTGAGAGCTTGTATTGTTCCGTAAAGTATTTTTAATAAATGGCTTAACTAATAGCGTTAACAATTAATAAAATACTAAGTCCGGCTATATTAAGTAGTAAACCTACTAACCGATTTGAGATTTCTTGAATACTTGCATAACTTTCAGTCTCACAGACAACTATAGAAGGAAACTTAGTTGTCCAGTTGGTGTAGGTGGTCTCTACGACGAACGAAATCGGGTTGTTTATGTATGCATTGTATTGTGCTGCTATTAGAAGCGACGAACAATACCACGATAGACATACGAAAAACAGCCACAAAAATCTAAAAACATTGTTACAAAATGGTAATTTTGTTCTGATTCGTAGAAAATATATATCACTATTTATTATATTGCATTTACTCAATATACTTTAGTTATACAAAGTATTACTCATGTAATTTATCATCAATTATTGATTTTTTTAGATACATAAAGGTTTACCTTTCAATTAAATGCCTTTTGGAATCACCTATAAATCTAAAACCGTGTATTGATGTTGTCTCGGGAAAACTTTTGATTCCATTCCACCATAACGCTAAATATTTGTTACCTTTTCTTGAAAACATTTGAACAACCTCAGACGGAAAATAACAAATAAATGAAAATATTTATAGAGCTTTATTTTATACCTAACCAAAAGTCTGAAACTCCAATTTCTAACTTCCATTTATAAATAATGAACCTTAAATTGCCTACTCGTTGATTTTATCTATGATATGGGAAACCAACATATGTTTTGTTGTTTATTCAGTACAAATAAAAATATCTCTATCTATCATATCTAAAAATGTGAATTATATTTCGTGTTGCGTTACTAAAGAATAATTAATTATAGGATGAATTAATGATTGAATAAATTACTAAACATACCTAATACTAATCATTATACAACTTTATTGGATACTTTTCTTTCAAGAACTCTATTAACAATCCCACATTAAAACGATAACGACCTTAAAAAACTTCTATTAAAGTTAGTATCGTATTTGCTACCATAGTTACCATGTTGATTCCAAAGAATGGTATTGAACACGTTGCTAACTTTAATACACGTTTTATTATAGGGACGTAATTGTTAGCTGAAACACTTTTCAGTAGGCATTTTGCTACATTAATAACAAATTCATGAACGAATCAATTCTACGTCCTTTAAAATTGGTTTTCCACTCTGGACCCTTTAGGACCAGTGATTTCGTTCCAATATATCGGTCTGTAGCGACAGTCATGATCGAATTGAGCGGGAGTGGAAGCGCCGCTCGCAATGCGCCGTTCACGTCGCCGTCGAATAACATAGTCTCTCATGAGCTTCACCGTATAGAAATAAAAAAATTCCAATACAGATACAAAGCTGAAACCAGTTACGAAGCCGCATGTTGAGCCAATATTGCCTGCAAAACATACTATTTTCAAGTATTTACTAAAAGTAGTCACATATTTTATACTACTTAGCGCAGCTGTTCATATTCATAGTTAGTGTAAAATTAAAATATTTTCGTATTTATTTTAAACGAGATAACTTACTTATCAGATCAAACCATTTCATGATAACATTCTGCCCGTAACAATCAGCTACCTCCCTCCCGTATTTCACGTGCACAATGGAAGTTCCTGTAAAGTTTGCACCATGCCTGAAAAGGGTTTCGAGAGATTAATTTAGAAATTATGCATTTATGGGAATTAAAAATGTAACTACTTAATCACAAAGCATTTACCGTATTAGTTTATTACTCCATACAAATTTTTAGTTAAAAGTAACACTGAGGATTAAACATATCCAACATAAAGATGCATAGCAACCTCGTTTGTTGCATATCTTGTTATGGTTACTCCAAAGAGTAAATATGTTACCATGAACGACGGCGTCAAACATTAAGTCCATATATTATTTTGAAATGCTTGCTATTTAATATGGCCGGTATTAAAAAATCTGCTTTAATAACATCCGATTTCGAAGTATTTGGTAAAGTTCAGGGAGTGTTTTTTCGCAAACATACTCAAAAGAAAGCATCTGACCTTGGCTTGAAAGGATGGGTCATGAACACTCCGTATGGGACTGTCGTAGGCCAAGTTCAAGGTCCCCAAGCAACCGTTGACGACATGAAGGTGTGGCTTCAAAAAATAGGGAGCCCTAAATCCAAAATCGATAAAGCCACCTTCAGAAACGAAGGTCCTATCAACAACTACGCGTTTCGGACATTTGAGATACGTCGCTAATGCAAAAAACCGGTAATTGTAATTCGCTATCAATAAATTATATAAACGAAATAGTACTTTCACTTACAGCCAGTCTATCTTGTCCTTATCCGGTGTCGGGTTGACGTGGTCCGGAAAGATATGAACGTTGGTGTAGTCGTAATTATAAGTGGTCTTTGAACAAGTTGGGTAACACATTGGACAGTAAATACCTCCTCCTACTAGGTCGAGCTCCAATTCCGGTGGGATTTCTTCTAAATCTGGTCTGACGGTTGTAGATTGGGCTACGAAATTGGTAAAGCTTAAATAAAAGTGTAGTAAAAAACAACTCCCATAGTAATATTTGTTAATACATCAATCTTTGCACAAAGTTTCTGAGAAATGCGTAAGGAAGCTATTATATTTTTTTAACTTAAAAACTATAGATTTAATGAATATGACTTGACTTTAAAGCACAACAGGAATCAGTATACGCAAAAGATTACTCGGCAGAACAAAATATAGCTTGATCGACAGAGACTGATATACTTCTACTGAAGGCTTCAAATGTCGGGCAGGACGGTTGGTCGTTATTTTAATTTTTTATTGATTTCTCTTCGAAAAATCTAAATAGAAGAACAGAATGTCGTACCATGGTACTTCGTTAAGCACGGCACATCTGTCAAATCACACGTCTTTGTGTTTCTTATTTTGGGCATGTTGAAGGGCGTGCAATTGCATTTTTCCATTAGGAAAGACATACGGCACTTGAGCAGACAATCGCTGTGGGTGTAAAACGGTAGATACGAGGACTCATCGAAAAATAAGCATTTGCGAAGCTTCAACGATACATGTTCTATATCCCGCGACGCTTCCGTAAAGGATGCTGATGCTAATACCTCCAACTAAAAATATAAATAATTAATATACAATTATTTTAAGACCACCTCTGCCTTGCGATTCTGTAACTCACTTTTCGAACTCTCACAGCGGTTTTCGCGCTCAAATCAGTCGTGAAGCAGTCATTTTACGATTTGGCATTCTGATAATGAGGGAGCTTGTAGTTTATTGTTTATCAGAATGCCAAATTTGCCACTTTTCGAACTGACACAGAAGTTCGAAAAGAGAGTTACAGAATCGCAAGGCTGGGCTGGTTTAATAAGCCAGGACTTGACGCACAAGGGACCAAATGAGCGTCTATGTGCTGACTACTGGTGCACACGGAGTATAACGGAAACCTAGGTTTGAAATAAATATCCTTTAGGATCGGCAGGCGCAGAAGGCTGCTATGGAATATGGATAGCTTGGCTATGAAAAAAAAATTGTGCGTGTACTAGGTGTACACACACACGTAAGAAGTGAAACTTCTTTATGATCTTATTTTTCGAAAAATGATCTACTATATGCAACTTTACAGAAATTCGTTAAATTAGATAAAGTTTAACAAAAGGCTTTTATTATCATAGACATGAATACAAATATTTCATTTTACCTTATTACTACGAAGATTATTATAGAATTTCATTAATTGTAATAGAATTATTACTATCATTGAAAAACGTGACGATTTGCTACAAAATTTCTCCCATACGTCGATAAAGAAGTTTCATTCCAACGCCGATAAAGAAGTTTGACTTCAAAAAGCAACATGGCGCGTAACCGAAAAATGTGACGCGTAACGAAAAAATGTTACACTAAATTTTTTTCCAACCTCGATAAAGAAGTTTCACTTCAAAAAACAATAAAGAGCTTAATATGTCTCCCCATGTGGTTATGTTACATACACCGCCGGTATTCTATACGATTTTGTAAGAACATATTTAGAGTAGGTAATATATAGAACATTTTAATATAAATATCTCCCTACTCACTTGAACATGTGGACTGACTATTTGCATTGAAAAACTGCCACTTGGTGCATCAGGAAAATCATAAGCATCGGAGAACTGTAGCTGAAAATTTGCATCTTTATCATCACCATCATCAGTGGCTATTCAGCCCAATAACAAGCCTACAGGCATACTAGTCCAGCCATAAGTTCTAGTACAAGTACAAGTACAGGTTAAATTTTATTAAAATTTATACCTACATATTTATTAAAGTCTTAGCAAAAAATAAAAAAATATTCTATTCGAAATGGCCACCTTTGGCTTTTATTATTTGGCTTTTATTACAGGCCTTTAATCTGTTTGGCCCCGAATCTATGGATTTACGCACTGTTTCGCCACTTTTTGCTCCAAATATTTTTTAAGAGACTCAATGTCGCCGTATCGTTTAGGGCAGGCCATGTCCTCTAAATCTGATCATAATTTAAAGTCTAAAGGGTTAAGGTCTGAGCTAGATGAGGGCCAGTCTTCAGCTGTTATGATTCCGGGACGTTAGTTTCAAGCCAGGCTTGGGTAGTTCGTGCCTTGTGCCCAGGAGCTGAATGCTGCTGGAAAGTCCACGGTACATTTTTTAAAAGTGTATTACTGAGAGGTGTCACAACATGATCCAAGACTATATTTTGATACACTTTGTCTGAAGTTTTCACTCCTTTTTCACAAAAATGTAATTTTGTGACTCTTTGATAAGACCCACCCCACCAAACCATCACTAACGCAGGATATTGACCACGTTGTACGTTTCCGACCACTTGAGCAGCTTCTTTAGAACTGTGAGTTTACACTTTATCATTTTGCTTATTGTACTGTTCTTCAAATGAAAATTGTTTCAACGGTAAAGAGGAATTTTTCTGTGCTTTTCACCTGCGTATCGCGACAGGAGTTTTGATCGTTCCATTCTCTTCAATTGTAAAGATTGATTTAGGGAATGTCATGTGTATTGACGATAAGCACCGAGCTTCAGGTCTTGTTTTATAATACGCGACACAGTCCTAGTCGACGTCGTCTTCATTTCTCGCGATATGATTTTTTGCTGGGGTTGGGGTTTCGACGAATTCTGGCTTTAACAGCGTTAGGAGCCTTTGTAGTTCTTACAGCACGCAGCCACCTCTATCTTTTCTGGTTTTCGACAGACGAAGTTTTGTTGTATCAGTTGATAGTGTTCCTACATACGAACATACAGCTGATACCAAGCTTTGGAAGTGTCTGGAATATGACTGACGCGACGGCTCCATACTCACTTTGTAGAAGGCGATCACTGCATTCCTATTTTCTTTAACACTCCATTCCATATTTTAATTTGATAATGAACACGAAAAAAAAATGTGAAATGGCGCAAAATCGAAAGAAGTTTTTAAAATAATATACGTGTTCCAAATTCAAAATAATTAAAAAGTTAAAAATTGAAAAGTTTTTATGTAACAATATTTATGGCCAAACTAGTTATTATGTTTACTTTAAGAGAGCATTCATGCAGTTTTTTAGAAAGTTCTCTTTATAAAAATGTTTAAATGATGCGCTATCGAATTACATTTCCGAATGTGACGAATGCTATACTAAACATAAATAAAAATGCAACAAATTTATGTTTATTAAAATTTTAATACTACCTGAGCTCCATTTAAAGGTGTGTTATAGAAGAAGTCGTCATCCTCTTCTAAGTACAGTAAGACTTTTAATCCTTGGTCGAAATCAAAACTGGATTTGTTTCCATACATATACATATCAGTACTGCGAGCGTCAGTACTTCTGTAGAATAGGAATGAGGTCGTAGATATAAAGGTATACAATATCAAACAATTTTGATACTCTAAGTTCAAAATCTAATACAATATTACATACGGGCGTCAAACTTAGCTTTTCTTCAGCTAACACTAGACCGTAGTAATTGCCAATCCAATAATAAAGTCGCTTATAGGGTTATATGCATAAAATAAAGAAAACTTATATACTGATTTACTTAATACTTTCATTGAAAAATAAACAACTTGTAGCATTGCCGACTATTATACACAATCAAATAGGTAAGGTAACAGAAAACTAAGAGTGATTAGTTTTCTGCAGACATCAAAATTTAAAAACTTATTTTTACTAATGTTTCAAATTTAATAAGCTCTGCTAATACACTTATAAATAATTGAGTAAAAATGGAACCATACTCTTCAAACATAACATCTGAACTGCGAAGGTAGTTAAAAGTGCAGCAATATCCGTTCATTGTGAGGCGGAAATCAAATAATTTCGAGCATGCCATCGGATTCTCATTCCAAGAACATCGCAAGAGCAAGTCCTCGCATTTTGGGGTTAACTAAAACATAAACGTTACTTTAGTTGATAATTGACAGACTAACAAATGTTGTGTAACTATCACCTTGTCTTGTCTTTGTCCGACATCAATATCAGCCTTATTCTACTTTAGTTACTAAATAATTTTATTGTTGGTGATACCAGCTGTCATCTAAACTTTACTAGACACTGTACTATTTACCTACATACTGAACGTGAAAACAAGAATAATAATTGACGATGGAAAACTTAAATTAACATTACATTTTTCATTAGCTCATTGACATCATATTCTCCGAGAGTTTGATGGAGTTCCATCACATCTACAATATTGGGATCCATTTGAAGATTGTATAGCAGTCCTAAACCAAATAGCATAGACAACATCTTTTTCTCATTGTACTTTTCGTTTCGTTTCTCTTTTAATCTGAAATTTATTTAGCGTCGTTTTAATATTTAGATTTTTCTACTTGATTTACGTCCAACTAGTAACATTGTACCATTATCAATGTGAATTCTGGTGAATGGTTATGAAGTCTTATGGTGTATATTTTGTAACGATGTTGTTTTATTCTTCCCGTAATAGGTCATGGTAACTTTAAGGCTTCAAACCTAACATTTTTCTTTTTACATTATTACAATTTGACGTCAGATCCATTGGCTAAAAAACCAAGTGAAAAGCTATAAACTAGACAAAAAACAATCATACTGCACACTTAAAGCATATCCTTTTAATAATTAACCACTTTGAATTTAAGAAATTGAACCTTAACCCTTAGTTAGATAGACATAATACGCGTAAGTTGCCGATACCAAAACTTACAATGCGTTTGCCAATTCAGTTACTGCTCGCTTGCTAATTCTATTATTAGTACAAATCCCAACAGCTGGAAATATTATTTTATTGATTGAGATCCCTTCTGGTATCTGAGTGGTGACTAAAGGTGCCTGATAGTATCTTTGAAAAGTCATCCACACCAGGGACACAGAGCATATTAAAGCAGCTATCAATGTGATGGTCCAGATAGCTCTGAAATTAAGAGCTTTTTTAGATCTCAAAATATTAATCACACGCGTTTTTTATATATATGCTTTAATATATAATGACTAATGCGTCATACAAGATCGCGACTTGTATACAACTTATTACGCGATAGATGTGTACAAGAAGCACACACGGAAGGAAGAAATATTTATTTTTTTCCACAATTTAATGCAAACAATACATAATTTATCTATGTTCAGAGATTATATGCACCTCATAGATTTGAATTAACAGATCTATAACAAATAATATATAAGAAACCGAAGCATTTAGAAAATTGTGAGTAATTTAGCACGAACCTGATAAGTTCATGAATCGTGAAAGTAAACAAACAGATTTATTTTTATCCTAAATAATAGTTCGGGGAACTAAGATATGTGGTAGAATTTCTTAGTTATTTTTTCATGAAATATTAATAGAATTTTATATTATGATTGTTGCAGATTAAAGTATGAGCTACCTTTCACTGGTACACATAATTATTATGTCATAATTTCAGACCAAGCTCTTAAAATTATATCATCGTAAGTGCGTCTCGAACGCTACTCTTACAACTTTCAACTGTAGTTTACCTACTCTTTCAAAATTTGTATTAATAATATTGACAACATTATCCATAGATATGTATTACGAAATATGTACAAATACTTTTAATTTCTTAAATAGTACCTAAACAACAAATAGCGAGTTCGTTTATTATTTATATTTATAATAAGCGTTTATTAGAAATCGCTGGACTGATTAATAATCTAATAGATAACTGAAAGATTGAATCAAAATCAAAACATAAGTTTGTTATATAACAGAATATACATCTAAGTACGTCGGTATAAAGATTCAATGATCTAAATGTACATATAATACCAGTTCTCATCTCAGTCAAGGGCATAGATAGGTCGAAAAGAACAGGCAATAAACTGCCTTCGATTTTTTTTAATACGTTCAAAAATAAGGTTTATAATCCCACCTTTTAACTTATATAATTAAAATCCAAATCACGTACTTCTCTATATGAGGTGTCCTTTCTTCAACTAAATGTTTGAGCCCTGAAATGGACGACTCTTTACAATACTCTTTTGTCACACTTCTTACACTTTCCAACAGAGTTTCTCTTTTAGTTGGTCGCATTGTCTTTTTCAATCTCTGACGATATAGATTGGCGGAGTAGTTTTGATTCATTTTTACTTGTGAAATCAGGAAATGTACTAGTTAGATATAAAGTTAACGATCAATTTATAAAGTCTAGTGTATGTTGTTAAATATTCAATTATAAGATAACATCGAGCTTTGATGAGGAGTTAAACGTGATTGATCGATTCGTAAAGATAATCATTATTGTTGACAAATGGCTTTAGTATAGGAAAAAAAGTCAAACTAAATGTTTTGTTTGGCTGTCAGAAATAAGAGTTTGTATGCTTTGATGCAGAGTTCCTAACGAGAAGGCCAAAAAACCTAACAAAAAAAATTGTAACCAAGGATGTCGATATCAGTGGACCAATGAACGTTGTTCATGTTATTACTGACAAATAAGTGATTAGGCATAATTGCCTTTCAACCAACAATAATTGTTTATTCAATTGGGAATAAAGACAAGACCAGCGAGTGTCACGGACACGAATTTTTGCAAGAATTGGACTTACACAAAAATTGCATTAAACACGTTATGCAAATCTTAAACATAAAACAAATCACATGATTGGCCATAACAAGATTGCGAGACAATTGCACCAGAATCGCTGATAAATCCACATTTAGTGCAAACATGTAATTGGAGTACTGATGCAATAATATAATTTGGCATCAATCAATATATATTATATGCAAACAATTAAAAACGCCTGTAAGCTTAAAGAGTTGAATTGTATGACACAATTATCGTTAGGCGCGTGTAGTGCTTCAGAAAATGCCCAGAGCACCTAATGTTCTGCGCTTATTTCCCAAAAAGGTTTTGGTATCGTTGATTAAGCATGACTGTGCATATTTGTTCAACTTTTTACTTGTAAAAGCCATTTACTGCGACATAACACATACAATAAAAATGCCGATGAACTTGTTTAAAATAATATGACCTAGTAGTGCGGAGAAAGGATACAACTTGCCACTATTAAGATCGCTTTTCGCATCAACAAATATCCGTAAGTTTATGTAACTGTTGCATAAACTAATAACATCTCAAATAGATTGTGTCTCTCGCGATTAATTTCAACTAAAATTTTATTAAAAATATACGTCAATCTCTCCTGCTGCTTCGAACCTGTGCTCTTTTGAAGAAAAAACGTGCGTTTTTACATGCTTATTCAAAATTTTAAAGCCCTATAATTCCGCAATGGGACAGTTCATACTACTTCAACCTTCTGTGTCTACCAGCCCATAACTTTGAAATAAATTTACTACATACATACATACATTATTACAATTTTGTGGAGATTTCTATGTGGTTTATAGTAGATAATAACCTATTCAGTTGTCATGTATTATATCGTGGATGTAGCTGTATACATAACTGTTATATGAGTTAATGTAAAAGCTAGTTAGTTTGAAGAATATATAATATTTAGCTGCAAAGCGTTTTGTTGCACGAAAGCAATGACAATACTAAAGATACTATCAATATAATAAGCGCCGATAGAAATCTGTTTAGGGGTCCCATGGCTCGATGCTAGCTTAAAGTACAAAGGTAAATAGATTGCTTTTGATTTTCATCGCCTCGAAGATTCTTATTCATAAAAACTATATCAATCTAATTGTAGTCTTCTAAAGTTCTCTTTTGTTTTTTTTTTCTGTAAAATTGTCTTTACATTGAGATGAAAAGATATCGAAGTGTAGTTTAGTTTAGTTATTTTTTAAGAATAAGGACTTTACTTTTTTATTAAAGTCTGTTATAATGGAAACTAAAAATTATATTTAACGACTATCAAATTAATAAAAACTATTTGTCGTCTTTCAAATTTTTCTTTTTCGCTTTAATTTTTTTCATGGTCTTAATAGTTAAGTATTTGGTACTATCGTAAATATTGTGTACATTATAGTTCATTGTAATTTGAAAATTGAATTTGTAATTGTAAGTCATCAAGTAATAATATTATTTCAGAATATGTGTGGTGAAGGATGGTCTGAGGTAGTGGGTGAAGCCTCTCACTTGTGTTTGTTCGCATTTACTCGCTGCGCCTGAGTTGAAACGCCATACAAATAAAGGTTTTGTTTTGGGCGATTTAGTGAAGTGATTTGCGCTAAGTAGTGCTAATAGGGAATTAGGTAAGGTATTTGTTTTTACTAACACTTAGAAAATAACATGTAATATTTATGTTAACGAATTATTTAGTTTTTAAGGAATTAAACATTTAAATTCGGAAATAATAATTAAATATTTTAGACGTAAATTTATTTAGATTCCATTCAAAATTGTTTCGGCTAATAATTTTCATTTAGCGTAATAGTTACTTATTAACTCATCGACATGAATAATTAATTGGTTAAAATACTTAATAAAGCTTATGTTATATCGGACCAAGTGTTTACATATAACTCATTAATAACAATCTAGTTGCGCATAATTATTCTTAAACTTAAATATTTATTTTAATGGAATACCTATAATCTGTTGTATTAAAAGACATAATTAAATATTTTGTTTATAAGGTCACTATTTCGCAGTTTTTGCTAAATTTAGGATGGTTCTCGAGTATTGACCAATGCGTGGTTTTGAAAGTATAATGGTAGTTACTACTATAACCTTGAGCTATTGTTAATGCACTGACGATGATTTTAACATAAAACTACGATATAAATATAATTGCACAACCTGGCGCCGGCGCAGATTTTGAATTCTATCGTTTTAGAAACGTGTTTTTTTGTGTGTGGTCAGTAAGATTACCATATAACTTAGTATATTTATATCAATAATATATGATACAGAGAACACTTGTATTTTTTATGTCTAAACAAGGATTCAACACAGCTACATAGTTTAAAGTAAATCAAATCTGTTCTTAACGTTTATAATGTAATGAACGACTCTGAGTGCGTCTGTAAAAGAGTTAGAGATATGTAATGTAATATGGACAGTTTTCAATCATATTAAATATACGAGTTTTTTCATTAACCATATAAATTTGTTATTGCAAAATTTTTTAGCCAAGGTTGTTGACTCCACTTTAAATAGATCACTGTTAGCTTCTTCTAACAGTAATTCAAGGTCAAGGTCACATTGACATGAGTTCAATGTTAAATGTTGATACGTTCGGAACGGTGAAATTTGTTGAGGTATTTACATAATATACCAATGGGGAATTAAATATTTTAGTTATAATACGAAAAGTAAACAAATTTACAAGCAGTTTACTTTCTAATACTGTCTTATAATATTCAAATGCCAATAGCGGTTCAGATTCCTGTACCTACGTATAATCATTTTTATTATTCTTAATAGTAGCTGATCAGCCTTCCGTGCCTCACACATGCCGTCGATATTACAGTCCAAGGCATCCCGGTTTTCTCACGATATTTTCCTCTACTTTACAAGCGAGTGTTAATGCACTTAGAAAAAAAATCCTTTGATCCACAGTCGTGAGGCGAGGTCGAGAGACGTACGCTTAGGCCACTAGGCCGACACTGCTACTGGCTATAAAAATAAGTGTTCAATAGTTATATCCTTGAACAAATATTTTTTCAAAGATTACCTTTGACACTCGCGCTAGTTAAAAGCCAAATGAAAAGGTCGAGACAGTTTTATAATTCTAAGGGTCTGTTTCACAATGTACGACGGATAAGTTCTACATAAGTCCCAAATTAGCTATTTATTACTTATTGGTAGAATAAACACTATTGTTGCGTTTCACGTCTGTCAGATAGCGCTATTCGTCACATAAAGTCCATCATAAGTTTTGAGTCCGATGAATGTCAAATAGCACAATTTATCTTCCAAATAATTTATTTGTTGCATAGCTATTTGGTACTTTATCCATTCATTGTGAAACAGACCCTAAATTCATTTTTTTTCTTTCACTTTTTTATAGATACAATGCTTCTCAAATGCACCGTTTTATTCTTATCCGTATGCCTCGTGGGGTGCCTTCCACCACCACACCCGGCCGTGGTGGCTGTGAGACAGTCTGAAGAACTTCTTCCACCACATTTGAGGAGCCCTGCGTTAAGAAATCCCCATTTACAAGAAATACTTCCGCTGACAAGTTTGCTTCATCATGGAGAAAATGTGGTCCGTATTTTTATATCCGTTTGAGGTAGTAATTGGGTATATTTGGGTTTCAGTATAGCCAACTATAGGCTCAAGTATTATTTACAGTTTATTAAATTCAAAAGCGATAATCAGCCCGCTTTTGTGTTTTTTACTTTGCGTAAACTTTTAATAAAAAACAGCCTTCCGTGTTCTTTCTCTTACTGCAGCATTATGACCGTTTTCATCTATCTATATAAATATTTGTGTAAATCATGCGTCCAATTAACAATACTTCTCAAATATAATTAGAGTAAGGTCTGCCTTATTACCCGACACTGTTATTTACTAATACGTTGTATCAGTCCTGCTTGGATGAAATTTTAACTCCTAAAAATCCATATAAAGGTTGAGAACGAGTTTTTTTTTCATTTGTTCCTTTAATGGGTTTTGATGCAACCTCTTTTAATTTTCGACTGTAGAAACCAGACTTTATTAGAGAAATTAATCATATACAATAAGTATACAAGAGTTGAGTATCATCAGAATTAAAATAATTTAACAGGTATTCGAACGAGAAGCAGACAACGTATCACGAAGCGAGATCTACAAAATACTTACGCACGCCGGTTTTCTAAGAAGACAAAACTATTTAAAACAATATAAACCAGAATACTTTGGTAACTACCCTCCTAGCCATGACTCTTCATTCTTACTTAACCCTGAAGTTCTACAATATTTATAATACATATACATGGCAATATACACTTAAATTTATTTCCTCTTTAGTTCCTTACCACCGTAAAAACAGCATTAACTCAAAAATGTGTCTGGAATCAAAACAAACTCTCATGTAGCCTTAGGCACTTAACTTGTAGCCTTTGCAGAATACAGCTATTGTTCAAAAATAACATCACACGTTGAATTTAATATTTAATTATAATTTCTGTCACACCTTCTTTAATAACTCCTCAAAAATACGGTGTACCATAAATTAAAATAACTCTAAGTAATGCTGGTTTCTGTGAAAACTAAATGTTAAATAATTGTACATAATGTATAAATGTGAATGTAGATTAAGCTGTACAGAAAATAAAAAAAAATTTAAACGATTTATTTCTTATATTGCCTTTATGAATTCTACTATCCAATAAAATATTAAGCTTTGTGTCCCTAACAACAATTATACCTATTGCAATTTCATAATACACAAATCCTTGAACATTCATGCCCAGTTATCATGATTATTTCATTAATTATTTAAAGCGCTTGCACAACAGCAATTACTCTACTAACAGAACAAAGTAGCACTAATCATTGTTCACAGTCTGGAAACGATGCCTCTATCGTGTAAGAGACATTTTAGGGAGTATTGTAAAAATTGCACATTTGCCGGACTTGCATTGATTGCCGATGATACAAAGCATTGGACTGAACGGTTAGTAGTTCTATATTCGATATTTCCTACTCTCAGCCTTGCGATTCTGTAACTCACTTTTCGAACTCACACAGCCGTTTTCACAGCGGCGGTCGCGCTCAAATTAGTCGTTACTGAGTCATTTTATGATTTGGCATTATGATAAGGACAGTTTCATACGTTGATACGTAAGAGTAGTGTTCATTTATTATTGAATATAAAACTATCGAACTAAACTAAAAATTGACTGTATAATATACTACTATAAGGCGCAGTAGACTGTCAATGTGCAAATAGTCAAATTCCTCCCAAGTCCTCCTATTTCTATGCTGAACCGCTACTAAAATTTATTCTACTACGACAGATGGTTTTGGGTAGCACTAGTGGTGCTCTCGTGGTACGGTTCTGGGCTATTAGTACAATCAGCATGGACTGCATTTGTCAGCAATCCCATAAGCTTTGGGGTGGAAACGACATACACTGATTGGGATACAAAGATGCCCGCTGTTTATATATGTGAAACTTCTAACGATAATAGGATCTATGATGTTGCGGATACGTGAGTTCTAGAATACGAGTACCTTAGTTGTTTTTCTTAACACTTAGTACATATAAGTAGGTACAATTGTTATTGAAAAAGTTTAAGTGTATAAAACCTAGCCTTTTTGTGAAATATTTTCAAAAACAGATATGAAATTTTTTATAGTTATAGGAGTAGTAGAGAATATCTTAATCCAATTTTGAGCAAGTAGGTAGTTGAGACTTTTTAAGGTCTGAGCCTCAGATTGCTGTATCTGTTACGTGAACATTTCTCTTTTGTAATAGGCAAATACGTGATCAGCCTATGCCTGACACACGCCGTCAACTTTTTTGGATCTATGGTATACTTCCTTGCATCCTTCACCGTACGAGCGAGTGTCTAGTGTGCACATAGATAGAATGTCCAATGGACATACATAGCCGGAGTTCGCACCTACGGCTGCAGGGATGAGAGTCACACTCTAGGCTAACAGTACTCGAGCTAGTTATAACATGTGAATGAAAAACAATCACCTCTTTCCTTATATAAACGTGCTTCAAATGACACACAAAATGCGTTCAGAATTTTAAAACGTTTAATTATCTTAATTTTACAGTTATTTGAGTTGTATAAATTATATAAACTTACCGTAATTAACAATTCGAAGAAAGAACCTGTCTTATTGCATATTATGATTTGCTCTGTTAAGTTAGTAAGGGCTGATTTCACCAATGTCGTAGTTATCCGAGAATAGCTATACCAAGGATAAACATATTCGCTTGAATTTAATCCCAGACTACTCACTTTACATTTCACCATGTAAAACATCCGATAAACTAGTCTCAGATTAGCTATTCTTTGGAATAGCCGTTATGCTTATCTGTGGAAGTGTATATTAAGTGAACGAACGAATGAGTGTATAATGAAAACAAATTAAATGTGCAATTTCTTTAAAGAACATGAAGGTTAAATGGAACTTTTTACTTTAGTTGGATTATACGTCAGTTTGAAGCTGTCATGGAACCTACTTTGTAATCTGTGGTCAGGTCATAGAAGCTTTGTTTTGCCTGAGTGTTTATTTTGGTTTTGATTTGAAAGAAGAAAATAAATAACAGAAACAATATCGTTCATGATAATGACCGCTAGAAAAAGAAGTCCTAACTGGCAAATGTACCAGTAATCCTACCTGATAACTGACCATTTTAATCTTGCCTTGGATATGGATATTGATGACTGTGCTTTAATATCTGTAGAGGATGCTGGAAATACCCCTCTCACTCAAAAGAAAAATTGGAGCAGCAGACGCAGACCTACTTTACCGGTTTCTTCAACTTTAGAAGAGTTACATAAAATTAAAATAAAAGCTATGAATTTTGCTGCTGAGGAGAGAGAGGACGGAAAAAAATTTGAAGTTGAAATAAAAATAAAAAATGAAATATTAAAACGGGAGAAAATCAAAACACGAAATCTTTTTGCACAAATGAAACATCGAAGAATAAATAGAAAACAGCTGACATGACATGGCGGCCATTTTTATCCAAGGAATATCTCCGTATTCGTTCAAAATTGGGCGTATAAATCTTATCCTTGGAATAACGTTTTATTCTCAGGTTAAGTAGTTGGTGAAATGTAAAATTTGCTATTCCAGGGTTAATTCCTTGGAATAAAACTTATCTGAGTTTGGTGAAATTAGCCCTAAGTCTGCCTTTCTTATTCCAAAGAAACACACGCGCTTAAAAGAGACTTAGACGTATCAGTGACCCAGAAAATTACTGCAATATGGTATTCGATATAGATTTAACATTTTAGAATCTGGACGCCCGATCACTTACTCGATCTAGAGGATGTTATGAAAGACATTGTATACTTCCGTGGTGCCGCTTTCAACTTAGTTAATGTGTGTGTCCAATCGAAAAATCCAGATCCGAAATGCCCTTTCTCCAACTACAGCTATTACGTGAACCTCGTGAGAAGTACTTGCCCGGAACTCCTTATAAACTGCTTATTTGATAAGAAAGAGTTTGATTGCTGCAAATATTTTGTGCCCATACACACGGATATGGGAACTTGTTTTGCCTTAAATTCTGTTCAAGTTAAGTAAGTATACTATACTATTATATTATTTATACAAGGCGTTCAAATTGCATTGATGTCACTGAACTAAAAAAATTATAACTGAAGGTGCTCGACACACCGAAAGCTCGCGTAAGAAATATCACATATGTGTGTAAGATTTTACCTTAAGAGATATTTTTTTCAAGGAATCCCATCCTATACCCAATGGTTTTTAACGTGACGCAAAAAGAAGGCGTTCTTAAATTTGAGACTCTATTGAATACGATGGTAAGTTAAGAATTTTGTCACGTAACTATTTACTTAAAATGCCATACTATAAATATAATAGTGACTCTATTAGTTATGTCACAAGAAGCGCTTTTCGGTTAAATTATTGAAACTATAACAAAATGAAAACTATAAATCGAATTGTTTTTTCTATTTCTCTTAACAAAATACTTATTAAATGTACCTTAATGTTTCGTATATTGACCCAAAGTGGTAAAATTTAACATGGAGGGAAAATATTTGCGGAAAATACGTTTAGTAGCCATTCTCAGATCTTAATTGCCTATTTTTATATAGAATAAAACTATTATACTTATTTAAAGTTATACACTCTTGGCGAGGACGAGGTACCTACTGTCACCACGCTTACGTCATCAACGCTGAAATTAGTGCTTGGGAAAAATTATCAGTGAGTACTCCTAGACTAGTAGAATCAGGATTTAATTCGAGGAATCAAATTTGTTAAAACACATATAAACGGTCACCTACGTGGGTGGTCCCAAAATGAACAGGCCTATCTATGAAAAAATAAATCACCAGTAAGCCCGACTCTGGCTTACTCTAATCTTTAAGCGGCGGTGACTTAAAACGTCCTTTTCAATTTGAACAACAACCTGAAACTTGTTCATGAGTCAAAAATTCCACGGGCTTACAATCATGACTGATGTCTTCCATTGTTTCTCTCTCGACATTCCTCATTCACCGCTTTCTTTACTGTGCTGTAGGAGGGCGAAGCCTTCTTCTGCACGCCTTCCTATCGTTTTTTTTATTTGGGTCGGATAATAACATACTATCCGATGCAACAGAGCGTATCAGGTTTATTCTGTGACCACCTCGTATATACCAAGAAGTCATCATCTTTTGTGAAAAAAGTATATTATAAAACAGAAATAACATATGAAAACAGACAGCTTTAATATTTTGCCATAGATATACTTTTATAGACCAAGATATATAACGTAAAAGTGTAGAGAACACGGTCTTTATTATTTTACAGGCGTCAAGTAGTAGTGAAGAACATTGAAAACGATCCTTTAACTGTGGAAACAACTCCTGCGCAGAGAGCTTGTCGTTTCTCCTATGAAAATGATAATGGACTATATCCTTTATACTCTTACAGCACGTGCACCGTGCTATGTCGCAAACGAGAACAAATGAAGCTTTGCGGATGCACTGATCATTTTATGATTGGATCTGGTATTGCAATAATTATGTGGTACACAAATTGGGTAAAAAAGTAGAGTTCGTTACAAAAATAATTATGACTGTGGTATCTAATTGAAGACAGTATTTTATTATAATTTTATTACATATACTTATTTATATACAGCAGAAAAAAATCACAAACACTAATTATATACATACTATTATGACTTATTATTACACTAACATACTCGTACATTACTAGCCTAAACTACTAACAAACTTTATAAACATTAAATAATAAAAACATCTGACAATCGTCTCCTAATGCAGAACTGAGGAAACGGTTCAATAGCGAAATCATATGCGGGATTGGTGACTGCTGGCGGAGGACAATTCGTGTACTCCACCCTGACAGCAGAGCCTCCGGGATCTAAAATACTTTTTCATGATATTTCCCAAAATTTGAAATACTTACAAATATTTAATCTAATACCAACACTATTAATTATTACAAATTACACTTACATAATATAAATAAGAGAATTTTGGGACCTTCTTGTACATACTGCTCAGTAGAATGCTTAATTTCGAATAGCTTAAAGGGAACTTAAAATTATGTATTAAAAAGCAGACTTACCTATACGACGAGGCTCACGACAAAATTCTACAGTCTCACTTAACACCATATGAGCCTGTTCAGATGATGTTTTTTCTTTATAAAAATAGTGCGTAACTTAACACGTAAATTAAAAAGTTGATTCTATAGAGTATGTTTCAGATGAATCAAAAATGTGCAATGCAAGTGGTTTGCTTTGTCTCCATCGTCATTTTAGTCAGTTGACAACTCTGAAGCCGCGTTGGGCAGGGAGACGGCCTGGTTTAGTTTGTGACTGTCTACCTTCATGTGATGAAACTGAGATTACTATCATAAAAGACGCTGTTACGTCTGCCGGGTAGGTACTGTTGTCATACATATATAACCTTAAGTTAATACCTACCTGTCAATACTTGTAGTAATATTGAATGACACTAATCTACGTTCTTTTGTTACCTTTTCATGTATCAATTTTATATTGTATTACTTTCCTGTTGCTTACAGTCTCGGATAAAACGTCATTATAAAAGTTAAATAATAATGAATGTATAATTGAATCCATATTCTTTAGCATTTTAGCTTTCATAGATAATGAGACAAAAACTTAATTCTCGTTGCAGACGTGCTCGAAAAAAAAGAATAGCAGTAGAGTTAAAAATGGCCTATTTACCAACTGAGAGGTTTAAAAGAAACGTGGTTAGAAGTCGCCTTGACTTAGTTGGTAAGAAATATACTTCAACATGTAAATGGTAACTTAAAAACAGGTAACCATGATTAATCTTTGAAGTTATTATATCTTCATATTGTATTAATGGTGTTAATGGTGAATTTCCGGATCCTTAAAAAGGCCAGAGTTGTCCTATCCATAAATCTGGCCCCAAAACCGAACCCGGCAATTACAGACCAATATCTATTCTACCTACAATATCAAAAATATTAGAAAAGATTATTTACTCACGACTTGACACTTACTTGCAAACTAACAATTTCATTTTTAAACGCCAATATGGTTTTAGATCAAAAGCAGCACTTTATCAGCCACAGCCGATTCGTTAGCGACATAAAACAAAATATTGACTCTAAGAAAATGGTGCTGGGTGCTTTTTGATCTGAAAAAAGCGTTTGACACCGTAAGCCACAACTTATTGCTTAAAAATTAGAATGCATAGGAATAAAAGATCGTGCACTAATTTTCAAGTCATATCTATCAAACAGAACCCAGATAGTAAAAATAGGTAATGCTCAAAGTTCAGAAATACCAATAACATGCGGCGTCCCACAAGGATCTATATTAGGTCCATTGTATTTTTAATATATATTAACAACATTCACGAACTCGGTTTACACGGCCGAATCACTCTCTACGCTGATGACACCTGCTATTTTACTTTGGTTCAAATATCCAGACTATGGTTGCTCAAGCTCAATCAGACCTAAATGTTCTATCTTCTTGGTTTCAACAAAATCTACTAACAATTAATATTTCAAAAACATCTTATGTAATATTCAAGGCAACAAATAAACTCATTCCTATCTTTCAACCGCTTAAGTTCAAGACGTTGAAATCAATAACAAAAAATGGGAGAAATATCTGGGTCTTAGAATGGATACAAATTTAAAATGGTACTTTCATATATCACACATAATTACCAAACTAAAATCACTTATAGGCAGATTTTGGTCAATATCTATGCATTCCGCAATCTGTACGTCATTTGATCTATAATTGTTTAGTCAAGCCACATTTCATATACCTAATTGAAATATGGGGTACAGCATGCAAAAACAAAATTTCTACAATACAAACACTACAAAATAAATTAATAAAAGCACTATTCAGATACAATTTTTTAACACCTACTAATAAAATCTACCAAGAAACTAAAATTATGACGATTAAACAACTATATGTTTATAGCACCTGTATCCTTATTAAAAAAAATTTAAATAACTCTCTACATAGTAACTTATCATTTAATAAAATCAAATACACCACTACACGCAATCTCGTCGAGCGAGTTTGCTTATCTTGCCAAAGCCGCGCACAAATTATTTAAAGAGATCTATTAGGTATGAGGGTGTGAATTGTTTAATCGGTTGCCGTCTAAGCTTCGTAACATTAGCGTGATTGATCAGTTCAAAGGGCATTAAAGACACACATCAGAATGGGCCCATTAGACTAGAATTGGGCTAGCTGTGGCGACGTGTATCTCGTTCGTATATATACTTAATATTAAATTTCTCTGTAAATAAAAAATTTTTTGTATGAGAAATAAAGTTCTTTAAACATTATTTGATATATCGAAGTCATACTGATCGCTATGTCTCGATTATAACTTATTCAATATAATAATAATAATAATAATAGATCTCTTATGTAACCGTTATATCAAAAACAACTTATTATATCAATACAGCTTACTACTACTGAATAATAATCCAAAAATACTATTCCAGTTTCGATTGGTGGCGCTGCTGGACTCTTTGTCGGTGCTAGTTTGTTGAGTTTCGTCGAACTAATTTTTTTCTTTACAATACGACTCTTGGATAATATTTATTTGGAAAAACGCAAGAAAAAAGAAAGAACTTCTGTCAGGAATTTGAAAACTTTCCAACCAGCTATGCCGAGGAGTACAAGGAGGTTTTATTCGCAGAGAAGCAATTTAATAACTTTTAGACCTTAAGAAATCTCATTCGCTGTAATCGATTCATCAAACTAATTTATTTAAAAATCTACTCACAATTGGGATTATTTTATTATAACAAAAAAACTAAATTTCCAGTGCTTTCCCCACGTTGGTTGTTGTCAATATAATTAAAAATATGTTACAAATATAATTTAATAAGGAGTGTTGTAGTTTGACTTTTTTTAACGTGATCTACATAAAAATAATGTAGAAATCATCATATTGCTCAATATTTACCCTGCCAAAGGAAACCAAACCCTTCTAATAAAAAATGCTATTATTACTATCTGTAATTAGAATGCATTATAAATAATTTATAACGTATTTTCGTATGTATATAATTTATAAATAAAATCCAATCAGCGGCAGCGACTAGTTTAGTAGTATTTTTGGGTGGTGATCGTACAACTCTAGTAAACCATACACATTTGCGCACTAATAAAAAAACGTTCTTATAGGGTCAATTGGAGTTTCAATAACTTAATCATATAACCTAAACTATGGCAATGCTATTAAATTCAAGCCAAGGTGAGAGAGCCAAGCTGTCGTTCAATTGAAGCCTTAGAAAATGGACTATTGTATTTATTAAGCGGCTTCTGCTGTTTGGAAAACAATAGCACCAACCAAAGTTTATTGCAACATCTGCATTATTTTAAGAAATTACAAATACATGGATAGAAAAGATTTTAAAAAGTTCTATTAATAAAACATTAATTTTAGAAATATTTTTTTGCGTTAAGTAAATGTATAAAGATTATACAATAAAAAAAACAAGAGACATGAAATGTTTTGAAGTAAGAAACGAATTGTATTGGAAAATTAGGGATTTTTTATTGTTAAGGTTTTTTTATATATTTTTGGTTACATAATTTATGTTTCCCTGATTGTTCAAAAATTAGCTAATTCAGTCCAACCATTCTCGAGTTTTAGAAAACAAACGAACAGCAATTCATTACATATTATGCGATCTAAAGAACGCTGAACGGTTAAAATGCCCAGTTCGTTAACAACTGATGAAGCATGGGCAATACAAGACCTAGTTTAGCTAGCTAATAAATGGTAAGTTTAAGTTTTTTTAAGTAACTTTTATCAATAAATGAACTCCACGAATGGCCTCTAAGAATTCCTTCAATGAAAGACCGAGATATAAATAACATATACACAAACTTAAAACAAAGGAAAACTACTTATATGTAATTTTACGTTTTACATCGTAATTCAAAGTTTGACTTTATTCTAATTGATTTTGTTACGCTTAAATAGGTGTTGAACAGTTTCTCTTGTCGTTAATGTCGTTTTTAAAATTAATAATGAATTAAAAATAGAAGCTGTTTATCTAATTCAATGCAGGCAAGTTCTTTTGCTTTTGACTAGGCTCGCTAAATTCGGTGACGCTAGTAGTTTATTTAAATATTTATACGAACCTAATAAGATTACATTCGTTACCCTAGACACAGTATCGATTGAAAACAAACGACAGAGAGGTGGCTATACGTGTATCCTGTTCTAGTTTGTCGCATGAAAATGAAAAAGCGACCTTATGTACTAGTATTCTCTTCAAATTCGCCAATTAAACACTATTATTTTATCAATACTGTATTCTAGTGATTACTTCATGAAAATGTAGGTGTTAGTGAACTTAATAAAGTACATAAATTCCCTTTTTCCTGAATAGTCATGGTAAGTTCTTGATTACAACCCTTACATAATTTGTAGCTTTTGATGTGAGGATGTTTGCGCTTTTCACTATCATTAGAGGTAATACGATAATTTATTTTTAGTAAGTAGAATTTAGTACGTATTTTTTTCATTTTAGAATTATAAAATCAGCAGATTTGATTTATAACAAGAATGTTATGAGAAAAATAAATTCGTATAAAGATAGCCGGCGAAAATATGTCTAAAACTTAAATAAAAAAAATATTTTACCGTTCTTTACCATTGTAAAAAGGCTAAAAAGCTTTTTCTTACAAAATCCGCTAAGTAATTTAATCACTTTAATCCTGTTACATAAAATAATGTAATAAAATATTTACTGTCACAGGATTGTCTGTATAAAAGAATAGTTCCCCCTTTTCTTAAGAAAATATTTAATGACTTTAATTTTTTCTATACTAAAGTACATTAATCAGTTTCACAGAAATGACAACTGAACATAAAGACAGCTCAATGATGAGCAGGTTCAAGGTGTTCTGTAGTGGGCAAGCGTGTGGCGCAAGATGGACCCTCGGAGCCCTACTTTTGGCACCCCTCACTGCAGCGAACCCCAATTACTGTGCCGTGCCAGCTACAATTCTGGTTGCTGTATTCATCACTTTTGCATGTAAGTCAAGGTTCCAATTTAAGTAGAGCCTCCACCAGTAAAATTCTTGTCTCTGGACAGCTTTAGTAGAGCTGTTAAGGCTCGCGTCTTTTTTGAATAGAAACTCCAAAACTCTTCGTGACATCTCCGATCTATTTCAGCGTTCACAAACAGGGACCTAAAGAAATTGGCAGAAGTGCTCCCACCTTCTAAAACTGGACGAGGAAGACGGGAACGCAATTTAAGATCGTTCGCCGATTTCATGGCTATGTGGATGTGGTTTTTGTCACATCTAGTGGCTGTTGCCGTTTGTGCCAGAATTCTTAGCGCGACTGCGGATCATGTAACTGGAAGTAGAACTAGGCGGTGGTTGTTTGGTTACGAAGCCAGGTCACTTGGAGAACCTTGGCCTGATGTATTGGGAGTCACTGTAGTGTTGGTGGTTTGCGCTATGTTCATGTGTGGGCTGGAGGTGAGCTGGCTATTTATTTATTTTTTAATGTCTAGCCTTAAAAAGTTAAGCTATCAGGTGCCGAGGAGTAAGCGTTGTCTTTCTATTTTCAATTCATATCGTTCCGAATTAAGATAATCAATTTTATTCTCATTTAAAATATCGAATACAAAAGTTTACATAAACTGCCTTGTGTTAAATAATAAACAAGTAACCTTTTGAACCTTGGGCCTATAAACAAAAACCATTTACGGCGTGACCGACTAACTCCAAACTTTGTATGGTATGGACAACCAGTTTTTCTATGTTAAAGCATTACTAATTGGGTAACAACTGAATACTAATAGAACATTGTCCCCATTAAGATAATTTGTATCATGTACCTAACACATTCGAAATAGCATTTTATACATATGTTATAGAGATTCTATAGAAAATTATATATATTAAAAACAATTTCATTGCAGGAAAGTATGATGTTTACGTGTCTACTGTTGATAATTCTGTATATATTCAGTCAGTCTTTTACGATATATGGCCTTATGAATCTGGATATAACCAATATTAAGATGCCTTTACCTATTACTGTGTATGAGGTACGATATTTTTAACTAAACTTTTATTTAGTAGTCTGAACTAAAAGCTTACCTACTGCCTACTAAAAGAAATTGTTTTCAAACAGCCTATTTCCACATACCACACTGATTAAATTCTAGCATTATGTATACAACAATACAAAAAATTTCAGTTATTCGCTGCTGGTGCTCCCATATCGTACACATTTTGTACAGTACAAAAGAAGAATGATAAAGAAAGTTTTAATAGGAATGTGTTACTTATGATTGGCCTACCAGCTCTTGTTCTAAGTTGCCTTTGTTTCCTTTACACAAATATGTTGAAAGGGTAAGTTTTATTTCCAAGTATTGTCACGTAACTTGTAAAGTTGCTGGCGCAGTAGGGTAGAGGTAAGGGCGCATATATTTAATAGCAAAACCTGAGTTCCAACCTAGTATCTTCTATCATCTTTCTAATACATTTGTCACTAGATCGAACATAGAAGTAAAATAACTACATATTTGTAAAATTAAAATCCTCCTACAACTGTTAGTCAAAGTAATCTGAAACGATTTTTTATTCGATCGATAGAATTAAATATCTTTCATGCACCTGAAACAATACTCGATTATTTTTTAAATTATATGCATAACTATGTAAGGGTCAACAACCTTTTAAAACAATAAAATTCGTGTCTTTTTAGTACAAGCATTGACGCTGCATTGCCAATGACAACGTTATTAGAAGCACGGGTGGCTGGGTGGATATGTCCAGTTTTAGCAGCTATAACCGTAGCAGGAGTATGTCTAGCATTAACAGAGCTCTGTCCGTTACTTTTTTCTGTACTCGTCCTACTCGCCTCCCCAGAATGGAAGGTACTAACCCGTTCCATGACGTATGAAAGTACGACAACAGGAAGTCCGGTCTTAGCTGTCTTTACAGCAGGTTGGTGTTATTTCATATTTGTGATTATTCAAAAAGCCGATGCGATTAGAGGTCAAAGGTAATTACTTCTAAGAGCTAAGTAATTAAACGTTCTTTTGTTCTTTTGATGATATGGAAAACCCTTTTTCTTCTTTATCAAGAATTAGTGATTAAGATTGGGTCCAAAAATAAAATAAACTTAAAAAGAAACTTGTGAGTTAATTAATGTTAATTAATTATGGCTATACCTTTAAACTAATTGTTACATTTTAGGAAGCTTAGCCGCCATACTGGCATTTGCCTGTCCACTCGCTCACATGATCACGCTTATGAATGCTAGCCATTTAATGAGCCTGACCATTCAGGCTTTACACTTTATCATTATGAGATGCGTGCCTACAACTGAACAAATTGAAGCCGGTGGTAAGTATTTTAAGTGCTTATCTATTTTACAATTAATTTTAAAGCGCTATTGCGTATTGAGATAAACTTCTGTTGCAAAAAGTTCGATGTAAGTATTTGCCTTCTACATAACCCCTAGGTTGATTGAACCAGGAGAATATTGTCTATAATAAGTATTGTTCTTGGGTTTCCGGCAGATTTTTTTTTTACAAACATACTTTTATTAAGAAGGCATAGAAGACTGATCACTTATTACGTGCCCTTTACACAACCATAGGGAGGGCCCCCACAATAGAGAGTTTAATAATAAAATAATCTATACTTGTATTCAATCAATAGATTATTTATTGGAAAACTCGACTGAAAAAAAATGACCATTTTATATGGAAAACAATTTGGGCTCCACTCCTTTACTGCCCCTAGGCTCTAGATTTGGCATTGTCCATTCATTAAAACTGGCGATTATAAAAGGTTTTGTTAAATAGGTTAATAATTTAACCATCTTGGAGTCTAAGTTGCTTTGTACATTTCTTAGGGACATGGCTAAATAAACAAAGGACATACTATGTCTCAAGTAACTATACTTTTTTATTTAAAACTAATTAAATTTTATTTTTAGATGTTGAATATAAGCGCCTCGGCATCGGTACCAGCATTGCCACAAGAAAGTCTTCAGGACTAAAACGCAAACGCAGCCTTTGGTTCATACCTTCAGCGATACGTCACACAAAGACTTTGGAGAGCATTAAATCTAAAGTGAATAAAGGTACATATTATCAAATTAGCGAATCTGAAGTCGTAGGTTGTATGGAACCCTGTGCACAAATCGAGTTTTTGTCTATATGCGCGTTTTACATTCGCTCGTAGGTACAAGTAAAACATCGTGTGGAAACCGGCTTGCCTTTTAAAGTTGTTGCGTCTGAACCGAAAAATCTAATTTCAATGTCAAAAAAGCTGATTACTACGCGCCTAGCAAAAAGAACAAAAAACCTGATACTGGTATTTTCTTTAACATAAATTTTGTTTAGAAACAGAAGAAAGAGAATGCCTACTCTTAGACGAATATTCTGGCTGTCAAAGTGAAGAAGTCGAACAACGCTCTGCCAGTGGGCTTGCTGAATTGGCCGAAGCAGAGGTTGTTGACCTCCAATCCGATATGGAGGCTAGCGATGGGGAACTTTCATCGGGAGACGATTCTACTGATATTGATGCGGTTGTTAAGGAGTATAGAGACCGAATACAGGTTAGCTTACTATTTATAAGTAATAACAAAGACAATTAATTAAATTGTCTTTGATAATACATACAAATATACACCACTTGGTGGTGAAATGGCTAACGCACATGACGTGTGTCCTTAAGGTCCTCGAATCGATTTTATAAAACAAGTTAAGTTTAATCAGTTTAATTGGTCGTTATACTTTTATTTATATTATGATATTACTTCCTTAATCATTAAAACAAAAGTCTAAATTCTCTGATATTCGTCTCGTTCTAGTCCAGTACTTTTTACTGCGTAAGAAAAGAGCGGTGATTTTCATGAAGAGGTGGATTAATCTTTAGTATTCTGCCAGGTCGTAACAGCCATCCCCGAATCAAGTACACCAGCGCCACCTAGCGTACGAGGCGCGCGATGGGTAGCTGTCGGTGCTTGTACGCAGCTGATAGCGAGCGCCTTTATTGCTGCAGCTTTCTGCTGCGAGAAATACAGAGTGCCTATGTTTGCTACTGGAATACCATGTAAGTAAGCTTATAATTATTGAGAACCTTAAGCTATCACTTGTAGAAAACAGACCGATTCGCAATTCAAGCAGTAAGCGGTAACCATATTTAAAAAAATGTACCTTCGAGCAATTTTAAAACTTACTATCTATTTAATAAGTTAATTAGAGATATCCCATTGGATAGGTATTTGTCTGAGCTTCATTATTAAAACCTTATTTTAGCATAATATAACGAACGATATGGTAAAAACGAATTCCAGTAGTAATTTAATTGTGTTAGTTCTATCCCTGATCCGACTAACGTTTTACTTAAATGTCAATGATATTAAATAAATCTCTTGTTTTAGTATGGTTATGTGGGACATTCATATCAATATGGCACCCAGCACACCTCGTTGGCATCAAGAGGTTGAACCAGTTGCAAGGACCCATAACTATGCTACTCTCGCTTCTGCTTCTCACACCGTTACTTTTGGATTCTTGGCCAGCTATTATCCTTTTTGCTGGCGCTGGTACGTTTGAGAATGGACATTTATTGTTAAACTTAAAAACGACGAGACCTATTTTGATACTGCCTTCGTCTCTTAGTGGTTAACCCACTTGACACGATGGAGGTCCTGGAGAGATAACCCGCGAAATAATAAAGTGATAGTTTCTTAAAAAAAATATTAAACAAACAGCCGTGCCCCGTTCACCATTAGATATTTTATAGAAAAAATATAAAAAAAGGTTTTCAAACCTATCCAGATAAGCGAGTCAATTTCAATCGTACGGATAAAGGTCTCTAAGAGAACATTATACATAGTGCTTTGTACTTAGGTGTGGTTATATACGCACGCTGTGAACGCTGGTGCGGCGACTTAGCAGTACATCAAGCGCGCAGTACCCTAGAGCGCCGGAAGCTGCGTCATGTCACCGCCACTATGCCGTTAGGTGGCGCACGACTTACGCATATCGATACAGTGTACATCACTAGGTAAGATGTCATGACTAATTTTGTTATTTCCTTTTTAAAACCATATATATTCAAAACAAACACCAAATCAATGTTCAGAAGCGCGGTATCCAAGATCAAAGTACCAATGACGAGCCTACCGTAAGATAATATGATTTGAACATCTGAAGATATGTTAATTTCAGATGACAAGACGATGACTCGGATTCGAGTCTTGACAACTTGTTGGACGCTGAGGATGACATGGAAGCTGACGGCGAATGACATGAACCCATTATCATCATTGCATGAATTCAATACGACCCTAATATGAGAAGACAATTTTGAATTACATGTGCATGTACGCGAAGCAGACTATATTTGTTGCACTGTATCACTAGCAGAAATAGTTTGATAACAATTGATGCGACAATTCTTTTTAAAAACCCCACAAAATACGAAAAAAGCTCTACTTTATGGTTCGAATTCGATAACATTTCAAATAATTTTGTTTTAACCCCTACTAAAAAAATCAAAGATCGTAGTAAAAAAATTGTTTGACTGATCTGCTTGACAAAAGACACTATTTTTATTCTAAAGAACTCATATAATTAATGTACCCTCGTTTCTATAGTATTCCAAAAATATCCTTGCTTAAAAGTACGAAAATCACCTCTGTTTATAGCACGCTAAGAGTTATTATATATTGTAATGCTTAAAAAACCAAAGTCGCTTTTTTAATCGATATCTGTGTATCTCGGTCACGTTAGGCGAACCGGGTCTAATTTTATTATGAAAATATTCACATACTTACCTAATTCTTATTTACCACAATATATATAATATTGTATGTTATCTGTCCCTATACAAAATAGGAGAATGTATTTTAAATAAAATCTAACAACCACATTTGGACGTTTCTGAGATTGAACAATTATTAACATTTAATTATATAACTATAAATATTGTTTTATAGTGCTTCAAGCGAATTTTTAAATATATAAGATATTTTTGCAGATATAATGCCTTAGATTGTGAACATAGATTTTGAGGTTTAGACAAGCTTTCAATGTTCTAAACAATGCCTTAGATTAGATGTTGTTGAATTGAATAAGTCGTTCTATCAATTATTAATGTAAGGGGTATTAGCAATTCTGTAGATAATTCGTAATTGTATAATTTGAAATAATTTTTTATATAATTGCCTTATACATTGTACTGTAAATTTAGATGTTTGTATATGCAATTGAAGAATCGGCCTAGTAACTGTGGTTATTTGACGTATAAGATATTGTTGGCGTTAACGTCACTATCGATAGGTGAGTATAGAGCATAGAAGTAAGACGAATAAGCGGCAAGGTTTAAAATTTGCTTAAACTGCTAAAAATAGGATTTTTACGTAAACTTTACCAAATTAACTAAGTTATTGTTGCTTTATTAGAATAAAGTAATAACGCTGTATTTTTTACGAAGGATAAGAAGTGTAGACTTTTCATATGAAATTTATGTTATAAGGCCAATATGGATTAATATTCAAATTTGCAATTAGATTTTTTGCGAGAATAGACAACAATGTTTTATACACAAGTGTTTATATACTGATAAGCTTTGTACACTTCAAATCCTGCAGTGTAAAAGATGATGAGTCCCTTTGAATATTGTGGTATGCATAATATTATTTATCCTGTAATATGTAATAAAAACTACTTTGTCATTGTTCACTAAAGTGCGTGTCATTTGCCAGTTTGCAATAAAAGATTTATGTAGAAAGAAAATTTTATTTCCTTTTACTTTTCTAATAAAAACATTCTGTAGAGTTTCTCTGCTTGTTCGTCTTCGAAACACGGATTAAAATTAACTACTAATACTTCTTTGAAGCCTTCAGAAGCTTTTGGTTCAACAAACTTAGACCTAAAAAATAAAAATCAAGTTTTGTTAAATATATAGATAACCATTCAGACAAAATATTTTTTTAGAAAATGTCCGTTTGTTCGAGTTTATTGAAGTACAAACATAATTGTGACAATTGGCCTTACCGCAATGCTGAATCGTAATAATGTGACATTTTATAAATCCTTATTTAAAAAGTTGTATAGGTATTAATATATTATGCAAAAAAAACGGCATTATGGCAACACCAGGTAATAAAACATTAATTAATTAACATACTTACTTGTATGTATTAAACACGATATCGTTAACTATTCCATGCTTAAACTTCATAATTTCCCTAAATTTGTTATTATGTTGTGCATGTGCTTTACTCGTCGCCATTTTGGCGCATCGACACTGCACCTTCTTGTCTTTGGCTAAAGATGTCCAACGACTACGAGACTCTAGATCAGGGTTTGTACTGTCCACAATCACACTTTTTCCTTGCTAAAAATTAATGTTAACAATTAATAAATGTTTAATGATTAATAACATAGAACCAGTAGAAAGACGTAGGTCTGTATAAATGAAGAATTTATTTTAATTTTTTTATTGCTACAATCGCAATCGCAAACCAAAAAAGAACACTAATGTAAGGTTATGGATTAGAATAGAATAAACAAATGCAGTTTGGTTGGTTGGTAGGTCTTCTTGAATAATATTTTTGTTTGATATGTTCTATCCTTGTATGGTATAGTTATACAATTTTAACTGGTAAGCCACACTAGGACTTATCAAATAAGCAGGAAGCTATATGTGTATATTCTCACATATGTTAAATTATCTGTAAATAAAACTTTTCAAGAGACATAAACGCATAGACAAAATTATTACTATGTTGCAACTGCGATTCGACATTTCAATCATAATAACTATGTATTCGCATAAACCAAAAATAATAGTTTTTGTGTAGTAAAAACTTACCTGCAATAACTTAGAAGCTTCAGCGGAACATTTTTGCCATGAACCAAGCTCGTCTCGACAAACTATTGCATATTTGTTACTAGATTTCTGCTGTATTTGCTTAGCAATAAATGATTTACCACTTGCGGGATACCCCACCATCACTAGAATCTGAAAAAAAATTTTTTTTTAGTATTAGTAGTTAATTCACTATAATGCAATTTGTTCATTAAAATTTATATTTTTATAATATAATTAATTAATAGCCTAGGTAAGCGGAAGAGAGTTGGTAAAGTTTCTTGTTTCTTAATAAATTGTTTTTGATATAATTATTAATTTATTGTTAACAGTTTACACATATAAAAACCCACTAGATACTTTAGGGTAAGCGAATTTCATTTAAGAACAACATTGTAAGTACTTCAAATTCTATAAAGATATAATGGCATTCTTGATGCTTTATTCTAAGGTATATTTTACAATGTCCAAATATTTAACAAATTTCACCAATAAAAACAATATACCTCTTGCTCGGAGCTTACTAATCTGTCATTAAAAGGCGCAGACTTGACGTCTTTTGGAATAAATTCTGGTTGAATCATGGGCACATTTGCAATGGAATGACCTAAGAAGAACTGTTCTGGTGTGTAAAATTTTAGATCTAGATTCTTTGCAAGTAAAATATCAGCCATTGAGTGGTCTTTTTTCTTCCCTGGTGCCCAGTTAGCAGCTCTTCCTGCTGCATCGCCAACATAAAAACTCTCTTTCATATCTATAGTTATATCATCGTTTTTCTGTAATTTCAGTAAAAGTATAATGCAACTAATGTTTAAAATATCTAACATAGATCAAACATATTTATCCACCTGTTTCATTTAAAAATTTTTTGGCCAGTAATTTAACCATAGACTTTTTATGGATCTAAAAACAGGTAAGATTAATACAAAGACTGAAGATCTGATGTAAAGGAGAGAACAAGAAAGTAATTATAATTTTAGTCAAAAATAATTGTTAAAGTTCACTCTTACATCTGGATTCAATGAGATTGCTTATTAGACATAATAATATGCTGCCATCTAAGACAGCATCTTCCAAGCTAATACAATACCAGGCAAAACTAAACCTTTTCAGATAATAAAAACCGATACAATGTTATATGTGACTGGAATAGGCTTCCGGAAAGTGAAATCAGTGCATTTTTTAACTCTTTTAAAAATAGATTGGATAGTTTCTTCAAATCTCAAAATATGCGCGCATCAGCTTATTAGGCTGCTAGTGTGTTTATATACATAATAATAATAATCTTATATCACTATTAAAAGGTTATAGCAAGGTGATATCATTCTTAATAAGATTTCATTTAAAGTAATTTTGTAAAAATTAATATATATAATATATATATCTAGGCTTCTAAAAAATCTTATAAGAAATACCTACCATCTCAGCAAGAACATTCCACATACCAGTTGCTGGTTTTCTATAGAATCCTTTTCCAGTTGCAATATAAACTTGGGCAGGTATATTTAACTTTGATACAACTGCTTTAATTTTCTTTTTAAAATCCTCAATTTTCACCCTGCCACTGCCAATAGGTGACTGATTACTAAAAGAACTATTTTATAACCCTCACTATGTTTTTCAGCCACTTTTTGTGGAATACAGGAAAACAGAATCTGCCAATCATTTGTGTCCACTGGATGGACTTTACCTGACTTTGTCTTTATTAAAGTACCATCCATGTCAAATGCTGCAATATTTTTACTTGATTTTACACCTTTTGCTGTATATATATAAACCTCTCCTTTGTCAATATCTTCCCATTTGCTTTCTGAGCACTCTTGTATGTCCATAGTATCTGTTTTTATAAGCTTTATATTAGATTCAGAAGTGTCACTAAGTTTTCTCTTTAGACTAGTTCTAGGTGGGTCATACCCATCTGGAGGTGGCTCAAATTCTATGATGTGAAAAAATTGGTTTAATAATATCTCTATTTTGCTTCCATGTGTTATTTTGTAGGTAACATCTTTTTTCAAGGCAAAACCATCCAAACCTGATGGATTTATACCCAGCTGCTTTATTTCCACAAAACACTCTTCACAATCAGCTGTCAAACTCACTGAAAAATTGTATTAATCTTTTATATTGCAATGCAAAGGCTATTAATCATAAAGTTATCTGAAGAAATGAAATGATTACATCATATTTCTACAATGTTGATTACATTTTTAATATGTTGTAAATCTTATAAGTTTATCAAATGGAAAGCCACGACGACTCTTATTACGGACATGAATTTCAAAATAAAACAAACTGAAATATACTGTTTTCTCTCAAATATTACTTACGTTGATGACGAGAGCACAGCTGATCTTTAATCTTAGTAAGTTTGCTGCGACCTACTGTTATCTCCACGTTATGGGTTAAAGCTATGGGCGCATGCGAATCCAATAAACAGCGAAGAAAACACTTGCGTACCATGATTATTTTTACTCTTTCAATATTTGAAATGTAAAGCACTTCACAGGCTAACCCGGTGTACTTTTAATCCAATAATAAAATTCAATTTTAATTTTTTTTTAATTTCAAATTTTCATTTAATTAGGTTTATTTAAATAAAATATGATTGAATCTCAGAATTTTACGGTGGAACTCCTATCCTTTAATATGTATGTTGTATTGTTGTAACTGAAATCTAAATATAAAGACTAAAAGTAAATAAATCATTAAAATTTAAATGCAACTTTGATTATAAAGCTTAACCTTTTAACTACGTTAATTATTACATTACGCTTTTATTTACCTTTTTTTCGCGCACAGAGTAGGCTAAAGATCTTTCGACTATTATACCGCTTCTGACTTGCAGGCTGTAGTCTGTAGTTCGTTGTTCCAAAAAAAATAAAAATATTGCTTGACAGTGACACCTGGAGCTATTGTGGAAGTGGCCACGAATTTGATAGATCTGTTTGAATTTTGAAATATTATTCAATTTGTGATTTGATTTTAATTTTCAATTTCCTATTTCAGTTATCAGTCAGATTTCAATTTCCAGTTATATTGCGAACATTTTTTTTTCTAGTAGTGCCGTGTCGTGTCGGATTAATTATTACGTGGTTTTTTTCAACTGGTTAATGTAAATGGTTGATCATATTAAGTTTATAGGCACTTGCTTGGCCTAAAAATTATATGTTTTTGAATGTACTTTGACAATAAAAATATATTTTCCTCCAATTAAGCCATTGTGAAAATTAAGGTATGCACTAACCATACTTTTGTAATTAAAACCTTTTTGAATTATAAAATTGCAGTTTCTAACGCACATTGAAATTAATTTTTGCAGGCTCTATTTGGCTCAATTATGTCTGTAACAAATCGAAAGAAACCTGTTGAGAAGGAGCAATTGATTGAAAATGGTGAATTAAATTCTAATGAGAGAAGTAACATAAAAGGTGATGAATGGAATATAGCAGTGCTGTTATTCTTATATGCTCTACAAGGTATACCACTTGGTTTGGCTGGTGCAGTGCCTATGTTACTGCAAAATCGTGGCATCACATATACACAACAAGTAAGTAACAAACATAATAAATTACATAAAAATGTTATTGATTTATATTTTCTTTACTTATAAGTTACAACTGTTTACTGGATCCAGTCATGAAGTATTATAGTAATAAAATAATTTATGGGCTGTGCAGTGTAATAGCATATTTATAGCCAACATAAATTTACTGAGGTATCAGGCATGTAAAAAAACCCATTTTGTTACCATTAATACAATATTTCATATTAGTAAGGCAGAAAATCATTGCAGTATTTATTTTTGACCATTAAATGTCAACGAAATGTATATGTATTATTCTATTTCTAGGCTGAATTCAGTTTTGTCAACTGGCCTTTTAGTGTAAAGTTACTATGGGCTCCAGTTGTGGATGCACTATTTCTACCAAAATTTGGAAGACGGAAAACATGGCTAGTACCAATACAATACCTTATAGGATTAGTGATGATAATAATGTCATTAAATATTACTGAATGGCTTGGATCAGAGGAAAAGGCTCCTACTATGACACTATTGACAATGTCTTTCTTATTTCTAAACTTCCTGGCTGCTACTCAGGATATAGCAGTTGATGGTTGGGCTTTAACTATGCTTAAACGGTAAGAAATATTTCTAAAGAACATTTTAGAGTGACCACAGTGTAAGCACACACAAAGCACTCAGTGTGCAGTGCTATATATCTCTAATGAGTTTAATGAAATTAAATTTCTATAGTATAGTTATTTGACCTTCTATCTATTATTATAAGATCTATTAGTGGTTTGTTTAATCTATGTAGTAATTAATATACTTTAATCTATGCTCTATTGGTTCTGTGGGACAAAGTCTATGTGTATTTCATAGATGATCACTATTCTTTATTTAGTCCCATTTTGTTTGAACCCATGATTGATTTATACAAGTAATTCTATATTAGTAGTTGATTCAACATCCTCCTCCTAGTTATTTTGTTTTTCTACTCATACCTCTGAAAGTAGATAAACTTAAGAAAGTATTCTATGTTTTAAGAATAACTATATAATACTTATAACTAATGCTTTTTAATATAATTTCCAGGTGTAATGTTGGACATGCATCCACTTGCAATACAGTGGGTCAAACTGCTGGTTTCTTTCTAGGTTATGTCCTATTTTTAGCCCTTGAATCTCCATACTTTTGCAATAAATACATTAGATATGAACCACAGGAGACTGGGCTTGTGACATTAGCTAGTTTTTTGCTATTTTGGGGCTGGATATTTATTATAACAACAACATTCATAGCTATATTTAAGCATGAAAAGAATGAAGAAGTTGATATGTCACATGAAAGCAAAGGCGTTAAGGATATTGTGAATGCATATCAACAGTTATATACAATTGTAAAGTTACCAGCAGTGAGAACATTAGCACTTGTTTTGTTTACAGCAAAGGTAAAGCTTAATCGCCAATGTACTATTAGTATTTTATTTTCTGACAAATTTTTACAATATTTGTTATAGCAAATTAAGCAAATGAAGATTTATTTATTGTTTAGTTATTTACATATAAATTAATGTGATGCATGAATCATTATTGTGTGTTGTTTGTGAGCCTGCAGGTAGACCATAAAAGGAGACTACCGCAGCCCATAGACACCCATTTTGTTAGTGGTTCTTTAAAGAAGGTGTAAAAAAAGAAATTATCTTAAGATACCAAAATAAGTCGAAAAATAATTTTGTAAATTGTGTAAAAATTTAGTCATTCATTTGTTTATTGAATGTTACATTCTTAGGTTTAGAGTTTGACTGCATTCATAAAAGTTTGAAATCAATAGAAGGCTTGTTTTTTGAAAAATTGAAAGTTGAAAATAAAAAATATGAAACCTCTTTGTTACAGAAATAGGTTTGTGCTGTATATATATATGCTAGGTTTTTTTCTTACTATAATATTTTCCAGCTTGGTTTCTGCGCAAGTGATGCAGTATCAGGATTAAAACTTGTTGAGGCTGGAGTGCCAAGAGAAGACCTGGCACTATTAGCTGTACCTTTGGTTCCTGTGCAGATAATTATGCCTGTGGTAAGTACAGTTGAAATGAAAAAGTCGTGAAATTAAATGGTTGATTTTTATGAAAAACTTCATCATAACGTGTGACTCGTTCCAATAGAATTCGTGTTGTAAACCACTGCCAAAAACTTTATCTTATTGCCGTTTACGATATATTACAAATCACGATCCCATAAATTTTTAAATAAAAAGAACTTGAAGGGTAGTGTTGCATGTTTGATGGGACTAACCTTTTGTTTTAATTTTAGTGACTGCGCAGATTTTGTCTAAACAATCTTCAATATATTTTTTTTACTATGGTGTTCATTGTAATTATTGTACATTCTAAGACATTTTTTGGCTATTTAATTAATAAGTAAATATTTTTACAATACATAACGTAACATTAATTTTAGTTCGGATACACATTAATTATCAAAAATTAATATAATAATTAAAATTATATTCCAGATCCTAGCCAAACATACAACCGGTCCCCAACCACTTTCACTGTGGCTTCGAGCATTTCCCCTTCGGCTGCTTGTGGGACCAATCGCCGCTGCACTAGTGGCCATTACCCCAAGCCTTTTGGGAAATTCTGGGCCATCTTACTTCTATCTTTTTCTATTGATGTGTCTCTATGTATTTCACCAGGTCAGTATGTATTGGTTAATATAAATCATGTTATTTTGTTTGAGCTTATAAGATTACTAATGTATAGTATTGATGATTTAGTGGATTAAACCTGGCAGCACTTAAACTCTTATTATTTAAAGTGATATTTTTTTCTTCTCAATTATAATTAATTGAAGAAAATATACAAAAAGAAAAAATAAAACACTGGGATCATCAAAGAAACAAAAATATACTACAAAATTAATACAATGCTATAATTATTATATTTCAGACTTGCCTCTACTGTATGTTTGTGGCAGTGATGGCATTCTTCGCGAAAGTCTCGGACCCAACAGTTGGGGGCACTTATATGACCTTACTCAATACCGTGTCCAACCTTGGTACCAATTGGCCCAATACGTTGGCACTTTGGGCGGTTGATAGGTTGACGTATAGAACGTGTACGGCTGAGAATTTGAGTGATAATACTTGTTCGTCGGAGTTAGAAACTGAGGTAAATAAATGATAACTGTTGTATTGATACATTAGATCACCGTGTGGATGTAAATATTTTAAATCGTTTTCTACATTTTGTGTCGTTTGAGTCTGCAAGGTTTCTAATAAACAGGACTTCTAATACCTACGTAATAATTATCTATATTTGCATACCCTACTAAATCTCACAAATTTATATTAAACTTCATAAATGGAATATAATTATGCAGGCCCGGACATAGATAAGATAAATTGTAATATGTCATAGACTAGAAATGAGTGCCTCTAGAAAATGTAGATTCATGACACTTGCCATAGTAGCTATACCTATAAAAACTAAAATACAATCAAAATCTGTTATAACGACATCGAAGGATCTACTCATATTTGGTCGTAAAAACCGATAGTTGTAACAGCCGATGAAGTTCTTATTATGGTAGGGGAGCCCACGATGCTAAATGGGGATTTACTCGAGCGTCGTAGAGACCTATTGGGATACAAAGCTTAGATAAAAAGAAGAAAAAATGTTATATGATAAATTCCTTTTCATCGGTGGGGGAAGCGGCTATAGATAGTTAAATATGTAAAAAAAAACTGTTGCATGGACATCCTCGAGCGCGTCAGATATTGATAGCATCTATGCCCTACGTATTTTTAATAATGTACGTATGTTAATCTGATCGTTTGCATGATGCGGGTGGTTGTATTTAAGGGTTGAAAATTAAAAAAAAAAAAATTTATCGAGCGCGTCAGATTTTCTAAGGGAGTGTTAAGTGCACCAAAAAAAATCTCTCATTCACTAATCTGACGATTTCGATGGGACGCAAACCCACAGCCATTTTCTTAATTTGCAAAAAAAAATCGCAATTTTGAAATACTCAAGCGCGTCAGATTAAGATATATGTGGTTCATCTTTATGTTCTAAACGTACTGTCTCATAATCTGACGATTATCTAGAGGGATTCGCCTGATCTGACAAAAAAAAATAGAAAAACGGTTCACCTAAAGGGCCATCCCTGCAACTTCCCGCTAATTCCATTCCTGGGCGCTTAAAATTGATATTTTGAGCTCGCTGAGTTCAAAGAAATAACATTTCTATGCATTTGAGCTCTCCCAGCTCGAAAGTCTGATAGAAGTTTCATAGAACACTATTTTTGGAATTTTCAAACCGCAATAACTTTTGAATGGATCAAGCAATTTTCACGCGGTTGGCGGCATTCGACGCAGTTTTATCATTCTCATAAGTAATTTTGCAATTTTAATTGATCGAACCACAAATTTCGGAGTAATCCCGAAAAAACACTTTTTCGGGTTTCTTTCATGTACGATATCTCTCGAACGAATCAACCGCTTTTGACCAGCTTGGTGGCGATCGACGTGGTTTTTCAAGCTCAAAGGCGGATTAGTTTTTGAAGTTGATCGATAAAGAAACCACTTAAAAAAAAATATTTCTTATTTTTTTAAGATTTTTCAAAATTTCTCAAAATCTATCGGTCCGAATCGGTTCAAATTCACAGGAAATGTAATTTTGAGGGAAATATTTTGAACGCCGTTTAGTAGATTCCGATCGGTTTAAGGAAATGTAGGCATCACGCAGCTGCAGCATTTAACTTTATCGACGAATTTTTGTTATTTCGGCTTGCGGAAATCGTCAGATTATATATTTTTCATTATTCTGGAATTATTTCCTTCAAAATAAAGAAAAATTAGCTACGCTCGAGAATGTCGAGATGACGTTTTTTTTTTACAACTTTGTTGCCCTCCCCTTTTTTTCCGTCACTCTCAAATTGTCAGATTAGTGGAATATACACTTTTTAGGATGTAATTAACTCACCCTACCTTAATCTGACGCGCTCGGGAATTTCTGATGGTCAATTTTTTTTTTACTAATCTGATCCTGTCTCCTTCACGCGCGGCCTTATATATGGGCCTCATATTTTGTGGAGGTACTTAACCGGGTACAAGGTATCCCCCCTATATAGTAATCTGCCGCGCTTTAGTAAATCCCGAAATCCCCTTGGCTCCCCTGGGCCCCCCTACCATTAACAATGGAATTCAGCCGGGACCTTTGATTTTGTTAAATATAACCGGTATGTTGTTCTGTTCGGTTTTGGCTGTATGAATAAGCGATAATTATCTTAATGCCTTCTTTTTTAATGCAACGATGACGGTTGATTATAGCGAAAAAGTTAATAAAAAAAAGTTTATTCCTTTCAGGTATGCAAGACTAGCGGTGGTACCTGCAATGTACGCATGGATGGTTTCTATATAGAGACAGTGATATGCCTTATTATTGGTTTCATTTGGCTCCAGTGGGGCCGAAGGACGATACTGCGCTTACAACGACTGCCATCAAGCGCTTGGCAGATTGGACGGCATAGATAAAGACTGATTAGTACAATTCACGCAAACTAGATGGCGCTGTAACAAAATGTTCTCGCTGTAATAATACTTGAAAAAAGGACATGTTTTACCGTTTTAATCAGCTGGTCATGTGGTAGTAAATATAGAATGACTAACAATAGTATTTACAATAATCATCTTAACAAAAAATGTATAAGCAACATGGTCATAGAATTTAGCACTATCACTCTCTATTATTTAAATATTCTCTAGTCTTGACGACTTAAAGTTGTAAATGTCAATTGTCATATGACCTAATAATATAGTGGCACAAAATCGTTACTGAATTATGTCAAAACTTTTCATCGTAATGATTTTATTATATGCTGGGAAACAAAAGCAGTCATAAGAACGCGCTTTTTTACTTTTCCATGTTGACATTATAAATGTCAAATTTCATGTTTAAGGTTACGTCCATTCAAGTATTGCATAGACAATTTATAGAGTAAGATCTAATCTCTTAAAGGTACGTTTGAACATTTATCATAATTTCAAAAGCTTTAGATTTTACTTACATAAATTAATTAAGTAAATACAAATTAATTTATAAAATAGTAATAAATTTTTATTTTATATATGGTTATATATTTTTAGTTAGAGCGGTCGGGGCTTTCCGTCACCTCTTTGTGTGTATATTCCGTCAAATTGAATTGGTTGTGTTTTATATAGTGAAGTGAAAAAGTTAAAAGAATCAGACTGCCTCTTACCATTCCATTAGCATAATACACTATCTCTTATCTTAAATGCAAATGCGTTGTCAAGAATACTAGTAATAAAGTAGTTACTTTGTTACGTTCAAAACGATCGAGGCTACAATCTCTCAGAATATTGACAAATATTTGATAAAGATAATGGCAATATTTTAATAATGTTAAAATTTATCTCATACAGAGCGAAAGCACAAGCTTCATTTTTTAGGGCACAAGTTAATTAGTTTTATTTCAATCTATTAATTATCTGGTGTTTACTTAATACTTTTTTAAACGGAAAATTATACGTAAAATTTTAATATAGTCTATGGCAAAAGTTGTTCCAATCAGAAGAATAATAATCTGTGGTATTTTGTCACTATAAGTATACCCGGGAATTTTTGGACACGCAAAATCTTGCCATTTCATGTTATTATATGTTTAACTGTTAATAGGTAAACGTTGATTATTTTAAGTAAAATTATGCGGGGTCATATGGAACAAGCTCGTCTACGCATTCGTCAAGTGCTAGCGTGGAGCTCATAATAGATATGTATATTATGTAATGGTCAAATTATAAATATACTTACATTTTATATCTAACGATATTCTAAACGCGAACAGTTGTGATCTTTAACATATGGTTCATTATTAAATTGTAATCCGTAATACCGTATAATTGTGAAATGGCAATGTTTCAAATCATAATGTTTGTCTTCGATTTAAGTCTAAAAAACAAATCTAAATAAGATGCGATAAATTGTAGGCCCATGTTACAGATCATAAATTTTTTACATTTACAATATTGCGAGATAAATTGTGATGTAACATGTTTTAAATTTTACGGTAATATGTTTGAATACCCCATTCTCTCTACGGAAAATTGCTAAATTAATGAGGCTTCAGGCTACTTGGATGATCTACTAACATACAAGGATTTAATGAATAGTAAACCACTAATTATTATTACCACCGTTTCACCTTTTATCCTAACTGGCTTTGAAGCATTAATGGCATACTACTGTTTATATTAAATGTCAAAAGCTCAGTCTAAAAGCAATTTACCCATCAACTTGATATTATAATTATTGATATTCTCGTACAATAATGCAGTTACTAAATCTATGAAATAGATTTTTCAATGACAATTTCTAGCTAATTTATTCATATAGAGTTATGTAAGTATTAAGTTGTATATATATTGTATGTATAATATATGCATATGTATAACTCCAAATAAAGTACATAATGAATTGATTTAATCTTTGTATTGAACCCTTTACTTATTCAGTTACCTAATTAGACTTACTACTATTAATCAATATTTTTAAGTTTCTTTAAGCGACACCTACATTCTACGGATGCGATTATGCAAAGTTAGCACAGGGAAAAGTACTAACGCTAAGTTATTCCGGCCGCTTAGAATATATACAGCTTCGACCTTAGCCAATGGAACCTTCGAGCCGGTGTTTTGACAGTGGTTAGACTGGTCGTAAAACCAACCTTTAGGTTGAAGGAACGGTAGACATACTTTACAAGCAATCGTCAACAATTTATTTACATCGCTCAGCGCTAGCGTAATCAAAAACTTCCTTATAAAAACTAAACCAGTCAAATTGCACTCATCACTAAAAGGTTAGTCTCTTTTTGTGAAAAATGTCAGATGGGGACTAGTTTAATCTATGAATTTGACACGAAGATAAGAACATTTTAGCGCGCAATAATAGTTAGAGTTAGTAAACTACATGAAGAAAACATAAGACGTGGCAGCCACAACATAGCTAGATGCTTTTTACTTGTTCTTCTCAAACGGCGTGTCCTTGAAAATGCCTATACACAGGTTTTGACTGACGTTTATATGCAATTAGGTCTAATCCTAGTTGTATGATTAGATATGTTTCGATGTTAGGACGCAACTCAGCAGATGGCAACTCCTTTTTCAACTAGCGTGCGTTTAGACATGTTATGTAATATATAAAGTTCTCGTGTCACAATGTTAGTTACCATACTCCTCAGAAACGGCTTGACCGATTTTAATCAAATTTTATATGCATTATTCAGTAGGCCTGAGAATCGGCTACTATCTATTTTTCATACCCCTAAGTGATAAGGGGTGTCCATCCCAAAATATGTTTATTTTTATTTTTTGGACAATTTTTATTGTTTTTATTTATTTATGATACAACAAAAATACATACTACCCCTCATTTTCACCCCTCTACGATAAACCCCTATTTTGTACTATAGTAGATAATTATTTTTATGGAACTAAAAAAAAGTTTCCTAGAAATAATATACATGGCAAAACGACGTTTGCCGGGTCAGCTAGTTATCATATAAAAGGCAATGAAAAAAGTACCTATTGCGATTACACTTTATTTACACATTAACATCTTATAGTTTAAAATATAACAACATATTTAATTAATAGATTTTATATTAAACTTCTATAAATGATTGTTAATATAAGAATTTAATTTAGTAGAGAATAAAAAGAACAAGGTATAATAATATATTATTCTTTGATAATTTTGTAAGACTAAAAATAAAATCTATCAATATTTAATGTGGAAGAAAATGATTTTGTGCGTAGACCTTCCAGGTACACTGTAGGTATTTTTTGTTACATTCTCGTAAGTTTAATCGGCGTCAAACGTATTGAACTTTTATAATTATTCAATTTTTTTATGTAATAACAACTAAACAAAAACACGTTTCTGACTGATAATAAATTATTTTAACGGAGCCCGAATAATAATTCCTAACTTGTAGGAAAAAAAACACAATCAGAATATACGTATTTGTAAAATATTTAACATTAAATAAACTGTTATAAGAATGCATCGAAAATAAATATTTCTTTAACTTATTAAATTATTTACATAACTCGGCGTCTTTTGGCTTACACGATAGTCAAAATATCGAGTTATGTAGGTTTAATTAAAGAAATTTTATTTAAATGTGTAGTAGTCGCGTAAACTAAAGTAAAGATAATCCAATTGCGCCGTTTTAACTTAAATACTTAGTTAAAAGAGTGCAATTAAGATAAATAAGTTTTTATTAATAAATCCTCTGATATATTTGGATTTTCTATTTAAGCGTTTTGTATATAATCTCACAGCTATCTATAGTTTTAGTAAGTTAATAACCCAACTTCATAAAAACTAAATAAAGCTAATACATTTTCGTGTACAGTCATGACAAATTGCGAAGTGGATACAGGTCGAGTTATAGACGAGGTAGGAAGAAATTGTGGGATGCATCCGATCCATTCTACAAAAATATCTTGTTGACATTCGAAAGTAATTAAAGAATTTACTTTCGTCAGCCCTCAAAGTGCCATATAACAAGACAAAGTCTCCTGCAACGGCTCTCTGCTCAATCAATGGATGAACAAGGAGTCTTCGTCGTCGCCGGTTTTTATTTTTTTGAGATAGGTAGTACAAAGCAGCAATAACTAACACACTCCGCATTTTGGTCTTCGTCTGTACAGTAAGGCGGTCAGTACGATACTAAAACGAACCACGCTGAGCGTCAGCGCTGACGAACTACGCGCTGATCTATGAGCGCTGACGGTGAGCGTGAGACTAAATTCAGCCTAAAACAGTGTAAACTGATTTAGTTGTAATAAATGTGTGTCTCTATGACAATGACTATCAGCAAATGATAATAGACGATCAACAAATGACACTATCTGATCTATTCTGTTTTTTTTTGTAATCGCAGTTAAAATTTAGCTGTTCTAGCTTGTTATGGTTAACTCATAAATTATGATTAATTTTTGTGACAGTAAAGACTGTGTCTGAAACTATATTATATAATATAAGAATAAGAATAATTTTATTTTCTCCCATATAACATTCAACAAACAATAAGACAATAGTATAAGAATATACGAAATAACAAAATTATAATGTAAATTGTAATTAACATACATTTGGAGAGAATGAAAAGAAAATCAAATTCATATAGATATTTTTTTGTGAGAGAATTGTGTAATACATTAGAAGGGATATGGTTGAACCTGTTCAGACATTACAAAAATAAATAATAATAATTAGGAATTTGGTTTTAGGAAATACGAAACCGACAATTTGTTGATACATGCATACACACGATTTAAAACATATTTACAGAAGAATACTTCACATACACTTCTTATTAAAAATAATATCTAATATTTATGCATTACATGTTACCTACTTTAACAACAACAAGGTAAACTACATCATGAATGTGCGTAAGAATATTTTTGTGCTAAAAATACACGTAACGTAAAATTTTCACGAAATTTCGTAACTAAACATTCTCTCGCTAGACATAAAAATGTATTATATATTATATAGATTTTACTAGTATTATATTCAGTTTATAACTCTTAAGTTGAGTCACGAGATTTAAGCGTGGCAGTAGAGTAACCATTGTACCTGGTTAGAGTTAGTTCCACAAAGCCAACCCAAACAACTTAGTCCTGGTGCTAACTAATTCTTTTTACCCAGACAAGATGTACCTATATTATATTTCTCAAGATTTTATGGCTGTTGAATTGTTATGTAACATATTTTTAAGTATCGAGATCCTTTAAATAATATTGTCATGAGTATCACTTTACGGTAATTGACGCTTTCTGCGGTAATCATAGGTGTTGTGGGTAATTATAGGTTTGCGCAGAAATTATAAAATAAAATATACTGTAACACGAGAGAAAAATTGATCTAAACCTTGATAAAAACAACACAAACTACCATCTCGACAAATCGATTTTCTTACAAGAATAATCAGCTAGGAGAATTTCTGAAACTTTTTGCATGAAACACGGTTGGTCAATTAATTGATTTGCGATATTTGTCAATGTGGAATAATAATTGCTGACGTCTTTTTAATTTTAAAAATAATTTAAATTAAGTATAAGTATTATTCAGAGTAAATGTGTTTTAATATAATTACTGAACTCTCTAATACCACACTAATGAAATCCTGGTCTCAATTTGAAATACCAACCAATATCAACTTCCATTTAAAATCACGGCTCCCGTCTTGAGAGTTCGTCGTCACAAATAATTGGTTTGCGGTCGTCGCTGCGGCTGCCTCGTCCTAATCTGCCCACACGCCGGGCTAAAGTGCTTGTTTTGTCCACTGCGCCCCAACCAGTATGGTTTCCGCTATAGGAGCGAGATAAAAGACCGGTCACACCCTCGCCTAGTTTGCTGTGATGGATTCCGTACAGAAAGTATAGTAGGAGACCTGAAATTTTATGAATTTTTATATAAATTGAATTATTTAGAAATGAAATTCTTTATTTAGTTCAAATAACAATACATAACTTGTGGATGACAACATTCGTTCAATGTACAATATGTTTTATTAATTTATGTAATAGAAGGCGGAATTTGAACAACGAAGTTCTACTAAATCATATTTATCTCTACAAAAACGCACTAAGTTTTGTTTAGGAATAAACGAGATGTTAATATAAGTAAATTCTGTTATAACTGTATTCTACAAATCCCTATTTCGCGGTTCTAAATATAGAATATAATCTTACCAATTGTCATCCAGATAGCGAATCTAGCCCAAGTGAGAATGTTGAGGTTTATCATAAGTTCAACATTGAGCATGACACTGGCGGCTGGTAGAAGCGGGACATATGGCACTCGGAAGGGTAGACGAATCGGACTTTGTTGGTGAGCCCAAATAATGAAGAGGCCTAGAATATGTTTAAATAAATCTTGATGTAAAATCTTGTAATATGCAAGTTTATCACCAACTTAAGTCTACCGTGTAATACACAGTTAATTTATTTAGTCGCTATAGATATTTGAAATATATTTATATTTAGATATTTTGATTTGATAGACCTTGAACAAAATAAGTTTTGTTTCTTCAAAAATATATACGATGAAAACTTTAAAGAATAAAACAACTATAATATAGAGTTTTCCAGTCAAGATAATGGTACATGTGTGTCGAGACTAAGGGCAATCAACCCAACCAAGGAAACGAAACTAAGCATTCTCTATATACGAGTATGTATGACTTCCGTGCGTCAAAATGTTTTTTGTCATACGTGAGTCGTAGTTCTCACAAAGTCTCGTTTCTGAATCTCACTCTCATTCAGAGTGTATACTTACATCCAATTATAATAAGGCTGAGTACAACATCGGGTATGATCATCCACATCACTAATTTATGTTCAGCGAGACGATTATGTGCGCTTAGTATGGCTGTAGCAACAGTGAACACGTAGACACAGCTGGTAACTGCAGTGCCAGGAGCTCTGCCCCCTACTAGTGGTTCCAGCCACGCATATTGAGGTCGGAGACGGCCAACTGTCAGTGCTTCGAACATCTAGGGTGGAGTTCCGTAGAATAATAAGTTTTATTTGATCACCAATTATTTAACTATATGTTGTTATTACAAATATTTCAAGCTTCCCAATGTGGTTGTGTGGATAAGAATAAACAACACGCAATTATTATTATTTTGTGTCGTACCCAGGACCTCCAACTTATACCTCCCCGATTACTACACGATTTACTGATTAAGCCATATTTTAATAATGTGTTGTAGTAGTAGATATAATATACCTCTGATGAAGAAGATCCAGCATCTGTTCCAGGTGTTCCGGTTGCCGAACTGTCTTCACGATCTCCTGGAGATTCTAGCTGAGGAATACCGAAGTCTTTGTCTTCAGTTGGAGGTGCTGGTCTATATCGAAGAATTATAACAGCAGCACTCACTATAGTGTACGCTAATAAAGTACCAATGGACATAAACTCTACAAGTTTTTCTAAATCAAACAGAAGAGCAATCAAAGCAGATGAGAATCCAGATATAATAAGGTTGGAAATTGGTATTTGCGATTTGTTACTCATATCGCTAAGAAAACCGAACAACAAACCATCAGCCGACATCGCATAGAGACACCGAGGTAGGGAAAACAGTGATCCTAATAACGTAGTGGTCATTCCGCAAATGGCGCCAACAGCCACTGCATATTTAGCCCAATTAGCATGAACGGCTTCAAAAGCTTTTGGCAAGGCGGCATCAACGTCAATTTGTGTATAGGGTACCATAAGTGTAAGAGCAAGGGCTACAAGAATGTACCCGATACCAACTACACCCATAGATAAAATAGTAGCTGTCGGAATGGAACGAGTGGGATCTTTTGCCTCTTCACTAGATGCAGAAATGCTATCGAAACCGACAAATGCATAGAAACAAGTAGCGGCACCGGTTAGAACTCCACTTATACCATAAGGCATGAAACCACCGTGAATGTCAGACCAGTTGCTAAGATCTGCGTAGAAGAAACCTAAGAAAATAACGAGAGATATGACAATGAGATTTAATATAGTCAGACCGTTATTAATATACGCTGATGTTTTTACGCCAACGGCGAGAATGAGGGAAGCTATGATGCAAATGAGAAATGCTAAAATATCGGGATATTTGCTTAAAAGAGTTTCGTGTAGTTCGCCCGTCACTGATGTAGTAGCGTTACTAATGGCTCCGTGTAATAGCGCGTCAAGGTAACCCGATGAAGCCCGCGCGACTGAAGCAGCACCTGAAATAGAATCATTCTGTGGTCAACATTACGCCAAATTTTGTGCAAATTAAACTAAAACATCAGCCTTAAAATTGTTTACATGTCCTAATAAATTCCCGTTGTCAGTATTTTTATATATTCTATAATTCCAATTAATAAAACTTACCAATCATGTATTCAAGCACAATGTTCCATCCAATAATAAAGGCCCAAAATTCTCCAATGCTTACATACGTATATGCGTAAGCACTCCCCGCTCTGGGTATCCTAGTTCCAAATTCTGCATAACATAGAGCAGCTAGTGTCGAAGTTATACCAGCCAAAAGAAAACTGAGCGCGGTCGCTGGCCCTGCCATGTTCTTTGCTACTGTTCCTGTTAAAACGTAAATTCCAGCTCCTACCATATGTCCAATACCTGAAATTATGAAAACAGAAATAAGTAGGTACAAATAATATCGATGAATAAAAATTTAAATGCCAGAAGAAGCTAAAAGAAACTATTTTATACCAAAGGGTAACTACAACGTAATAGTCTATAGCTATTGGCGTTTTGAGTAGAAAACTCTTTGTGAGTTAAGGTAATAGGAAGTAGATGTTATTTGATGTGTTATTTTTCCTTACCTAACAAGGTGATATCAAACGTCGTGAGGCATCTGTTCAGAGGCGTATCGAGGCAATCTCCATACAGAGGTTTACGTCTGTTCATTTTGTGACAAAATCCTGAGAGGACATGACCCAGGATTTTATGCCTGGCGCCCGGCATTTTGGCTTAATAGAACTCACAATTGGTCTTTGATCCGATATTAGGTATGCGAGCACTTGATGTCTTTTTCCTACACGTAAAGGGATTTTCAGTGACCAGCTGACGTTTGTAATGGTTCCTGGAAGAGTAGAAAATATTTTCGGCGCGCGCACTCGATCGATAGCTTATACCGAAGCAACAAATATATAGATATTCGAAATTCCTCTAACTTCTGATTCTTGGAAATAGGGTGACGTTTACATAATATCCTACCTATATGAAAAATCATCAAGTTATTAAGAACTCAAATTAACATCAAATTATAATTACCTACTATTTTTCTAATATCTAGTTAAATCCTTTCTAATATTTAGTCTCCATTTTTATCTAACTCATACACAAGGTTGATTCTAAGTGCGCAAAATAACATAACGAGGCTTATGAGCGTACCTACACGAAGAAAGTTGCACATTAAAAAAGTTCAGCCAGAAAAGCATTAATTTTTGGAGAAATATAATATTTATGTATAACAAAACAAAGTAGGTACGCAATAGAATCCATCAGCCAAAATTTGTGTCATAGGCTAATTGTTAACATGATAGGTACGATTTTATGTAGGTATCTACTATCTGCTGACCTATTAATATTATGAATTGATATACCTGAATCATATCGACTTAATTTTTCTTAATTTTAATATCGCTTAGTGGTCTATATGGTGATAAGATAACTGTTGCTGATAAGTGTTATAGACGGCTGGGACTGTTTTAGCTGCCTTAAAAAGTTATCATTTGCACAGACGGCATGGGCCCCAATGGAGGGCCTATAAGACTTTAAACAAATATTGTAGTGATGTATAAAAAGATATTCATGTAAAAATACATCATCTAAATTATCGTTAGAAGTATCTACATAAATAGTTTAGATTTTTGAAGTTATACTTCTTTAGGCGCGTTATGAAAAATTGATGAGAGTGAAATTTTACGATGCGCGCGCACCGTGACACAAAATTAACAAAATGAAGTTATTGGACATAATTTTAAAAAAACATTCGAATAATAATAGAATTTATGTTACACTTAATGTAAGAGAATAATATTATTAATATTAAAAATGATAGATAATATATTTTTAAAAATGCCATAGAAGTATAACTTCTTAAGCGCATACATAAGTACACGCACCCTTTTTTTTAACAAAACAAATAACGAATATTGTTTTCGATACATAAAAAGCAAGTAATTAGTGAATCTAAAAACGTGACCTCACCTCAACCTAGTCTCATTATAATACCTGTTGCTCGTTATTACTTAGTAACAAATCGTTAGTTGTTGACCTAAAATCGCTGAACTAATTTATGAACAAGCAAATTGGGTGTGTCGCTGAAAAATATAGCATTTTAAAGCAAGTCTGGAACCAACTATATTATTTATTCCACAACCCGTTTATATTATTGTTTGTAAAATTAATAACATTCATAACTATACGAAGATTCTTTTTACACCGTTAATTTGATTTAGTGGTATTTAACTCGTCATGTGGCCTGCAATATAACCTGTATTTAACTGACTGTAATTAAAATTATTTTAATCAAATGATGGTGGACACTAAATACTTGAACACAAATACAGATGCTTGTTGTGTCGCTTAATTTGTAAAAAACTAAATCAATGTTGTCATGGTCCTGTTCAATAGTCTAAGACTGTTTCTGTTTTCTTTCTCTATTTCTATTATTCAGTAGGTATTTTTTTAGGGATTACGACAATAAGAAACTTTTTCTATTTAAAACACTTTATTGCGACCCTACAAATCCAATTAAACTATACGACATTTTATAAACTGTTAATAATTTACGTAAAATAAGAATAAACTATATTCTTAGCTACCAATTTTCTGATTTTCCAATCGGACTACATCCGATTTTCTAGTTTTTGGTATTCACCTACAGGACAAATATTTAACTAATTATTCTCGTCGCAACAATCCTAGATTCGTAGTGATTTTGATTTATACAAGTGCGAAACTATGAGTTTTTACAAACATTGGCTTGTGATACAAACTGCTTAACGAATTACTAGGCGTATATGGAAAAGCGGGTCAAATAGTTAATGGAAAATGGCGGACCGAGTTTTTATATAAAATAACCGAGATTACATTAAAGAAAGTTGGCCTCTTAGCTTCCACACACACACCTAGTATGTCAAATATTTTTAAATATTAAATTTACATTACAATTATAATTGTGCTCTATATTATAATTTATTTTGTCGACACAATACGTATTTTATGATTTTGTACGTGAGTGATGTCCCTGTAGTTAATATAATAACAAGTATACAAAATAATAATCGTTATAAATTATAATTCACTAACTTTTCATATGGCTGCTAAATAAAATACTTTTCAACATTAAAATAAATATTACACAGTAGGTACTTATAAGACTACTTGCAATATTACATTAGATTTACAAATAATTCGTTAAAACTATATTAAAAATACACATTGGTAATAAAGCAGTCGGTTACTATTTTAGATTTAAATTCGCTAACAGTTATTGCCAACTATGCATTATAACGATTTTAATTCTTTCATATGCAACCATGAGGTTATCGTCAATAATTTTAAAGATTCAAGTAAATAACGTGGAAAATGTAAAAAATTGGTAAAAAAATTTAAGTGGGCGGAAATATACTGGACGATAATTTGAGAAGTTAACATGTAGGCATTATATTATGTAAAAAAATAGTAAAAATAATTCGTATTAACTTATAGTAATTAGTATTATGTGCTAAATAGATGAAGAAAAATATAAAAAAAATATTAATTCACAGAGTACAACATTACACTTCATAATATTATGCATTGTGATATATCATGGATTTATATAAATGATATGTTTAATGTTTATGTTTTCAGTCTTTAGGAACTGTGACAATGAATATTTATATCATATAAACATAACACGGGATAGATAAATAAGATTAAATAATAGCCTTTGGTCGAATTTGTACTGAAACCTCATGACCACTATAGTGGCAGGCTTGCGGTTGAATGATATATTATCCTTCTATTCTTATTCATCTGTTCCGTGAATGATAACGAGGTGAAAATAACTTTATATCAATAGGATAACAATGGATTTGTTATATTTCCTTGTCACTGAATGAATTTACATTTAAATCTACGCATTAAAAAGACGAGAGTAGAACTTAATATATCATAAGATATATATCTGACCATTGTACAATTGCGTAATTTCAAAGTAATACAAAAAATATTAGTGTGTCAAAGTACTCATTTTAAAAAACTCATTATTCGGAATGTCAATAATATTTTTTTCAGTAAATAAATTATTAATCCGAAAGCTATTGCTTTAAAATATATTTTTTTACTTTTTCGTATTGGTAGTTGAATTGACTAGATGGTAAAAATATATGAAAAATACAGTTCACTTTAAAATAAGTATTTTTGTAATTAAAAAATTATGCATATTACCAAAATTTCAAAATATGTGTGTGAACTAAAATAAACGTTTTGAAAAAGAGAATATAAAAATACATTATCCATACAAAAAAAGCCTGATAAAAACGACTGCTTATTTTTGTTATATCACATAATAATACTGCAGGCGATTAAAATTGACAAAACCACAGTAATGTAAGAGTAAGTCACATATTACAATAATTATGCACAAGCTGAATAAGGAAAAATTAAATATGTACATAATTCTAAAAAATACACATAAAAATCATTTATGTAACACCGGTGAAGGAAATTTTTTCGAAATATGAATTATGTACCAAAAAAGATTTATGAAATTGCAGCAAATAAGTATTTTTTAATAAAATGTAGTTATGTTATATTATGTTTATGCGGCTATAAAATTACTGGAAATTTGAGCACCTTTTTAACATTAGTAGATGAAAATAGCAAATGGGGATATCAATATCAAATATTTTAAAATAACATACATATATTTTATATAACATCATTGTAATATATCTATTATACAATAGTAATAGTGTATTATAAAAGTGGTATAAAATGTTTTGGCATTTTATAGTTGAGCAGACAAAAATTAAGAAATAGCAGTAAAATACGCGAAAATGGTTTTTTGTGTGCATATTTATATTTAAAACACCTTGAACATATGCATATAATATATAACACCTAAAATGCAGCAAAATTATAATTAATTTTATTTGTATTATTATATTTAAATTGTCATGGATTGTTAAATTGCAACTCTATTAATATTACATCCAACTACATATTTTTTGAAATTACTACATTAATGGATAAAACAACAAGTTATGTCACTTACAATTTATTACAACTTCAATTTTAAAATTATTAATTTCCTCAACAATATGATGAAACAACATAGTTGATACACATTGTACTTTAGAAGTACCTATATTTTTATCTTTTTCATTTAAACTTTTTCCATAAAAATAATTTCAATAACAAACCAGTGTTCCATACCATAGCACCTTACAATATTTAAATATTAAATTTCATACAACATATCACAATTAATAAATTGTTTTTCCTAAATTAAGGATAAATATACCAAGAGACTAGTAGTGCCTTTTATGCCACTGGCATGCGTATGGCTATCCACCAGTTCCATTAAAATACTGAGCATGTTTTGTATATGGTGCTGCTATATGATAAGGCGGTGGCTGGCCTCGCATATAACCTCCATCAGTCCCACTAGGGATGTGCCTATTTATTATATTTGGTTCAGTAGAGGATGCCGGTATTGCTTCATATAAATCATACATATTTTGAGGAAGCATTGGCTGTAAATGACCAAAGCTACCATCATCTGATACCAAAGGTGTATTTGTCATACGATAGGGGTTGGTGTCATTTGTATGTCCAGTTGGAGAATAGAGTTCAGGTGATTGTGTAGCAACGTATGTTGGGCTAGACGATGATATATCATACATATTAGCATTAGCTGAGGATGCTGTATGCATAGCTGTAGGAAAATGCAAGTCTTCTCTAGGGCTGGACCGGACATTATTATAATGACTAATATTAGGCATTGTTGTAGAACTTACAATTTGACTCACAGTATGTAACCGAGGACTTGGTAGTTGCCGATTCACATTCGGGTGATAGTTAAAAACATCATAATTTTTACGCCCAAATAGCTTTTCTCTTGCAGATGAATATGTTTCTCCCCGATATGTTGATTCATGAAAACTTTCGTCAGTTCTACCGTAACATGTTTCTTTTGTACTATATATTGCATCACACCCAAGATTGCTGTCCACCATACATCTTGAATCATATGAAGTATCCCTGAAATGTGATGCTAACAAAGATTCGTCAGCACAATGCCTATCTTGTGAGCTGAGGCTTAATCTCTGCATTTGTTCACAAGATTCTTCAGTGCAATTTCTATAGCTATCTTCACAATTGGGTAAAAAACTTTCGTGTTCTAAATAATTACTGTGTTGCACTTGACAACTAGGGTTCCGACTTGGCTCTTGCCGTATGTACTTGTCATTTTGACTAAAGCTATAGTGAGTAGGGGCTAGTGAATAAGTAGAAGAATCATCTTTATAATTATTGACCTCATTTACTTGATTCTCGGAGTATAATGCATGGTCTACACTTTTATATGTTTTATCTTGTTCTTGTGCAAGATCTAAGGGCTTGTCATAGGTATTGTCAATAGGAAGATTATCATAAACAGATACATTCATAGGATCTTGATTTGTAGGATTTGTATTTTCTTTGCCTGAAGTGCTTATGTCTTGTTTCTGATTGTCTGAAGCAAATCTCTGCTGCAAGGTAGGCGTTATTTTTGCAGCTTTGATATGAACAGGGTTTTGCAACGGGGCAACATCTTGAGCTCCATCTTTGTGAATGTTTCTAGCATGTTTTGCCATAGCTCTAAGTTCTTTTGGATAGGGAGTTGGTGCACGGCGCAATTGTCCACCCTTTTCTGGAACTTTTACTGTGGGCTTCATATCAACAAAACTGATGTGTCGAACAGAATTATGTGCATCACCAGTTTCAGGCTTCTCTTTTTCTATCTTTAACTCAATAGGTTCCAAGGGAACTTGAGGAAAAAGATAGCAGGTTAGGACTTGTTCATAAGTATGAGAATCCACCTCCGAGTGCATGGGTACCAATGGCTTACTTTGATTTTCAGAGAGCCATAGAGCAACTAAATTTTCACAATTCAATAAAGACTGTGGTAAAAAACTAAGAGAATTTCTCACCAAATTGAGAACCCTTAATGAGGTCAAGTGACCAACTTCAGGTGGTACTTTAGCTAATTTATTTGCTCTTAGTGATAGTACAGATAATTTGCTGCAGCTCCCTATTTCAGGTGGGATAAATCTCAGCATGTTTTCATCTACATTAAGATATTGTAACTTCCTTAGAAGTCCAATTGATGAAGGAAGGTTATCTAAGTAATTGCACATCAACATAAGTTCTTCTAAGTTCTTTAGCTGTCCTATACTTTCTGGAATGGAATATAGTCTGTTATTATCTAATTTCAATGATGTCAAATTACTAAGTTTACCTATGGTATCTGGTAAGTGAGTCAAGTTATTTATTGATAAACATAAGTCTTGCAATTGTGTACAGTTACCAATCTCCGGAGCCAATTCATCTATCATATTATTACTAGCTTCCAAATGCACTAAATTCTCTAATGGTTTTATAACAGATGATATGCTTGTAAAGCTATTACCATCAATCCACAATTCCTTCAATTTTAAGAATCTTCCAATGACTTCAGGGAATTGTTGGAACTCATTTTGTCCAATGTCTAATCTTAATAATTCTGTGGATCTAGACAAAGACTTGGGCAATATCATTAAATAATTATCTCTAAGCTCTAGAATATGCAAATGTGCAAGTCGTCCAAAATTTCCGGGAAGATATTCAAGGTATGTGTCATTAAGGTACAACTCCTGTAAGGCTATAAGATTAGTGATAGTGTCAGGCAACTTTTCTAATGGATTGACACTAAGATCTAAAAATAATAAATGTTTGAGTGCCTTCATGCTGTCAGGAATGGAAGCTAAGGTATTTCTGTTAATATTCAAATATTGTAAATTAACTAATGAAGAAATGGCTGATGGTATTGCTTGTAACTCATTATCACTTAGATCTAAATACTTTAAGCCATGGCACATGAATAATTGTCGTGGTAACTCCGTGATACGATTACACTGGCATAACAATTTTTCCAAAGTTCTCTCGTAAATAAAAACGTCTGTGGGTACATCTGTCAAGGACTGATGAGAATAATCTAATTCTACTATATCTTCAACACCAGGCCTCACACAACATAAAAAATTGAAAGGCATTTTAAAGGAACACTTCACTATCTTGTACTTAACTGCACCTTGTTATAAATAAATCACATTCCTCTGATTGTTATACTTTTCTAATAGTGAAGAACTGCACAAATAATATAAATAACGACGTTTTAATTCATAATCCTGTTTCTTCAGTAACAAGTAATAACTAGCAAAAACATAAAACATAAAAATTTCTGTAAGCTATCGCCTATCACCCACCATCATAAATTTCGACCCACAGACTATATCAAAATACAATATCGTATATTAATAAATATTATAATATCGTACTGTGTATACCACAGAGTAAAATACTCTAGGTATGCACCAACACCTGAGTCCTTCGACCACAGTAATCAGTATATAGAATTATAGAATTAACGATCCCACATACCCACACGGTCACGTAATATGCCAGACACAAATTGACTTTTTAGCTCCTCCAACTGTTTCACTAAACACCTAATTGAGAAGGTTACCTCGGAGTTCGGACTAATATGGATTGGGGAAATAAAACAAACAAATAAATAGAAGAATGTTTATTGAATAATTTGACAGAAAACATTTAGTGTTCATAAGTGTACATTGTGCTACCTATATGAATAAATGATTTTTACTTTCACAAGGTGTATGCTTTATGTTTATACCGCCTTACAAAGGAACAAAATAAAGGAACAACATTTTCCTTCGTTAAGAGCAGTTTTTATTTCTTAAGACTCTTTTCTTTCTCTTAGATGGTGTGTCAACACTCAACAATAAGGTACCCTGTGCATGCGAGCTAAACTTCAAGAGATAAGCAATATTGAATTTACTCTGTGGAGATAAACAATAACATTGAAAATTGAAATAATTAAATTTTCAATTCAAATAGAAATGAGAAATAGTCGTTAACGTGCACAGATTACTTGTCCCTTTGATTATTACTATATAATAAATATTGTGATTTCCAAAATGTTTCACAAGGGTAAATATTACATATCATTTAAGCGAGGCTTTGAGGAAAGCAAAAAAGATATTTCAATAGCTGTAGATAAAATATTCAACAGCGACAGCTTAGTAAGTAATGTTTTTACTAATAATTAGTAATTATTAATTGTAATTCGTTTAGCAATTAGTAGTTGCTAAACGAATATACATACTTAAAACAATAGTCGAAATATTTTAATTCAAAATTTTACAACTCTGTCAAATATTTTCAACTATCTAGAACGAACTCAAAGTAAGCAACTTAATTCAATCGTTTATAAAAAATCATGATACGGCCTAGCTGATATATTTGTGTACTATAACCACAAACAGTCAAATGATTAGTAGATATTTGTCCTATGTATAACACCTATTTTATAAGAAAGTGATTTTCTGTTCAGTAATAGACTTTGCTTATTTCCAGAGATTAACACTCTCTAATGAGGATGACCCAACTTTTTTGTGTAGAATTGTAATAACTCGTTGTGACTATGAAGAGTTAAAGAAACAACAAGGACTTCTTATTGATTTTGACAACTTTCCTTCACAAGTAGTTAGGCTACTACAACAATGTACTGCAAACAATATGTAAGATTAGCAAAATATATTGTTTTCTTGTTTATGCTTAAACTGTAATATCTAGTATTCTACATTATTATTCTTTCTTTATGTTTTTTAGGTTTCTTATCCTACACCAAATGAATCCAGATGATTATAATTTTGAAGTAGTTGAGCATAATGAATTTAAGAGACTTGTTCATTTGTCTTTGAAAACAGGTCCAGCAACTGACCATGATGTCAAACAACATATGTCTGAATCTATATCTGAATTAAAGGTAGTTCCAGATTCTAAGCAGATTTCACATAATTTAAAATGATGGAATGTTTAACCTACTATGGCTGGTTTTTGTTTATATAGTGCTGGTTTTATTACATCTCTTTTTTTATAACTTTAAAAATAATAGAATACTCTATGTTGAGATGTTCACTTATAACTTAAGTAACTCTAAACAAAACACAAATTTTCACTTATTTAATTCAGATTTACTATTTTATGTTTGTAGAAAACATTATTATCAGTTAAGAGTTCAGCTGCTAACAATGAGGCACTAATGAATGATAGATGTGGCAAACTTGAGGTAAAGATCCATGAACTAACAATGGCTTTATCCAAAATGGAAGAAGACAAGCTGAGACGAGAGTCTGAATATCAAGAGTCATTAAGACAGGAAAAAGATAGACTTGTACAGGTATTCTACAGTTGTTCAGTATTTTACAGTTGATAGTATAAAGTTCATAATATAGAGTCTGCATGTTCTTGATTGGTGGAATGTTGTATCCCAGAAAAATAATAAATATCTATTGGCACAGAAAATTGTCCTGGAATATGTAACAAAAGGCAGGACAATGAGACAGCCTTTTCCGCTATTTGCTTGATTATAATATAAAGATCATATAGATATTTACATATATATAAATAAACCTTTTTAAATTTTAATTAACTAATTTCAGGAAAAACTTCAACTACAAAAATCAGCTGACCTAAATGCCAAAAATGTATTAGCAAGCTCCCAAGAAAATTTAAACAAGAAAGACAAACAAATTGATGAACTACATTACTCATGCAGACAAATGAAAGACACTATTTCTCAATTGGAAAGACAGATTGGGTATATTTTTAACCACAATTTTGTGAAAATTCTTCTGATAACCTTTGTTCTTAACTTTCTTTTATTCCTAAAATAATACATAAAACAAATGTTTGCAATTTTAATTAAATATTTTTAATTGAAATTTAAATGATGAAAAAATTTTATATATATTATTTTGACATTCTTTGATTTTATTTGATCGATACAGGTTTAAAAGCCTATTAAAACAATAAAAAAAACTAAATAATTATTATAAGTCTTTAGTTTATGTAAGCCATACTCTTAAACACTTCATTAGCAGATATGAATGTGAACACAATCCTTTAGAACAGTAATGATCACTCATACCATATCTTCATTTAAGCATTTTTGCTATTCTGTTTTATTATTTGATTAAACACAATTTTAATTTACTTTCTACTAGATGACAGCGATACCAGTTACTCCATAGGCGAAACACATTTCTATGTTTAATTTGTCATAGGTTAACTGGCCCTTTATTCTAACCAAATAACAAACAATTCTTTTGCTAGGAATTTATCCCATAATCATAAGGATATAATTTAGGTTCACAAGGTTATGTAAATTTATATATAACGTATTCAATTGCAGTGAAAAAAATCAAAGAACAAATTATCTTGAGAAGGAGGTGCAAAAGTTTCATTTAGAAGTAACAACTTTATCATCAAAGAATGCTTCATTAGAACGTGAAATAAATGACCGGGAGAAACAAATGCACCACTTGAATACTAAATGTTCATCTCTAGAAAAGGTTTGTGAGGCATTTGGTCTATTTAGCTATATCAAAAGCGGCGTAAGCCAATGGGGCAGACTCTTTTGGTTTTCCCTTTTGCCTATAAGTAAAGTGCCTATAAGTTTCCCTTTGGCCTATAAGGCCTTGCATACGATATTATTTTTATATCGGGAAGTGAACCGAGGACAGATGTCCTGATGACAAATGAACTTATATTTTTCCTTTTTAAACGGTTTTATTTAGCTCACCCCGTTTGTTTTATTCTTGGGTCAAATTTAGTAATTCAAATTTCACCCTCTTCCTGTCAACCGATTAATCTGAAATTTTGTATACACTTTGGATTTTGGTGACAATACAATAAACTAAATAAATAAAATAAAAAAAAATAAAAAAAAAAATATTATATAATATATAAATATATATATATATATATATACATTATATTAAAAACTGTATCTATTTTATTAATTAAATATATATTATATTTATATTATAGAATTGATTTATTTATATAAACTAACTGGCAAGGGACCTTGCAATAATGAAGCACTAAATGAATTAAACAGAATGCGAAATAAAAACTAAAAACTAGAAAATAAAAATAGGTAAAAAAACTTTTTAAGTTAAACGGTTTTATGTTAAACATACATTGCAATGTTTAAGATAAATGTACTAAAAACCAAAAAATAGTAAGTAATAGATACAGTCGTGGGAATTATAAACATATGCATAGACTAGACTAAAATAAAACCGTAGGGCACGTCAATTGTCTACAATCGTTGATTAAAATGTTTGTTTTGTAATGTTACACTATAATTAGGCAGTTGTTCAACCGACAACGATGGACGTGTGATAAGTAGGGCTAGAATGTGGAAACAAGCTAGCAAGCTCGATTATAAGCGAGTTTTAGGGTTTCATAGTGGTGAGCGAGTAGTACTTTTATCATATGTTTTGTCGATTAAAGACAAACTACGAGCAGTGAAACGATTCCTCGCCAGCCAGCAGTGTGAATGTCCAACGATAAACTAGTTGAAACATCTCTTTTATTTACATGGAGTGTATAACTATTGGAATTTCCATGAGCAAGAAAATAGTAAGTAATTTCAGGACGTCTGCGGGCCAACTGCCTATTTTAACGACGAATTAAACGATTCTTCTATCGCACATTAAGTCGATAATTTGTAGACAATTGACGTGCCCCACGGTTTTATTTTAGTCTAGTCTATGCATATGTTTATAATTCCCACGACTGTATCTATTTTATTATTTTTTGGTTTTTAGTACATTTATCTTAAACATTGCAATGTATGTTTAACATAAAACCGTTTAACTTAAAAAGTTTTTTTACCTATTTTTATTTTATATAAAATCTGCATTATACAACAAACAAATAAATGATAATTTGTTTGAAGTTTACACCTCCGACTATACGATCTATACTGAAACGCTTTTACTATTTTAGGGGTAATCTCGATATAAATAATGTTTACTTTAATTTAAATAATGTATTTTACAGACGGTAAAAGATAACTTGGATGTAATCAAAGAGTTATCTGAAAATGTACAATCATTGACAATAGAAAAGGTATGTATTACTTATTTTTTTGAGCCTATTATTAATAATATATATTTATTCGAAACAATATCTCCATATTAATCCACTAAGCTATTCTGGCAATTAAACCAATTTTTCACCCAATGACTATTTAAATAAAGTTAAATGTTTTTATGAAATATCTTAACATTAACGAGATCCGATTTCATAAAATTCTTTGAAATCTTAAACTCATAGACTTAAGTGCCTTCCGTCCTAAGAACATTCATATAACTTTTATTATATGGGCTTGAGCAACAAGGCCAACAGTCAACACTGCTCTGTGGCACTAACAGTCTGTTCTTCCTATGTGCGCATATAACACTCGCTTGTGCAGTGAAGTGAGAATGGGTGACAGGAAGAAAAACATCGCAAGGAAACCGGCTTGGCGTGTCAGAAACAGCTGATCACCTACTAATATATATATATATAATGGTATCGATCGCTTATACGAGTACTGGGGATAAATAAGGCGCAACTGCGTTTCTCTGTGAATACAAAAGAAACAACATTTAAAGCCTATATTCTAGGTTTTATAAAATAAAATAATATAAAGAAAAAATTAAAACATATTACATCTATTATGTCAAGTGACAAATAAAACATCGTCGATCAGACGGCAAAGAAGAAAAATAAAATATAAAAGAGTTTGTATAGGAAAATATTAAATATTATGTTTTCCTTACATATATATTAAAAATTTATCTGTTGACAGTAATCTGAGACCAAGATCAACGGTTTTAATAATTATTTTTGATAATACGATACATATAAGGGGTAAATGCACACTAAATTTAGGCTAATCCGTACACAATATTTTATATAGTAGGTTAAAAACTTAAAGGCCGGCAACATACCCACTAAAATGGATGTTCATGGGCCACGACGACTGCCCTCTTTGGGCGTCCCGTTGGCTCGTTTGCTTATATAAAAATAATGTGATAATAATTGCGAGTCCGATTTTATACATGCGCTGATATCTCTTTACCAAAACTCCCAAGCGAAATTAGAGAATTATTACTAAATAAATTCAAAGCCCTCGTTAAACGAAAATTAATCAATAAAGCTTTTTATAAATTTGAGGACTACTTAAATGATCCTAATCCTTGGGATTGATTTGCTCCAGTTCAAACAATTTGTATGACAATACTTGGCGATTAAAAAGAGTGGCGGAAAGTTACTTGCCAGTTCTTCTTACCCGTTCTACGCCCTCGACTTGCGAACTGGTAGTAAATATAAATTTACAATTAATTTAACTTCTTTCTGACGATTCATAAGTGTACTTGTTTACCTATATGAATAAAGATATTTTGAGTTTGACCTATTGATGTATTTAACCTAAACATTGGACTATGGGTTTAAATAACCACATCATTACAGAATAGTCTCGAACGACGTCTCTCCCTTAGTGAATCCCTAGCTAGTAGGAACAATGAAGCGGCTCAATCGACATCAGAACAATTGTTAAAGGCTAATCAAATAATTTCCAAACAAAATTCAGATCTAATAGAGATGAAGGATAAGGTAAGATTATCATATATGTACTACAAAAGACTTATATTTGTTTCTTTACGTTTTTTAAAGTTATACTTCTTTAGGCGCGTTATGAAAAATTGATGAGAGTGAAATTTTACGATGCGCGCGCACCGTGACACAAAATTAACAGAATGAAGTTGCCCACGGAAGATGCTACGGCATTGGACATCATTTAAAAACAACATTCGAATAATTATAGAATTTATGTTACACTTAATGTAAGAGAATAGTAATAAATATTTATTTATTTAATTTTTCAAATGTAAACTGAACTTTATTGACTATAATGACTCCTTTTCCAGTCTTTGATTATTTAATTGTAATTAATAATTTGCATGCAATCAAAAACTATTTTTAATAATGCCAAAGAAGTATAACTTCTTACGCGCGTACATAAGTACACGCACCCTTTTTTTTCTTATGTCTAGTTTATCAACTTCGGAAGAGGTCGAATACCTCGCTAGAACTCTTAAGTTTATTTATTTATTTATAACTACAACTACTCTAAGTTAAAATATGTATTAGATAATGTTAGCTAACATATAAACATGTTAATAAAAGAAACGTTATGTTCGCACGATTGCCCGTAAATTACGTTAACAAATGGCGACGTATACGAAGCTTTTATCAATTCGTAGTTATCAAAATAAATATACGATTTTTTTTATTTAATCGTACAAATTTATTTAATGGCTATTAACGCAATATATTTTGTAGAGATTTATCGCCTAAAAGTTGCTCTAAATCAAATATGTGGTGGTTTTTCAGCTTCTTTGCCGTACAGCGATTGCCCTGGAACAAGAAAAAGTGATTGAACGTAACTCGAAAGAAATAGAAGAGTTGACGTCACGGATTAAGAGTTTTCAAGAGGCTATAGAAAAGCAGCAAACCGATGTAGAGACCTGGAAAGAGAAGTGTGAATTGAATGAATTAACAGTTAGAGATAGAGATGAGACCATCAAGAATAATAATATGGGTAAGTTTTACTAACATATTTTGTTTTTTATCCAATTTGTAAATATATATGATTATATTTGACGATTTAATGTTATGGGCAACTGGAAATCTAAATTAAAAATTTAGATATGGACACAAAACATATGTCATGCATTATAAAGCGTGTTTCATTATGACGATGCAAGTAAATTTCGATACACTGCAGTATTCTGTTGTTACATTCGTATCATAGATTACTTATAATGTTTATACCTGTATATAAACAATCTGTATACAAAAATCCGGAATTTGGTAGTTTAAATGGAACGATTTAAAAAAAATTGAAAAAACTAAATTAATTTAATTACTCAAAATTATTATTACATCCAACTGTCTGACCGCGTTGAAAAATGAATGTCCTATGGCATAGTAACTATCCAATGTTGGCAAGTCAAAAGATCACAAACAACACAAAAATATAAACAACTGTACAAACAAAACTTTTTTAAAATTTTCTACCTGCCTTATCACCCAAATTCGATAATAATTGATGGGGCACTTCTATGTTTTATCTATGTTTTTTTTTAAATTTATCATATCATACTTGAAGTATAGTGACATTGGAATTTTCGTAATCTTTATTTCAGTTATTCAATGGCTTCACAAGAAACTAGAGGAGACAAACACTCAAACAACGGACAGACACAAGACTAACGTGGCTAGTTCCACGCCATATTTTATTAATAGGAACACCTCTACGCTAGAAAATTCTGAAGAGTCAATAAATTTTTATGCCACTTCTAAGTAAGTATTAGAGGATCTAGCTATCACTCGGTTCCTATTTGAATATGTTTACGGGTATGGTACATATTGCAGTGTTGGGGCTGCAAGTGCCGATTAACCACTTTCGACATGGAAAACGGCAATTGTGCATTCAGATGCGCGACTTACGCGAGCATTGCGCACACTTATTAATGTTGCATTGTCCATCATTTGTTATGTTTGGTTTTGGTATTTTTTTAATATTTTCTATCGAATTAGTGTTAAGTTGTTGATATAGTAGAAAATAAGGTAAAAATGAATAAATGATTATAATAAATAGTTTTTCGTATATGTCGGAGAAATATCGTCACTCCATTGATATGGAAATCGTCATTAGCGAGTTTAGTGGGCGACATGTGGGTAAAGTGTGAGAACAAAACACGAATAATTATCGTACAGTATTTAATTTAGTTTGATACCTTTTAAAATTAGAAATAACACTTTTAACTTAATTTATATCACAATCAAATACACTTTTAATCACAATCTATCTAACCACAAATCACATAGACCCAACTCCGTCCAACGTCTCATCACCACAATGCTCTACTGAATACTGTATCAGAGTTGACTGACTGCACTGCCCTGCGTACTCTATACGCATCGTCTAAAGTCAAGATGGCGCCTCGACCCCACTTGAGGCCTATGCTCTGCTCTGATTGGTCGTAACAGTATTCGTAGTTTTATTCGTAAGTTATGATTCCAAACTATGAAATAATTGAATATGGCATAACAAAAAAAATCGTATCATATTAAATTATAATTGTTAAAAGTAAAAGATGAAATATCAATAATTAACCAAAGTAACAATAAAAATGACGGTGAATTGAATCTATCAGAACATTTCCTGATAATCCGAGCATTCTCTAATATATATTTATATCTTAAATAATGATATGACTTACATCTATACATTTCTAAGCCGTAGAAAAAACCTTCCATAAAATAATAGTGTACCAACCAAAATCATTTTTAATCCTATATAAAAAGTAAAGAGTTTGCGAATTAAAAATAATGTTTCATACGAAAATAAGTTTTCTTATTTATCTATAATATATTATGTAACATTCCATAGTCATTAAAAATGTTTTTTCTGTTATTATATTCTATTTTCAGATCGAATATAGAAGATAGTCCTAATATCATTCATAGTAAAGAACGCATCACTAAGGGTCTGGATCCGAAATACTTAAAACCATCAGAGGACACAAAGACGAAGAAAAAAGGTATTTTTATATACAGTGTAAACTCTATGTAACGACACTCAAGGGACTGTGCTTATTTTGACGTTACAAAGAGTTGTCGTTAACTGGAAAAATCTGTTTTAGAAAAAGTTTATTTCAGACTACTGTTAGTAAATTACATAAAAAACAATTCTTATGACTCTTTATACCTAAAAGTTACCATTATGTGGTATAAAGTACTGGAAAGTCGAAAATAATATTAACAATAACGAGTAATTCAATCCCCGCCCCGCATCGTAACGTTTTACAAAAGGAATAGAAATTCGTTACGTAATACTTGAACGCTCCCTTATCAGTGAATATTAAGAAGAAGTTCGAAGAGAGTACTTACGACTAAATTGTTGCGGTTTTTTTTATTATATCTTTAATAACTTGATTGAAAAATACTATTTGAGGGTAAACAATAACAATTATACAACTCTGATAAACCATTACTTTTTATCAAAGTCTGAGTCTCTGATTTCTGTATCTGTTTCGTGACCATTTTTTTAAATTAAATGCGCACTTAGACAGAAAGCCCATTGGTGTGGACGGGAGTGGAACGTTAAGGAAGAAAGTCGCACGCTGAGCCTACTAGGCCAACACTCCTCACTTATTATATAATTAGACATTTCAATTATTTTAGTTTTAAGAATGTCATAACATTTTCAGATTCAAGTAAACCAACAGCATCACAAAGTAAGGGAAAAGAGAACAAAAATATCGAGTTACCCAAAGTTGACTACAGAGAGAAGAAATCGTCTAAACAAACGACATATCGGGCTACACCTGTCTCTGCATACTTTCCGTGACAAATTTGGCATAGTTGTATATTTTTTGTAATATAAATAAATTAAATTATGTTAATAAAATGATAAATAAAATGTCTTATTTGTTAAACCTTGACCGCATAAGAAGATTATTTTTATTTTTGACAAAAAAATTGTATTGGTATGGCAAAAGTGCCTTTGTTTATAGCTTACGCTATGTATCGGACTGTTCTTTCGGTGTTAATCTGTCGTAACGTGTTATATATATATCCTATGGTCAAACTGTATTTTTGTGACATTTAATAATTATTAAATGTCACAGTTTGACAAAAATATTTGTAGGATAGGAAGCTCACAGGGTCAACTTTAGGGCTCCCACACAAAACGTCTAAAGGATATCGATGCGAATTCGCATAATAGTAAAAGTACTAGAAAATCGTAAATAATTAAGAAACCCGTTTTTCCATACAAACAAATAGAGGCAAAATGAGTCGATTTTAACACCATTGCAAATTCATTTATACTAGACGACGGCCAAAAATAATTTACTTTTTTATAAAAGAAACGGGCGTAAAGGAAGAACTGCTAAACCCCCACCTTTTTAATCGCCAATTTAAAAATCTTTTACAAGAACATCAATAATTAACAACATATCACAAAAAAAAAAATAAAAAAAAAAAAAAAAAAAAAAAAAAAAAAAAAATTTTTTTTTTCCCCCCAAAAAAAAAAAAAAAAAAAAACCCCACCCCCCCTCCAAAAAAAAAAAAAAAAAAAAAAAAAAAAAAAAAAAAAACCACCACAAAAAAAAAAAAAAAAAAAAACCAAACACCCCCCCTCCCCAAAAAAAAAAAAACACCCAAACCCCCCCCCTTCTTTTTTTTTAAAAAAAAAAAAAAACAAAAAAAAAAAAACCCAAAAAAAAAAAAAATTAAAAAAAAAAAAAATTCTTTTAAAAAAAAAATTTTTTAAAAAAAAAAAAAAAAAAAAATTTTTTTTTAAAAAAAAAATTTTTTAAACAAAAAAATAACTTTTTTCCCCAATTTAATTAAAAAAAGTCGTTGACCCCCCCAAGCTGGAATAATGCAGTCGAGAGTTTCAGTCGCGTTACCTCTTTATACTGACTAAATTCATATCCAAGCACAAGGATCGTTTAAATATTCACTTATAATAGGCCTTAGCAAGCTGTTTTAATTTAATGCACGATTTAAATTTATTTATTGACAACACTTGTATCTCACTAGGGATTTTGATGAAAAAACGTATACAATTGCCTTGGAAAGAATTACTCGTTTTATCCAGCCTTGTGGTTGGTGCGCTACAACAAACGATGTTTAGCAATAAAACATAAACAAATGTTTAATAATGTTTATTACAAAAATACATCACAAGTATAATATATTGAGCTTAAAAGTCCTGTATAACAAGAGAACACACATTTTAACAGGCTTTGAGATCAACAAGAATTTTAAAGTGACATCGATAAATACTCTGTTAGTGACTTATAAAATAGTATATTTATTGGACATTTATCTCAACAATTTAGTGGCTATAGCACTTTAAACAAATTGGAATTCATGCAACAGATTGTACTATCAGCAGTCAACATTCACTTACAACCTATTAATTTTTATATTTTAGTAATAATAATACTTTATATACTATAAATATAATGGGGATTCTTGACTTAGTTCTGTAAAAGTAAAATTTTAAGCAAATATTGTTTACGATTTACACAAAATAGTGCAATTGAATATTCACAAGCCGATTGCTGATAGTACCTTTAAAAGTCTGGTAAAAATCATTGGAATCTATCATACCCTACTAATTTAAAAATTCATTGATACCAGATTAACAACTAAATAATAGAAAATCTTTATAATTTATAATCAGATGTATAAGGGAAAATAGAATTATGTACAAAGGTCAAGAAAACAGTTTTTCAATTCGAAGCAAATACAATCACATTCTAACATCATATTCATGTACCATTCAGGAGCAAAATTTTTGCTTCTTGTCATAAGTCATAAAGGATTGGAAAAAGCTAAAAGTATATTCCCAGTCAAGAGTAAACATCTGGTATAGCGTAGAGGCACAAGTAATTCGAAGTAATTCAAGTAAATGTCTAAATACTGTGAGAATCAAAAAGCTATATGCTGCATATACAAATTAAACATCAAGACTTTACCATAATGCCAAGTTAAACTGACATAAAAATTCAAGCTCCGAATACACTGGAGAACATTGCTTCATCACTCAATATGCTCAAATGGTCACAAGCCAGGGTGGGATTTCTATTAAGTAATAGTGATGATAAAAATCCACTAAACACAGTTATATCATTAGTTCCCTAGTGTATTTGTGGCTTTTGGGAACACCAGATTTTAAATTCTTATAATTTTTAACCACGAAACATTTAAACTCTTCCCGAAAACTATATTAACAAATAAATCAGATTTTACAATATAGAATTTCTAACATATCACATTCAAAATGCAAAAATCTACAAAGAATTTTGTATTTTGTCGGGATTAATTAAAACCATTACTTTCACAAATTCTCATAAATACATTTCGTTAAATTTGTATTACACATTCCCGAATTCAACGAAGATATAATTACGGAAGTTAATAAATATTATTTTATTTATGGTTAATCAAAGATAGAACCACATAGAAGACACAATTTTAAACTTAGTGATTTTCAAGTATTTTTCATGAAGAAAGTTCTAGACTTCTTCATGAATATCACTTTCACTACCCCTGTCCTATTCCATCAATTTATAACAATATTAATATTTCTCAACGACAAAACATGTTTCTTTTTAAATAGAAAATGGCCTGTTACTTAAGACTTAAGAGATTAAAATTATAGAGTTTGTAGCTGCAAAATCCACCTTACGACCGGATTCTATATACATACAATGATCATAAAAGTACATGTTATAAAGAGATGTAGGAAAACAATTGCATTTAAAAACCTACAACCGTAGAATATTACCGGTAAGTTGAATTTAAGTTGATATGAAAAGATATTATAAGTTCAGTTACTCAGTGGTATCCACAATTTAGACATAAGCAGCATCTTCTACTAATCTAAAGTCAGAACTGTTATTGATATTCCAACACGATTTTTTATGGTAACTTCTACACAATAGACACCATAACAATACGTTAATAAGAGTTCGTCATAAGTATTGTAAGACGCTATTGATTAAAACATAACCCCTCTCAGAATAACTAGATCTGTAAAATTATACTGTTCGTCTTTTCTTTACGACAGATGACACATATTGGTACAGAGATATAACAGACATAACAACAGACCATTTTCTATATTACAAAGAAAACAATGAAATTCTTTGTTCGAATTTTAAAAATCCGCAATTCACAGCACAACTTTCTTCTCAACGCAATTCTTATCGAACTTTATAATGTGATCGTCACGACTGTTGCTCAGCAACTTCTTAGCCCTAGACAAATCGTCCAAAAAGCACTTACCCTTCTCCGTTCGCATGAGTTGTTTCCTCGGCAACAAATTCCTCGATAAATACGCAATAAACTTTTGCCAATCCTTTATTAGGAAGAAAACTCTATCGTTTCTCGTTTCGACTGGTATATCGCCATCCGAGTGTTCGAAGAATACGTTCACGACATATTTTTTGAGTTTTGACGTTTTTGAGGACCGGAGGAGAGATAGAAGGAGAATGTCGACTTTGTGGGCGGTTATGATCGGTTTGTCGTATATATTGTTGTAGAGATTTGTATCTTCAGCCGGTCCAACTACGTAGACAATGTGAGAAGCGAGTTTGAAAGCCTCTTCTGCCCATATGTAGGGGTCTCCGTGGGACGTGGTAGAAATGTCGCCATCGTACATAATATCGAATCCGTATTCCGCACGAAGGTAGGTGACAAAGGAAGCTACGCATTCTGCGTGGAGACGGCTAGCAGTCGGGTATATTATCAGAACCTTTGTTGGTGGAGGAATTTCTGGAAATACATGCGTATATTTAGAAATCGCGTATAAAGTTATTGTTGTAAATTTAACACATAAAAAAACATTATTTCCTTATAAAAAATTAATTATGAATTCGCATTAGTTATAAAATTGTTTTAAAATGACTAAATTTTAATATACTTCTTAAATAAATGAAGTTTTAAAAGTGACTTAACTAGATCTACCTTGGCCGTATTCCTTGCACCAGTATCGTCGAATTACGCGTAGAACTATGTAATAAATGAACAATGTTGCCAGGATGAGAGCTGTGATGCTTGCTATGCAGATGTTCATAGCCTGATGCACCTCACTTTCTGAAAACAAAAAATTTAATATTTTTATGATTTAACATAAACAACAGGACCTTCGAGCACAATAGTTTTAATATCAGGTAGTGTACATTATATATAACAATAGTAAAAGTTTTATAGTTAAACCAGTATTCATATTATTTAATGACATATTTTTGGAGGCAGACTATTAGTCAAAGTCTAATTATATTCTATTTTATTATTAATATATCATTAGTCAAGACAGTAGACGTTAGTAAGTTACGCAAAGCAAAACTGCTGATATAATTTACAAGAATCTGATGTTATAATGAAATTGGCATATTATTTTCGTATAACAAGTATACGTTGAATGTATGTGTGAATAAATATTTAGTTCTAGGTGAAAATATGTAAAAAGAGTTAAAAATTTTATGTTTCTAGGAAATAAATTAATTAGAAGTTTCTAACTAAGGAGACTAGATGCATAAGTATTCAGATACATATTTGCAATATTTCCTGTGTTTATATAGTGAAACAATTTATTGCGGTAATCACGACTTATTTGCAAAACTTGATATATTCATAAATGTTTCATACTAATGATATGTACTATGAGACATTGTATGAGTATTCTCATGTAAATCTATACATTAAAAAGCTATATTATTATAAGAAAAATACTCTGGCAGATAACACAAATTTATAGAGCTGTTAAAGTGCAAAGTGAAAAATTAATAAGTATGCCAGTGTTTGGTTTACTCATTATGAAAAAACAAAGAAAAAATCTAACATTCTCTCTGTATTTCTAAATTTCCCACAAATACAACATGAAACCACCACTTTATCAGTAGTGGATAGAAAATAAGTGCTGTTTGAACATAGCTGAGTCTTGTTGAGTCTAGAATCTTTGCAAATTTTGATCTGAATTTATTGTTATATGATAAAATTTCTTACTTATTGTAATCCTGGGGCTTTCCACAAACTGACATTCTGACATTTGTCCTTTGCACTTTTCATGCTGAGGTGTTACTTTAAAATAGTAAAGTCCAGGAGAATTCAGAAGACTATAGGTATATGTCACTTCTCTTGTACTATTCTTTACTTTGATGATAGCAGTTTTAACTAACTCCTCACATTGGTTCTTATGATCACATTGTTTCATCACATCTATTTGGTAGGAATGTATTTTTAGTTGTGCTGGAGGTGGAATTATATGCAGGTTCATAGTTGGTGTTAATATTTCAATATACACAAATGGTTTCCAATCCTTTTCGCTAATTGTTGGACCTATAAAAATATAAATTATATCTTAATATATATAAATTACGTGTCACGTTGTTTGTCCGCTATGGACACCTAAACTACCGAACCGATTCCAATCAAATTTGCACACCGTGTGCACTTTGATCTAACTTAAAAGATAGGATAGCTTACATCTCAATTTATACCCGCAATATGATTTTATTGCAAAATATTTGTTTATTATTTGATAGTCACAATTCTAACAGATGGTGCTGTGTTGAAAGTACCAACGTTTCAAATAAGCTACAATTTAATGGTATAACCACCAAAAAAGCATGGTGGTCCCCATGACTGGTGTTCTCCTACCGTTTCCCTTGAATAGGTTACTACTATGTAATATAACTAAAACTTTAGCCACAGCAACGCTTGGCCGGTCTGCTACTATTAATATACGTAGTCGGTCCCAAAGTTCTGTCATAAATGGAAATAATGATAAAAACAAAAGTACTGATCAGTTTGTAATGAGTGATATATCAATTCTTAGTAAATTAATTAAGGAATAAAAAAAAGCATAAAAATATATCTATATAAAATAACCTCCCTCATTTTTAATACAGGCCCTTAAGCGTCGCGGCCAGTCGTCTATCGCAGCACGCACCATATTCGTGTCCATTTCAGTCACTGGTTTTTTTTAAAGATGACTTCAGATTCTCCAAATTTTCATGAGGTTTATCACAGACCTTCCTCTCTAAGCCCTGTCATAATTTCTGGTCCAAAGGATTAAGGTCCGGACTGGAGGAAGGCCAATCCTCATGTCTAATTAAGACGATGTTTTGACGCTCAAACCAGGCTTTAGTGGTCTTGGCTTTGTATGCAGACGCAGAGTCCTGCTGGAACACGAAGTGATGTCCCGCAAATAGGGTGCTGGACATGTCTTTGACAAGGTGATACAAAACCGTCTCTTGGTACACTGTAGCACTGGTTTTGACCCCCTTTTCGAAAAAATTAACCTCAGTTAGCCCGTAATAGGACACTCCCAACCAAACCATTACTGATGATGGATGATGTCCATGTTGCACCCTTGGAACTTTATTTTCAGCTTCTTCAGAACTCTTAGCGTACACTGTATAATTCTGTTTATTGTACTTCTCTTCAATATCGAAAAATTTTTCGTCCGTAAAGAGGATATCACGGTGTCGGTTTTTCGCGTACCGCTTAAACAACACCCGCGATCTCTTAAGCCTTATTGCTTTTAGACGAGCATTAAGTAAGTGCCCACTCTTTTTTTGTATGCTCGTAGACCAAGATCTTCATTTAAAACCTTTTTTACTGTTTTCCTACTGACACCCATCTGCAAATCCATCAACTTCTGTTTTCGGACAGGATTTCTTACTATCCGCGCCTTGATAGCTTTGATTACTGCTGGTGTTCTTGCGGAGCGTGGCCAGCCAGTTCTTTTCTTGTCCTCAACACTGGAGACTTCAAGGTACCTATCAATAGTACCGTACACAAACCTAAGCGTTATATTCAAATTTTTGAGCAACTTGAAAATGGTACTCGGCGAGTGTCCACAGCGGTGCAACGCAATAACAACTATTCGGTTTACTTTCAATGTCCACTCCATCGTGAAAAATTACGGAAAGTTATTGTTTTTTGTTTTAAAACAATAATCAAACATTCCAAAATAGAATGCAATAATTTTTTATAAAATCCTGCTCGAAATGTAGAAATAATGTGCTAGTGACAGAACTTTGGGACCAACTACGTATATTGAAGGATTACTAGTTAAGAATTATACTATGAATAAATTGTGTTGTTTTGAAGTGTGGGAATACAAAATAAAACACTAATTAGGAAAATCTAATATGTGTATTGTTTAGTAGAATTTTCCTCATTTGTGTTTTGTGATTTTGTACAAAACAATTTCTTATCATTTAAGCTTATCTAAAAGAGTAAAGTTTAAGGTTATAGACATAAGCATACCAAAGTTACTGATAGTGTAATCATGCATTAATACAATATGTGTGACTTACCAGCTAGTAACTTAAAGAATACTCTAAATTTTCATTTAAGGCAATGCTTTTGACAACTTGGATTATTAATTTATTATAGAGCATAGAATGTCACTTTCTCTACAGAATTATTTTATCTAGGGGCCCAATATATGCAGCTCTTATGAGCTTTAAATAAAAAAAATGTGCAAAACTTACTTAGCATTTGCGCCGATGGAATGTTAAAGTAATATCTGCCTCTATTGACAACATAGTCATCTGTAGCCTCAAAATCTAGTATATGACTTTGACCATTATAATCACCATCAGTCAATGACCAATAACAATCATAATATAGCACTGACTGATCATTAAAGGTTACATCATTTGATATTACAATGTTTCTACAGTGACTCTCTTTCTTATTGTATTTTTGGAAACGAAACTTCATTGCTGAAAAAAGAAAGATTATTTTTGAATGATAAAAGCACTTTAAATAAGAATAAAAGTATTTCAACTTTATAAGTTTTATATAATAGATTTTTAAGTCTTGATGCACTTACTTTTCCACTTTATATTACTGAATGTGATATTCAACACAGTATAGTTATTGCTATGATATTCTGTGCTGGTTTTAACTTCAACTGGTAGAATATATGGGTGTAAGCTTACACCACCTATATGAGCATTATTCTCTATTGGACCAAAGCTGTCTACACAATCTGAACTATTTGGTGGTATAATCTCCAGTTTGCAGCTGTCATCATCCGAATTACCCTCTCCTAGTATCTAAACAATAGTTACATATTAAAACATAAGTAATACTTGTGCATCGCAAGTAATAAACTAGTGTGCCTCCTTCACAGAAAGAACACAAATTACTAGAGCACTGTAGTAACTTAAATAATATGAGTGGAAAGCAATTATTGGCTATATTATACATGTCTTTATCAATCATACATGTATTAATAGCCATCACAGGTAAATTTTGGATTAAAACCAAAAATAAACAAACAATCATAATATGAAAGCTATAATCGGTTATAAATGATATTGGTATTTAATAGTTAAAATATTTCACTTTTTATGAACAAGTGTGATTTCTTGGTTTTCTTATATTGTGCACAGGTAAGTTGTTGTGATACATATAATTTTGTGCACGACAAATCATAGATATAAAAAAGGATATCGGATTAAATTCTTCGACTTCTGAACTAACTCGTCTCATGGCGGCAGTTCAAGGTTGCTTATAATCAATAAATCAATAATTTGTACAGTTAATTTAGTTATAGCTAACTCACCTGGGGCGTACAGCTTCGCACTTTTGTGTTGTTGTTACAAAACTGAAAATGATGCTCGAAACTAACAGCATTTTTAAATAAACAAAATGCTAAAAAACAAACAATCCACATCCTAGCCATTTTATGTTATTACATTAGAAGTTAGCAACATCAAAATGACCTAAGATAGGTTTTGAATTAATCACCTATTTGCACCATTTTAAAAACTAAACACCCATTCGATGTACACAAATAAAAAATGTAAAGAAATTAGCAATCTAATCTTTCACGATTTCTATTATCATTAGCTCTACGAACTACGAAGTCCGAATGTCGAAACTCGAAAACATTAAAATTTAAAACAATATGGCTGACGTTCTAAATTGTTATGAATGACGATTGACACGGAGACAATTGACTTTTCCACAGGACTATGTCTATTATCTACACTCTACATAAGTCGTGTATTTTTTATTTGTACATTTGAAAAAAAATGAATTCACCAATGTGCCGAAAACTTACAGACTAAGATGAACAGAAATGTCTAAAGTTAGAGTCTGGCAAATTAAAGAAGATAACGAAAAAGAGCGGCAAATTAAAAAAAATAGTATGGTATCCCTTAAAGTTTGATACATTTTGTGGATTAAACTTACTTGATACTTAATTTTATTTTATTATTTTTTACATTGATAGTAACTGTATTTCTATGAAATTAAATACTATACGTATTTAGTCTTTTACTATTGATACTAAAAATGACTAGCATTGCATGTAAAACTAAAACTATATTTATTATAAAACACAACTTTATTCGGAATAATAAAATCAGAATCCAAAAAATCAATAAAATAAAGCTTTGGCTATTATACCTTTTAACTATTTGCAAAAAATATATAACTAATAAAAAAATGAGTTTTTTATGAGAATTGCATGAAGTATCAAGACAATAAATCATACTAACCTAAGAAATTCAACGACATTCTGTGCTGCCATCCGAATGTTTTCAAATAATTCTATAATCTTCTTTCATTAGCCAGACTCAATGAAGACTAAATCAGTGTATGATAAATGGAAGAAGTGCAAGTCTTTCTATAATTTTAATTACTGTACTATGTGAAAAAACATCAATATTATTTATATAATTTGTAGATAATTAGAATAGAATTAAAAAGAAAATTCAAACAGATGTAAAAAGTTTGGTACCTGTGGCAATGAACCTTTAGGCTATGTTCAGATGGCAAAAACTTGACGACGACGACTAGACATTGTGGTATTTTCATACAACTGTTCACGATCACCTGCGTCTAGATACTTTTTCTCTGAGCGACGGGTTGACGCGCGCTTTGATATTAATGTACCTAATGTCCGTATGCTGTTCAGTTGAGCGCGCGCTTTCATCGCGATCGCATGTAATTTTGTTAATTTTCGTAATTATATTTATAACAAACTGGGTCTATTTTTCAAAATTGGATGAACCCAATGTGTACGTTTCCTTTTTATATATTTTTCTTTATAATATAACCACGAAATAATAGCCTCTTCCACGTCCATTTTCTACGTTCTACCGAACTAGACTGACGAGTACTCTCGCAACGCGCATTAGCGCTCATCATCTGAACTCTCTTCAAATTTGATCGCGCGTTAACGCGCGTTACCTGTGAACATAGTCTTAACGCTGGCTGAATATTCATTGAGCCAGGAAAGCACCAGCTCTGGGGTCACCGGTACTATCTACCAGGAGCCAACTTAAATATTTAATAAGGGCCTGTGCACTTGAAACCCACGGCCCAAGAGTCTCTACTCCAAAGGGACCAAAATCGAAGTTGGAGGAAAGACTCTTATATTTGTGTCGTTTATTATTTTCTGCCTGCTCTACGGCCGCCCCAGCATTTTTTGCTTGTCCAAAGGAGGTGAGACGGGGCAAACGAGTCCACACAAAAAGCATCCCATACTAAAGCCCATCTCCCAAGGGATCCATGATCCCATTTCCATTTTATAAATAGAGTAACGCAAAGAAAAAAAATATAACGGGAAAATGAAATATAACATGGTTGTCGGAAAACAAGCACGAGTAAATAGCTTTACAAAATTGAATTTGGAATTATTAACCAAAGGAGATATTTGAGGTCAAAGTGGCCACTACGACAAAATGTCAATTTCATGTATTGTAAGGACCTAATAATAATGTATTTATTTTGGCTTAGTATGTTGTCTATACTCTAATTTTTAATTCCGTAAAATTCGGACAGCTATCATTTTTTCACATGTCAGAGATTACAAACCTTTTTAGCCGGGCACATTAATCAATTTCATTACGAGTTTGAAAATCTGTGTCAATTTTATTTTATTTATTAGTGAATGTATCCATTTTATTAAGTGTAGTGCTCCACATTAAAAGTGGTTTTACGGCGAGTGATAATTACGTCCCTGTTCATCACAAATAGTAAAAAACGCACAAGTATAGATAACATTTTTTAAAGGTTTACTAAACCTGGAATTAGTAGGCAGTGATGCCGGCTAAAGAACTAAATAAAGTTATTAAAGTTAATTCGATATATTGTTGGTGATATTGAAATATTTGTTATTTTTTATATAAGGTCACTTGAGTAAATAAATATTTAGATTTACCTTTTTGTAGGTAAAACAAAAAATACGTAGCATTTTCTTTTTTATTGCCCTTAAATGGGTCAAATTTGACCCTTTTTCGGTGGAAAACTTTTTTAGTATAGGTCTACCAGGATCTGATGGCAAAAAGGGAAAAAAGAAATTGACGCTAGCAATACTGGGGAAATTGGAGTAAAACGTTTTGATACTTTTTTTTTCCTTATAGCGGCTGATTCTGTGTGTGATATATGCAAAATATATAAAAATTTATCCAATGATAATTTTTGAAAATGTGGCGAATGTGGAGTTTGAAATTTAGATGAAAACTCCAATTACTCTGTTCATGAGTTTATTAATTAATTAAGAACTTTAAAATGGTTCCAAATACTGCACATCCATAAAAAAGTCTTCAACGCAGTATTTATAATAAACCTTTCCTCCTGCATCTCAATTAACCGATCTTGTTCTATGAACTTATTTTAAATTTTTATTACATGTTCACAAGATTTTCGCTATTCATCGATCCCTATTTGAGAGAAAGAAACAATGTAAAACTCATTTATCTTGTTTCTGATCAATTCTAAATCAAAACTATCCAAGTTTATTTGTGGTATAAGAAACCCCTGAAATAAACCAAAATTTAGTATAAGTACATAATATAATACACACGAAGAATCCCATAAACCAAAGTATCAAGACGTGTCATTCCTACTAACCAGTCAACGCTTGCACATGGCTCAATATCGATGATTGTGTATGTTCTGCATCTTGTTGATCAAGTATTCTTTGATAAACATTGAAAACAATATGTCTTGCTTGCGATCGAAGAGGTTTCTTCGACATTTTCATCACTTTTTAAAGGAAATTTGAAGCCAAACCAAAAACAATTCCTCGAAATTTCAGTTGACAGATGAAATTTTTCTTTTATTGCCATATGAAAATCGCTAATTTAAAAAAAAAAAAATTGCCATCAGATTCTGGTAGACCTATAGCAACATTTTTGAAATGTCAGAATTCCACGGAATGAAAAATCAGAGTTTAAAATTATTGATCATCTGAACGAGTCGTGGCACAAGCTTCTGGCGGCAAATTTAAAAATCTTTCAGCTGTTAACCCTGCATATAGTCTGAAAAAAAAACAATCTTGATACTTTTGCTAAACATGATTATCTTTATATATACAATTCTTCTGTGAGTGTGTATGTCACTGAACTTCTCTCAAACGACTGGACCGATTTTGATGAAATTTTTTGTGCGTGTTCAAGGGGATCTGGGAACGGTTTAGATTCACAAATCAGCCCGGCAGATGGCACTGCAGTCGGTACTTTCATACTTTGCTTAATATCCTAATCGCTTTAAATATCATGCAGGACAACGTCTGTGGGGCCCACTAGTTTGTTTAATAAGTTTGGAGTCTCAAAAGAATTTAGTCTAAGTATAAGGTTTATTTTCGTTACGGAATTTCTTGATTCGATTGCCGCGCTCAAAGCCCGCGATAAAATCTATGCAATAGCTTAAAAGAAAACTGAAATTAAACCATAAACAAACGACAATTAATACAAGTACTATTTTAAAGAAAAAACTAACTAAACTACAGTGTAAACTCTTTGCAACAAATTTCAAGGGATCGAGCATTTTTTTCGTTATAGGGAGAAAAGAGAAAAAAAACTAAATTTAACAAATTACCTACAGTAATTTCTAATTTTATTACTATCAATAGGTAAATTATTCTAAACACATAAAATATAACGCTTTTTTTTAGTGGCCATCTTGACAGTATCAAAGTTATTTACGACTGACTGACGGTGGTGCGTTTAGTAACTGAGACCAAAATTTCCTACAGGCAATGTTATCTAAGAATAATGGCACACGTGTTAACGCAATTAACAATTACAAAGGCGAGACTCCTGTTTATGACCTCAGGTGTCTTTCGTAGATATTTCGGCTAATCAAAAGGTTAGTTTCTTAAGCTGATTATAAATGCAATTATTACACTTAAGAAGGTTGATAATGTCTAAATATGACAATATTTCTTCTTTATAGAGGGTAGTGCGTTATTAAGAGTGTAGTAATGTATGAGTTTTGTGTTAAACCAAATAAAACAAATGTAACTATTTTTACGTAATAACGACTGACGTTATAGAGAGTAAGAGTACACTCAACACTGTATGTTTAATCATTGACACAGGATACTGTCATATTTTGTCAATAATCGAGGTCACTTGAAGTCTAGGGATAAGAACTTTTAATCTACCTCCACTCCGATTAGATTTTTTCTGACGGATCATAATTCGATGAATTTTCGAAAAGATCGATAAAAGTTGCAGAAAACTACAACATTAAAACACAAATATTTACAATTATTTCTATTCCATAAATAAAATGGGGTTTGTGTGAATCATATAAAGCGAATATAATCTATAGATTAAAATTTACTTAAAATAATTGTAAGTATACTAAAAATAATTAATATGACAGCGACATTTAACGACAAATTGAATTTCTATCTTCTATAGCGGTTACCTCGATAAGGACACTTAATTACATATATCCAAAGTCCTAACAACAACGTTTTGTTCTGAAGAGTTAGTGAGTTAGTTAGGTAGTTAAAAAACAGATTGATACTTTGGACTGCATGGATTCAATCCGATTCGAAAATTTATTGAATCGTATATCCACCATTTTTCTTCTATAATCTATAGTAGCGGATCGTCATTTGTCACATCCCTAAATCTTTGATCTTTGTTATTTTTAATGCATTTACTATTAATTTATAAAATAATTATGTATTCATTAAAATACAATTTTTGATTATCATTTATAACACGACTCAAATAATGAAACACCAAAAACCCTGTCGATGAAGCTTTAAAAGTGACAGCGATGACCGTGAGTAACTACACCGCATTTTGTTGTTTTATATTCAATTTTCTTTTACCCCTTATAAATCTATAAATAACAATTTAATAAAATATAAAAAACTAGTATAAGAAAATTAATTATTAATAAATGGGTACATGTTCGTGAACAAGATATATTGATTAGTAACTACAAAATATATATAGATTTTTGGATTAAGACTAGTCTTATAGGTTTAAGTTTGTAGGTATGAACTTCAAGTTTAAAATAGCATACATTGTCTAGTTAAGAATTAATTCTGGTAAATACATTGTACATTTCCGTTTAAGTGGGAAATTATCAAAAGTATGTTTTTATTTGTGCAAATGTTAATTTGCATAAATAAAAAAGTACCGCACAACTTTTCTTTAACTACACATATTTGATAAGGTTTTTATTATGTTTACTAATTGGTTCATTTCATAGCTATAGGTCTTATATGAGGCTTCTCTTGGTATTGTTATATTTATTTCTAAATCTGAATTACAATATTGTCTTATTAAAATATAAAAATACTTTAACAACACCAGGTAAGTAACAAAGGTATGTTCTAAAATAAAAATCCCTTGTTATATTTGTAAATTCCTTGGCAGCACATTTTACGACACAATTATTCAAGGCACGCAACACAATAGACAAATACTAATAAACAAACAAACAAACTAACAACAAACAACCACTATGTATATGTATAACCTTTACAGTTGCGGTAACCAGTTAGCACAGTTGCATTCTAATCTTTTACAATGCGACTTAAATATCATGTGAGTGTGTTCATGTAATGAAATGTTTCTCTTCATAAGAATATACAGTTTGCTAAAAAAAAATTTTATATTTAAAATGCATCTGAAGATAATATTATTTACTTATTCTTAAAAGTGTCATAAAAAGCTTCTAGTGACTTCAATTCAATGTTACATATTTCTGATAGAAATATGATAATAGTAGTGTCTGTAAAGTTGTCCCAATGTAACAAGGCAGACCCATTTCTCTCTTAGGGGCAATTAAAAAATTTGCAGAGTTCTACAAAAATTATTCACATGTACTTTTCCTGTTTAAGGTATAGATAAACTTGTAATGTATGTCTGACCTGATGTAGACTGATTTTGCAAGTCACTTGTCCATGAAAGCTTCCTCAATATAAAGCACACAATTTGTTAAACACATGAATTTTTGGATCAAGATATGTATGACAAACATAACGTTCTACCCGCTCATAATTATATTCATAAATCTTTTCTTTTTATTCAGAGACAACATTAATATTTCATTTTCTTTTATTTTAGGCCATCTGAGGTTCAATGTATAATAAGTCTCTAATGTTTCATTTCATATTGTTGTTTTGTCAACAATAATGTGAAAAATTTATTGTAAAACGATTCTTTAATGTTAAACCCCTATCTTAGATTATTTCCTTCCCTTATGTATGTACCGCAGACAGTGGTATAAATTATTATGTGTATGAAATATGAATAATAAATGTTTTCAATTGATTATTCACATAGTGCAAATATCATTTGTTGCTCTGGAAGATGTGATAATGTGCGGGCACCGATAACACGAGTGACCGAGTGATTAGACACTAGCATCGCCGACATTTGATTTTATTACAATTTTATGTCGGATGCGTTTTACGTTACTGATAAATTGTAAATCGTGAGCCCTAGTTTTGTTACATCTATTCAGTCAATATTAAAGCGCAAGTTATATTAAACGTGAATAAAGTACTGGTAAATTAATATTGTATAAATTGTTTATAAAATACATTAATATCTCTCATCATTGTAGTTGGCGTTCGATGTTAAATGAAATTCATACATTGCAGTTTAGGCATTCGTTGCGTGAACACACGAGTCGGTTTTATTTAATTAAAAAATTTAATTTTTTATGCTTTCTGGAGCTCAAATTTTTTGAGCTTTATGTCTATAAACGCAACTGTGCAGGCGGAGGGCCGGGTGATGGGACGCCGGTTTGTGCTAACCCTGGTGATCGGGATATCAGCCGGTTTTAGTTTTGCCTACATACTACTAACATCAGCTGGATTTCCCCGAGACGTAGCCTGGTCATCGTACAGGTAACGTTGGCATGGTGCTTGATTGCTTTGTTAATTGCGTGTTGCACGTCCAGAATGTAGAAATGATATGAGCTCACTCTACCGTATTGACGAGTGTCCTGATAAAATTAATGTTTTTAAGTTGTTTGCATGTTTCTATATATAGTATTTTGTTTTTCTTTGTCTTTGTGTTAAAATAAACATAAAAAATCCTTTCCGAACAGTAACTTCGACACTAGGTTATCGCCTACTATTTCAACATATCATTCATAAGTAATTACTTTAATAATTTATTATGTTAAATCCTTCGTGTTTTTGTTTCTGACTTTAATCGTAGGATAATATAATATCCTTCGGGTTTTTTGAAGAAAACTGCAGCTATTTAATCTAGCTTTTGTCAAATTGAAAGCCACATAGTTAATTTAAAGAAATCACACAAGAGACCTAGTTTCAGACAATCAATACACGCTTCATTTAAATTTATTCGAGTTCAAATAACATTCATGATATGTTTCAAGTTATTAAATATTAAAACTCGTCGTCTTAGTTATATCTTTATTTACATATTTATATTTAAAGACTTCTATCTGGAGTACATTACGCTTTGCAGAGTCGATATATTACTCTGACTTAGCAAACGTAAAAGTCTGTAAAATATATTTTTAAACAACTGTCCAGCCAACTTTGACTTAGAGTAACGATAGCATCATCATTATGTTAGCACGTGATCTAGTTTTGATTACGAAAAAATCTTCTGAGGTCTCAGGAGTCAGGACTAGCTTCAGCCAGTGTACGCACAAATATATAGCTTTATTTATTTATTGCAAGAATATGGTACAAAAATGTGTAAGGTGGTACAATCGTAAGTTCGCATATTCTGGCCACACACAATGGCGCGCAAATTTGTTAAGGAATTTTACATTATTAGTCAAAGTCAATTCATATATTATTTGTATCGTACATGTCATATCATACTTTATTAAATTAAATTTATATTATATAGTTTTATTTTGTCAAAAGGAAATTGTAAATCAGTTCTACTTTTGCACAGGATGTTGTCTAACAAACTCTACAAAACTATGGTTTAATTTAAATTCAGTTAAATTTTGTTCAATCTTTTTGTCGACCATTGACGTTATATAAATTATTCCTGATAAAAATATACTTAAATATAAATACTCTTCTTATAAACATTTTGCGATAAAGAATATTTAAAAAAAATCTTTTATTTTTGAGATTTTTTTATAATATTTTTTGTAACTGTGTGCTTTTGTAAATACACAGCGTGATTCGTACGCTTGCAGGCTGCTTTTCTCGTGAGGCATTATGCTTATTATATACTTTTGGACGACTATCTATGTTACCGTGCATCGGTAAAAATAAAAAAGGCTTTATTAGTAGTTAGTCTAGATTTTTGAGTATTGTATTCTTCATTATTTTCACTGTTATTATCACTATTTAGCTTGTCTTTCGACAAATGCCTTCTCCAAGTGTCGCCATGTTGATCTGTCCTTCGCTATTTGGAACCATTCTACCCCGGTACAAAATTTAGGTAAAAACAATATATTGAAAAAAATAGCAGTAAAAATCTTGAATTCTATGTATCGAATATGCGTCTACGTCAACAAATAGGTCGCGTTAATCTGACCAGAAAATTGACGATTACACGTTCATTGTGGAATTATATCAGATTTATTGTACATAAAATATAATTGGAACTAACTTGTTAATAGTTGACACTACGCTTGATTATTCGCTGGATTTGCCTAGCGCATATTCTATAGTATTCTATATATTCTACAGTTATTCATATTGACAGAAACCTAAAGTTTTATTCTAGTTCTCTTCTTATAATCGGCACCACCGCTATATTAGTATAAAAAACTATAACGGCAACTCTACGTCAGCATCTAAGCATAGAAAGGCTTTCCTGTTTCAATCATCATATCTATGGGCAGCTTACTCGCTATCTGTACAATTTCTTAAAAAATTTGAAGCATTATGATTTAATAGATTAATGAATTAACTTCATTAATGCGTCTGGTGTGCTGGTGAGTCGTGGCGCGGTGAGCATGGTTACTTTTGGGGCTACGTAAATTAAGATTATTTTTTTTAAAATTATTAATCATTGCTATCTATTAGTACTATTTTTACTCCTATTACAGATATGATATTGTGATTGTTAGTGAGAGGTACGATGAAATATAAAATGTCAATTAGGAAATAGAATTTCTCTTACAGATTTATTTTTACAAACGAAATATGCATTGCAATTTTCTGCCACATAAACTGTAATTAGCGATAGTTATTGGACGTTTGTTCAATTAATTTTTACTTACACATTACTTTTAAACCCGTATTGAAATGTATGCTTTTATGAAAAAATGCTGTTATTTAGGCTTATTTAAATTAACTTAGGATTCGGTTTTCAAATTTAATTCTAAATTTAGTATCAGTAGAAATTGTAGCGTTAGTAAAGCTTTTAAGTGTTATAGTAGTGATTAGAGTATATGTTGCGATGGAGAATGATTATGAGGCTTGATTAATAAATAAATTGTATTTCTTTAAATTTTGTTAAGTGTACTTTAGACTCCCACTATATAAAAATCCAGACATAAAAATCTGCAGCTCTCCTAAGATCTGTCTTGTCTGCCATATTGTACCCAAAAACCAAAATAATATAGTAAAATCAAACTAATTCTCTTCGTCCAAATCTTTTTTCACTGTTTAAAATCGAATAGATCTCGTTCTCGATACATCAAAAAACATTTGAGTAAAATCGGTTTGAATTGTCTGAATAAAGAGGATCTAATTAATGGGCTTTTAAAATTAATTAACGACAAAAAACTGCTGTTTCTACTTTTATTATTATAATCATAAAGCGCCTCTATGTCGTTCCGCCCCCGTATATAATATATATAGACTATAATTTACAAGGGAAATATGCAAAATACTAGTATAAACTAGTGTATCTTCCGTTCATTAAGTCCTATCTGTTATCCCTAAATCCATACTTGGCGTAATAAGTCTCTTTCCTTTTAGTTTTCTTTATTGTTAGAAAATTTTATTTCAGAGAGTCAGCAAGGGATTTGGATCGACACCCGATAGTGAGCGTCATTGAACATGGCAGTGAGGAGCCAGCTCATAGAAATGAAGATCGATCAGTGGCAGATGAACTTGCTAAGAAAGTTAGGGTGCTTTGTTGGGTAATGACGCAGCCCAGCAATCACGAACGGAAAGCTAGGCATGTTAAAGCGACTTGGGGAAAACGATGCAATAAACTCCTCTTTATGAGTACTTCTGAAGGTACATTTCATCTCGAGAGTAAAATGTAGACATTAATATTTATACCAACTTAGAATATATAGCCAAAATTAGATATTTGATTCCGCTTTTTTTACAAGTAATAATCATTATTTAATTTCAGATAGTTCCCTCCCATCGGTGAAGCTGCCGGTTCACGAAGGGCGAGACTATTTATGGGCAAAGACAAAGGCTGCCTTCCGATACGTGTACGAACATCATCGGAGGGATGCTGATTGGTTCTTGAAGGCTGATGATGATACGTGAGTATAAATATAATAATTATTTTTCAGTATTATTTTCATATCTGACGAAATAAACGCGGTTTTTGAAAAAAGCTTCCCAATAAGGTCGATAACGTATCAACGATTAGGACGTTTGCTTCCTGTCCTAAAAACTATTTGTACTGTTTTATTCATTAATTTGTATGTTAAGTGATTTAATATACTTTAATTTAACCCTACTTTTAAACTTTACTAGTTTATTTTACCTTTTGAAATAAATTTTTTTTAATAGATATAAACGTGAATATTAAAACATATTAAAATAAAAAGGGACACAATCAGTATTTTTAATTGCGACAAGAAATGGCGTTAATATGCAAAATTTGAATAGGTTAATCATAATATCAAATCGTAATCTATCAAATTTATGTGACAGTCTCTGACCACTAAATTAATGTACGAAGTTTTATTTAAATAAATTCTTAATACGATACAGAAAAGAGTAAAACCGTTTTACTGTCGTGAAAATTTTTAGGTTTATGACTGGAACGTAATAAAATATTTAAATACGCCTAACACTAGCTAGTTATTGTTTAAATAATTGTCGAGTAGATTTCAACCGAGGTCAACAATTTATTTCTAAGAATTAAGAGATCAATATTTAATAGAAGAAAAGAAGAAAAAGGAAAAACTTTAAAGTGTATATAAATTGTGTTTTTTGTTAAGAATTAATGTAGCGTTATATCTAAATCCGTCCAAATTAACCCAGCACGTAGTGACATATTATAATAATCTATAATCTATGTGGCTTACACTATTAATACCTTTTAATTAACTTAATAAATGTCCTACTTGTGTGCAAAAGAGCTCGCGGACATCGACAATAAATTATTATATTATCAGATACAGCATTTACAGCATTTAACCTTGTTAAAATACATTGTCTATGTTTGTGCCAGGCGGAATACATTTCCATTCTGAATACATGAAAAAAATTATGTGAAAATTTAACATAGAGTAAAAAACTATTTTAAATAAGAAATAATGCCCAGAATAATAAATAATATTGACGGTGAGGTAATACTGTGATTCATTATGTTACTGTCACAGGTTTATTAAAATTGCATAATAATAATTCAGTGTCCTTACAACAGATTGCATCCGTTTTTTTTATCATTTTTATTTCGAGATTTAAGATATGCCACACCGTACGGACGAGTGTTAAATGCGCACATAGACAGAAATAACATTGGTGCACAGCCGAACCTACGACCTTAGGGATGAGGGTCGCACGCTTTTATTTTTTTAAAGTGGGGCGAAGCATTACGCATTTCCCCCGCGGCGCGACTGCTTGGAGCGGAGGGTTTTTGGGACTCGCGATCTGTGTATACCCACTAAAACCCCACTGCGCCACCAACACTCGCTCCCAGCCACGCGTTTTACCACCGTTTATCGTTGGTTCTCCGCGGGCAGGAATTATTGATGAAGCCGTGTTGGCCTAGTGCCAACACTGATTTTTCAATTGTCAACAGAGTTTTTCATTTGCATAACTAATAATTAATATATTTAAAAAGAATATACATACATATATTATATATTTGTCTCACGTATACATCATACTTATGTCAACACTCCTTTGCTTCATCACATGTGATATGTTTAATCTATTTATCCTAAAATACGAATTTTTCTTTTCCAGATACGTCGTAGTTGAAAATCTTCGTTTTATGCTGTCAGAACATGACAGTTCGGATCCTATTTATTTTGGATGCAGGTTCAGGCCGTTTACATCACAGGTAATTATTTGGTGGATTGCAATGTTAGCAGCATTGGAGCAACACTCTTAAAAATTTGTATGAAAAATACACCTTATAACACAGCAATATCATATAACTAAACAGTCGTGTGTATTGCAGTGAAATTATGAAGTAAGTAGTGTATGTTTAAATGGAAAACTAGTACTGATTCTGGCAGTCACAATAGTGATTTTGTAGCACGCGATGCCAAGGTCTAAACATCGAAATTGAGTATATTTTTTTTGAATTTATATAGAGTAGGTTCTGATCATTAGTAAGTTTTCTGGTCGCATAAACCAAGCCCAAATATATTTATTAGAATTTATCATTATAAGTACCCGTAATCTCCCACTATAGAGCAGATATTGTATCAATATTTTTTGTTGAGGTCAAATAATATTTTTAAAAACACTTTTGAATCAAAAAATAATCGTTCTCTTCTACAAGAACTCAAACATAAATTTATTTCTCGAATACAAAAACTTTAATTAATTGAAAAGTGCATGATCCTTGTTAATTTAGTTATGCACTATTTACTAACTAGGGTTGCCTGGAACAGATCGCTTGTTAGCGATAAGGCTGCCCGATGCTCCTTACTATTATGTTGTCTATATACTATTCATGCAACAAAGTGTCAATAAATATATAAATATTTTAGGGTTATATGAGTGGCGGTGCTGGGTACGTATTAAGCAGTGCAGCATTGGAGCGGTTTGTCAACAAGGGCCTCCCTTCTCCACATCTCTGTAAGGCCAGTGATCATGGTGCAGAAGACGCTGAAATGGGTAAGTTCTTTTTCGGATCTTTGGATACCTTTCAAAGTGAAAAAAGTTTTATTGCGAAAAATAATCAACGGTCTTTTGAAATTCACTCAACACATTTATTTTAAAAAAAAATAGCGTCTTAGAATCGTCATATCATAGCTAGGGAAGGCAATCCCGGGATCGGGATCTCGTATCATTTTTCGAGATCAATCTCGAAGTGTAAAATGACGAGATCTCGTAGGATTAACGAGATCTCGTAGGATTAACGAGATTGGTAGTAGTAGTGGTAGTATCAGAAAAGTTAATCTCTTCGATGAACAGGCGTATCTCTCAGCGTCGAATATATGCAACCGCAGCGTTCCTTTTAATAACGAGTAACGATAACTTGGAGGAGTTGTAAGGCGACAAAATTTTCCGTTTTCCTAGCAAATATATCGTACGGAAAGTAATTAAAAATATAATAAAACTATGCTGCTGCTTTAAAAACCAACATGACTCTTTAAGAAGAATTAGAAGAGACTCTCAGACAGCTAAAAGTCCTTCACGTGTTTCTGCGTGATTAAATATTAGGAACAGTTATAATTAAAATGAGTTACAATAAATATTTTTCTTTAAAGTAATGTGTAGATGGGTATCTTATTATCATTGGGTTTAACTTCTATTTAAACAATTGGTTTCGAAAACTACTTGAGATCTTGAAAATACCGAGATCTTGAATTAACGTTCTGGATTCGAGAGTGCATTCCCTAGGCATTGTAAAGTATTATTTATTATATTTTTAGAAATCCTAGAATTTTAACTAATATGATATAGATAGAATATCTGGTACAATTATTTCACAAATAACCGGAAAAACTATGCAAAGAAGTCTACGAGAACATAGACAGACAGCCCTATAAAACCTGGACATTATTATTTTTTATCTAAAATTAATTGTAAGCACGTTTTAGAGACAGTTTTAGTTTTAGTTTTTCTAGACATTACTGTTTTATACTTTTACTATATATTGTACGTCGGATATATAATATATCCTTTTAAGAAGGGAATTTATTATTTTTTATAATTTTCAGGTATATGCCTTGAGCACATAGGTGTGAAAGCAATGGACTCCCGTGATGCGTTACACCGAGGCCGGTTCTTCCCTTTCGTTCCCAAAGACCATCTTTTTCCCAACCACGATAAAGGATTTTGGTACTGGAAGTATATCTACTACCCTTCGGATGAGGTAATTTTTACACATTCGGCATTTTTTGTAGGACAGGGAACAATCAGGCAGGATCCTCACCTGATGTACAACCACACACACACACACACATGTTGTTAGGTTCACACACAGCGTTGAGATTTGGTACGCTTTTTTCATGAAGGATCGTAAGTGGAATTGGTTCGGAAATACTTAAATATGTCCCACATAGGCACTATAAACGTCCATTTTCATATTCTATCGTACAAGTGTAAGCAATGCAGTGTTTTGTTTGTTACATTTCAAAATTTCGATTATTATTATTATTTATATAAATATGTTTTGTAAAAGTTTGGATTCAATTTTATGTCATGTCTTGTGGCTGCATATAGTAGTAATTCTTATAATTTTGAAATATTGTTTATCTGTATAGCAGACTAAACAATATAGCGATATAAAGGCATACATTTTCTGTCTCCCTTTTTTTATTTATCAATTTTTTATTATTTTCATTATAAAAACATTTTTATTGTAAGTAAAAATTGCATATTCATTAAAATATATTTTTTTCGGAAGAGACAATTTTTCACAAATGTTATCAACCAAAACCATCACATGACATGTCTTTGATTATTCATTAAAATGCTGGTCGTAAATAAATATTAATTACTTTCAGGGTCTCGACTGCTGTTCGGACCACGCAGTATCATTCCATTACGTAGAACCTCAACAAATGTATGTATTAGACTATCTTATATACCATTTACGGCCGTACGGCATCCGTTATGGCGGCGCAGACATCATTCCTCATGTAAAAACTGAAAGATTTAATTCTTCTCAAATCTCGTCCCGGGAGTTAAACGGGACGAGATAAACATTCCGATACTAGTCATAGATTTAAGTGAGATATGTAAACTGTTAAATAGAATCTCAGTGATTTTGTAAGATTAATTTATTGTATAGGTGAAGAATTTTTTTGTAGGAAGTAGAATTTTTATATGTAGAATAGTCTAAGATAAAATTTTTGGTTTTCGAATTTCTTAGGTTGGCTCATTATACACCGTCCACTTGGTCACTAGTTTATAGCGTCGTTTCCTATAGAAAAAAAAATTCTATCATATATTCTTCGACGGGCATGAAAGTGTTCGTTGGTTACTTGTTACCGAATTTAAATTCTGTGACAATTGACTTACTCTTAACTTGTTTTAAACTACATAATTAATCGGTGGTTTTATCTGTTTATTAAAATGTTTTTGTTCATACAGTCATAGCTTGTATATGTAAAGTTTGTGAGATTGTAAAATTCTCTGCCGAGGTTAGATTTTGATGAACCTTCTAATTCTAAATAATTTTCCATCTCATCAGAAAAAAGTTATGATGAAATGCCGTTCTTGCTCCATTATCTGTTCTCAGCACTTATAGTTAGTTTTCCATCAATCTTTTATACTTCTTAAAGTGTTGTAATTGATTTTTATAATGTCAAGTGTGCCATTCGACAGGAATCATCTGTGATCATGTTGGGTTCCATAGGCCTACATAAATCTGAGTGTACCCTCTCTAATTATTCTTCTTCTAGGATTTGCTGATAGAAAATATAAGCACGACTGCTTTTAGGTTCACGTGTGCGTTAAATATTTAATTGTATTTGTCGTAAAGTCTTAGCTTCCTCATAAACATAAGGTCAGGCTTCATCATAGACGGGAAGTGATGCCGACACAGAAAGAAATCTGTCTAAGGTTGATTTTCTTTCTTAAGTCGTTGAATCTCATTAATTATTCGACTCGTCAATTTCACAGATTTTCATGTCAACACGACATTAGTGAAAATATAGACATATATATATTTGTATCTAATTTTGAGTGTTAGAGGTCAGATACACTTTCAATTAAATAACAATACTAGGTGGGTTACGTATTACAATCACTAATGTACACCGTTTCCGTTGAAAGAAATAGCGGCTAGATTTTAAGCTGCACCCTTTAGTGAGAAATAAGTTGGATAAACAGATGAAACCATAGACTATTACGTAATTAGCAACAGATTAGAACTAAAAATTAAACTACAAATTGTTCTTACGACGTTGAATGCTTTGACATTCTTAGAAGTAAGTAAACGTTTCTATTATAATCTCATAATTAATATATTGTATTTATCTAGGTTACTATAAGATAGCATAAGTTTCAAAAAACTTTAATAAAGTTGAACGCCGCAGGTATATTAAGGATTTTTTTGAAATAAATATATAAAATTAATTAATTAAAGGCTGCTTGTACGTATTTATACTTATATTGTATATAGATCAGTACCATAGTTTATTTCTGTGTTTACTGTGAAACATAAAATATGAATATCGTAATAATTATTTCACGCAAGTATGAAGATTGTCGCACAATAACATGCCGACGCTGGTTCTAAAACCATTTGACTAAATGCTCTTCAAACCATAATTATTTGTTCCATGATTTCATTCATAATAATTTAAGACACAACGTTACCTTTAGAAAAAATAAGTCAATAATTATAATTTTAAGAATTATAATATTAGTGAAAACAAACGTTAATTAATATACCTAAGCTAGCTAATACCAAATCACGCTACCAAAGAAGTAGGTTTTCAATACATAGTATCTGTATATTGTAACCGCATTATGTAAAGATTGTGTGGTAAATATCATCTTTTATAACAAAGATGTCGGCTATTAGACTAGTATCCAGGTCATGTAAATAAAAAAATCTTAGGTGTCGCAACTAAGTTGCTTCTCGAATAATAATAATTGTATTATTTTGCGATATTCCTATTAAATTCTGTAATATTGTACCTACAATAACAATATGTATTATTTTATTCAAATGTACGAATGGTTTTGTATATTTTTTAACAAGCAGACATTGTAATTCCATTATATATAACTAATATGATGCATTTATTTATTTCTATAAGAAACTTCATAGTTCTGCTTTTTTATTAATGTGTACCTATTGCTAATCGATTTTAGAATTGATTAAGAAAAACAATAAACTAGTTCAATGACATGTTAATTTATTTGCATAATTTACATTTTTTTAGTACAATTGTATATAGTTATTTATATAAAATCTTTCTAAATTGTTTTGCTCAATAACTTATTATTTCAATAAATGTGATATAATTTCTGGAAAGTTATTTCATTTCTTCATATATAATATCAATATATTACGGATCGCCTATATTTTGAAAATTTAATGAATAGTCGATGACGACTTTTTTACTAAGTAGAAGTATTATTTTGGAAACGCAAAATATTTTAAGAATATCACGATGTCTTTACTCTACGAGCCAAGGCTGTACATTACAGTACAACTAAGATCAGCTAACTTCATGGTTAACTTGACTAAAAAAAATAGGTACAGACATTTCATCGACTTAAATATGGACTTCTGTGCCTATCTATCAACCAGACAATTATTTTTCCGCCATTGTTAAATCCAGCAATGTATCGTTTTTGGCTTAGTATTGTGTTATATTCTGCGTAAAGTTGGTATAAGACCGTTTTTATTTTAGTCTTGGTCATTAGGTATAATCCTGAAAAGAGCGGTGGCGCTATAGTAGTAATAAATAACTCGTATTACAAAACACTATTTCGTTAACTACACATTATATTTCATGGGACTAACGTATTAACGCTACCGCGGCAAAAATTTGGTTAGGTTAGGTTAGTATATTAATATTATATTTGTCGCTTATTTCCTAATTTTTGAATTTTAAAGTTTTAATAACCCCTAACCACTTTCACGCACCGGATACAGTTATTTAAATAAAATATTAATATACTTACCTAACCTCACCAAATTTTTGCCGCGGTGGCGTTAATACGTAAGTACCTATTTCTTCAAAAGAAAGACTTCCCGACTGCACTTCTGGAGATGGTTTTTTAATGCTTAGCTTTGCTATACACAAATTGTAATGTAATCAATTCCTGACCTTGCAGTAGTTGGTCAGAGCGCATCCACAGCGTAAATATAGCGTTTAGCGGTTACCTACATGTTCTGTATAATTATAACCCAAATCTTTATTTTACTATTACATCATTGCATAAACATAATATAGGGTCATATTTATATTTAAGCTTTGACTTATGTGACGTCAATTCGCCGTCAGCACCCCCATGTAATAACCATGTAAAGTCGCGAGTAGTAAAAACGAAGGTCTTACATTAAAACAAATTTAGGCACATAATTTTAATGTCAAGAAAAAACTTAAGAAACAATGTCGACTTAATGTTACAAATTATACAATATACATGTCATTAAACATATTTATGTAAACAAAACAAATACTAGTATATACTATAATGATTGAACCAAATTATATAGTTATAAGGTACAAAAACTTATAAATATTTGACATCCATTGAAAAGGCAATTAAAGGCACAGTGTGTAATAAAATATCCCTTTCACGGCCTTTATTCATCAACATATTACTGTATCAGACCAGACATTTTAAATAGTGGAAACTTACTGACGATATTACTCACACATTCAAAAACAGGGTTGAATTGTTTTAAAAGGTTCCTCATTTCGTATGTATGTTTTTAGAATTATTAGTATTAAATCTGCTACTAAGTCTATGTTTAAGTATCTAAGTATAAGCTTTTATTTAGCACGAAAGTTGTTTTTTTAACTAAGAAGAATATTAAACAGGGTACTGTCAAAACCACAATAAATAAGGTGGGGTAATTAATGCGCTGTAAGCATGATTAAATAATGTGTGAATGTTAGGATGCAGAGTGACACTACTTCTAAAACAAAATTTGCCGAAGGCCCTCAGGTTAACGTTTGAAGTACAAAAATACAAATAAAATATGTTGCACTTTCCATGGTACCATATTAAATACTGTATAACATGATTGGGTTTAAACGCGTTCAGTTATTAAAATTATTTTGTTTTTTTCTAGGTCTCTAAAAATTCGAATGCCTCAAATTATAAATAAGTAAACGCGACTTAAACCGATAGAATATGTTAAACATTGAGCCATTTGCTTTATATACTATTAAGTACTCAATTCTATAATACGTTTTAAGACTATTTTTTTTAAATAAATAACGAAACTTAATATACATATCTAAAGAAAACTTTTCATACCTTCATACCAGTTCAGAAATTTAGTAGTTACAAAAAATTAAACATTCAATAGCATGAAAAACTGAGTCTCTGACCGCCTCTGATCGCGATAAGCATAAATTACCGCACGGATTTTCATGCGGTTTCTCCAATATATGAAGGTTTAAGCAATTTCTGAATCAGAAATATTGAGGTGTATGTTATATATTATTGTAAATATACTACGTAATAAAGTACAAAAAACTTAATTCAATGGTTAACTAAAAGGTTACAAAAACCAAAAAAAATTCAGAAAAAGTTCCTTTTCTTGCGCGATACGCTGTAACAGAAAAAGGGGTGTTAAAATATATGAACATAATAATCTAAATTATGATTGAAAAGAGCGAACATGTGTAACCGTAACTCGTCAAAAGATATATAATTTGAGTTAGTTCCGGTTCTTACACCGGTTCAAAAACTAAAGACTATATTTCTTTAAATTTATTAATACAAAAAATACAGTTGAATACAACGACCGTTAAATTGCTTATTACTACTAAGTCTGACTCAGGTACGTCAAAAATGTAATGGATTCTGTTATTCGGGAGTCAACTATAGGAACTAATTCGAGATGGACTGACCGGACTCTTCTTTCATGTATATTTAATGTTTACTATACATTTCCTTCACATAAGTTTTTTTTAGTATTAATATTTTATTTGAGATGTATAAATTTAATCGAAATAAAAATGTAACATACCCATTATCAGCGGGCGAAAAGAAGAATCCCCTTGGAGCCTGCGCAGGCGCACGTTGAGGTGAATCCCCCGGACACGCCCATTGAGACCAGTAGTCGCCTGGTAGGCGGAGTAGAACTTGCATAACCTGACGAACATGTTTTATTGATTATTTTTAATATAAAAAAAATATAATAATTGATACGGCATCACAACTATAATAATTTATAATTAAAAAAAACACTTAATTTGTGGGTTTGTCACGATGTTTTCCATCGACAAAAGAAAAAGTACAAATTGCCCACATACAAAAATCCATTATTTTTTGGGACATTCCAGGACATCCGGGGGTTTCAAACGCATGACACCTGGGTAAGTCCTTAGAAGTCGTGAAATTATGTTTTAAATAACCTCACCAGTTATTGTTAGAAATCGAGAAATAATGTAATTGAGTATAGTACAAAAATCATTTTTTAAAATATATTATTGTAAATAATATAAAACACGAAAAAGTTTACTCACGTTAGCCATCTGCGCAGTGACAGTATACATTTCTGGCGCCTGTGTCACCATGCCGTATCCGACCACATTTGGACCAAAGATACGCGACAAATTGTCTATTCCCATCTCACAGTCTGGACTTTCTGCTACCCTGGTATACATAAAGGCTTGTTAAAATCCTGTCAAAATTTATCTTAAAAGTAGGAGAGATGAAAAGTTCAATAAGTTTTTTCCATTATTGTATATAATATAGATTCATAATACATTTATTGAAAACGTTAATCGAAACATCGTCAAACGCCAACCATTTTATGATAATATCAATTATACGACCCGCCCGCTATATTTTTTAAACCACCTTGGTGAAAAAATAAATTTGCAATTAGAAATCAGTAAGTAGAGAAAATCAGTTACTACTTACATATAAAGATTCAACAGATTCCCAATAAATATAACACAATATTGATTTACAAGTGTTGAAAAACCAACAACTGTTCCAAAGTTCACAAAATTTATGTTTCTAAACACTTAAAATAATTGTGAAAAAAAATACTGATTTACTAAACGAAACACTAAAATAACTTCAATTTGAACCAGTAGATCCTGAAATCCATCACAAGATAAATCAAGAAGGAAGCTCTTGAAGGAAACAATAACTTTTTTGCAATGTTTGTCATTGACTCTCTGGTTTTACTGATTTTAGCAGCTTACATTATCAGTAAGAAAGGCTTTATATTGGTGAAATAATTTAAAAACCGCTTCTTGTGCTTTGCTTGCTTTTCATAACATTAAAGTACTTACTTCTGCAAGTGTAAGATCAAGAAAGCCAGCGTGTCTCTATTAGGCTGTGGCAATTGACTGACTGCTTGTACTATAGATGCGGTTGCATCACTTGGCTCGCTTAGTTTGGCCGCATCAATAAAATCTGCCCACAGTGCGTTCGTCACCAATGGTTCTCGAAGGGAACGTAAGAAGTCTTTTACGCAACCACAGATTACATTAATATCTTCGTTAGCGAGTTGTGGAGAGCCGTGGCCGCGCAGAAATCGTTCCTGAAAAATCATAAAATTTATCCGGCTCGTAGGACCATCTTGTCCCAAAATGCTTTGGCCCGTTAAAAAGTTTTAATATTTTGTTTAAGCAAATCTTTCTAAACAAAATTTTTGTAAAGGCTTTTTTCAAGACATTTATTTAACATGTGAGGTAAAAGACATTTATTTTAGTAATCTGCGTAAGGAATGTGTATGCGTAAATTAGTCAAGCAAGTATGAAAAGCTACTACATAAATAATAATTAAGATTAAATTTCACTTGAGAAGAGTATTTTTGGCTTTGCTAGTCATCAACAAAATTTAGGCTACTAATTTATATATGTTCCTACCTTAAGTCGTTTAATTTCCTTATCAACAGCGCTGATGCGATATATGCCGCGTTCGGTGAGCCCTCGTTTCTCGATCTCATTAACGCAGTGAACAAGTAACGCCGGTACCATTGGAGGCGTGGATGGAGCATAGTCAGATATACACCCTTCCTGTTAGATATTTTAGTCATAAAAAATCTTATATTTTCGAAACAATACTTTATACCGTTTAATTTATGCTACAAGCAAATAACAGTAGTGTAAAAAAAAACAAAAATTTAAATTAATAAAACAGTTCCAAGTCTTGGAATCTCTAAGAAATTTACAAAAACTCCTCTATCATTCCTTCTAAAAAATGTATGTACACTGTTGAATAATTATAAGTAGGTAACTGTTTAATATAATAAAAGAGGTAAGATTTTTTGAGAATGATTGTAAAGACAACTCATCAAATTGCAGTGTGTAATAATAAATTATTCTACTAAACTATATTCATAAAACTACAATTTTTGTAAGTATCTTAGTGTTGTATTCTGTATCATTAAAATACAAATAAAACAAACTCAATCACACACCAGAAAATTGAAAGTACAAAAAATAACATTCTGCCTTTTTAAAATATATAAATAGAATGCATTAAAAATTTCATGTTTTATCATCATATAAGTAGTGTAGAATAAGGCACTTCTATGTTCTTAAGCATATTAAATAATCCAGCGTTTTTTTTACTAAAGGATAAAATGCTACCCTCAGAACTTATAACTTACAACACCAAAACATAAAAATACAGAAAACAATAATAGCTTAAGCAACATTCTAGCTTCACCCGATTGGAGTGAGGATAGCTTATATACATCTGTGTAGTTAGATATACCTGGTTATGCAACAGTCTTCCAGGCGGTACACAGGGTAAAGGCAGAAGCGAACGGCAATCTGCGTGCGCCGGCGCACGGCAGCTCTCACAACGAACGCCCAGCTTAGCGAATCCGATTCTGTTAACACATTAAAAGTTTTAAATTATTTTCGATCAAGCATAATGCGCGTATAAATAATTTTGATTTAATAAATTAATTAATTGCATTAACAAACATTAACAAATCATTTTTTGCATTAATTGAATGCATCTAATAAAACGAGCTGAAATATATTTCATTATTTCAAGGCATGTAAGTTCTTCTAAGTCAATACTTCTTTGCAGTTTATATGCAAATTCCTTTGAGGCATAGTTGGTTGGTATAATTCTTAGGATAAGATTCAGATTTTGTTTATGGTCTAAAAAGTATACTAACGGCTTCCCACAGGGCGCACAAATCTCCCGCTTATAGAAAGTCTTGGCCACAAAGTTGTGCTGTCTGACTCTTACTCGAGGGGAACCAAACCCAGCTGACAGAACGGAAGGAGTGCGTTGTGGTAAGCGACCCGTGTCCGATGCACTCTCAGAATCTAGAATTATAAATCTAAAATTAATGTTGTACAATAAGTTATACCTAAATCGAAGGATATCATGAAGAAGGCCCACTACACCAGTGGAAAGCAAACTTCAACATATGCAGCTTCCCAATACTCACATACGGTTGCCAAAGTTGGGCCATTACACAAGTAATGCAAAATAAACTGATTACCTGCCATAGCGGCACGGAGAGGAGCTTTCTAGGATAAAGGAGGAGTGACAAGAATATCAAAGAGACTAATATCATAAAATCACAAATTGAGGGTGTTGTTTAAAAAGTAGACCACTTAATTGGAAGTGGGCAGGCCACGTCACAAAAGATAAAATAGATAAGTTGACAAGGAGAACCACCAAATGGATTCCCAGAAAGCTTATGGTAAACGTGGAAGACAGCTCAAAAGGGGGATGACATATGAAGGGTAGCTGGTCTACTTTCGGTAGAGGGTGGCCAGGGACAAACTAACTTCGAACCAAAATAAATGTTGATGTGTTAAATATTTATTGTTAATCAATAATAAAGGCATTTGTATTTTACAATAAGTTGGAAGATTCTCGATGCCTTTTGAAAGTATACTTTACTTAGTCAGATGACTATAGATTACTTTGTGAAAGCATAGAAAAGATATCTCTGCACTTACCAGTTTTAGGTGGAGCTGAGGGTGTGACAAACTCCTGTGGAGGCTGCATTCTGTCCGAGCGACGCGAAGATTTTCGACGCGGAGTAGCTGCTTCGTCACTACTCTCTGATATTGGTTGCTGAAAATTTTAATTGCAAGATATTATAACACTTTTTATGACACTGAGGGTAAACCATTAGACAAGTCACTTAGAATTACAAAAAGCCTCCTCCTACGGATATCTGTCTGTAAATATTTGTTTAAGGATGTGATGTGGTGTGCTCTTTTATTGAAAACCTAAGTTGTATGGGTTCAGAAATATTGAATTCTAAATATATAAAACTTGTTTGAACTAAAAACAATTAGTTATAAATGCATAACAGAAGATTCAAAGAAAGACGGTGTAATATAGATTTGCTTAATTCCACAACTCAGCTTTAGCTTAGCATTTTATTCATAACAGACATTATTTCCTGCCGTCACATGATTATGCAGACAGGAAAAAAAACAATCAGTGGTGCTACAACCTCTAATTCTTAGCCTCAGATTTCTGTATCTGTTTTGTTATCATTTTATTACACATTATTAATTAGAAAAACTTACAAAGTTCTGTGGTGGTTTAAGGTCGTGTGAGGTAGGAGCACGCTCCAATGTGAGCGTAGTAGTAGCCGTGGCTAGCACCTTTCCACCTTGCAGCTCCACTGTCTGTTACACAAACAATAAAGTCATAAAACATTTGTTAAAGAGATAGGAAACAGTATAATTGCAGTCAGATATATATAACTGAAGCTTCAGAAGCACTACCTTACCATTATTACCATAAAATATTGAATCTAAAAAGCCAACCTTAGTAGCAGAAGAATTAGTAGATGAACGTCGTTTCTTGTTAGCCGGAGGATTCTCTCGTACAGCCCAGCTGCCACGGTGTGCCCAAGAGCGATGAGCTGATGCCATGGACTCATCTAAGTCATCCTCAGAACGGGAATACGACATTTCAGATAAGAGAGTTCCTAGGAGAAATAAGAATAAGAATTGAAATAGTAAAAATTCAACATCAAGAATTAGAAAATTTTTAGTTCATGGATCTGGTTAGTGTTGTGCCAGATTTGTAAATTATCATGCCATTTTTACATTTGTATACATATTTTGTAAGTGTTTGATTGTACTCTTTTTAACATGTGTTTTTTATGTGAGAGCACAAAAAAAAAGTATTTTCTTTTACTGACATATTTCAGAATACCAATTTTGAGAAAAGCTTTTATTACATGCTGTTTCCTTTATCTTTCATAATAACACAATACACATAAATTTCTGTAACTTCTTTACCATTGTTACCATAAATAATAAGTGGGTACCTGGTTAATAACCATTAAATTATTTAATTTATTAATAACTACTACATATAAAAAAAGTACACTACAGTACCTGTAGAATTAAGATCATGTGCTCCATTGATTTTGGTGTTAAGATCCTGCTGTGCAGTACCATTGAGGAAGGCCAGCTTATTGAGTGTTTCATCATTTAACTTAGTTCTATTATCTTTAAACAACAGATCTCGGGCCAAATCCAATAATTTATTCTAAAAAACAAATTAAATTTTAAATTCACATGAGCAGTGCCCTATAGGCTAATAAACCTTATTATTCATTTTAATTAAAGAGAAAGAATCACTTGATAATTACTCCTTGCTTGCTGGAAGTAAATGCTACAGATATTATAATAAGTTATAATAAAAAACTACCAGTAGTAACATATTATTATATTTGCTTGACTTGGTACCAAATTATGTTTACATAAATTAATACATTATTGGTACTTGTGTATCATCAAGTTAAACTTACCACTTCATTATATTTTTTTAACACAATATTTCGTTCCCTTTTCTCTCCATCAAGCATTTTACGAACATGTGCAAATTTAGCCTCCCATTTAGATAAAGTTCTCAACGCCTCATCCAGCTCTGTTTGAAGCCGAGCAGCCTCGGCTTCTGATGCGGCCCACTGTTGTCGTACCCATTCCGTTTGCTTTACATATGCTAGAAAACCTATAAAAAATAATTTGCTGACTTCATTACTTATTGAATGATATGACTTAATTTATTTATTGGTGGCAATTGGTCATAATACAACAAAAAAGATGCGATTAAAAGTATTTATTATGACAGATTCTATGAAATCTTCGAAAGTTTAAGGATATATATATTAGCGACACGGAAAAAGTGTCTTGATCGTTACAAATAACACATATGACCGGCTTACGAGAACATAACTTTCAATTTTAATAAAGTCTTGCTACGAAATAAGTACTTACATTCTTCAACTGTTCCATCATTTAGCACATTGTTTAAACGATTAATATCATCGAACTGGGCGGCTAACGATAGCGTCCACTTCGTCCCGCCTTCTAATCCATCAGAACTCATCTTAAAATATTATATGACCATTAATTTACCCGCTAACAATACAGACTTTTGTAATATATAACCATAACAGTCCAGAAACTTTCAGTAAATATTGTTTTACTGTAATTAAGTTATTAACCATCTGAAACTATTAATTATTTGAATCTTGAAGGTAAAGTGAAAATTAAAATAACGACCTCACAAAATATGTCAAAAAACAACCGTTGTTTACTTTTTAATGTATAACCATGACTAGGCTACAAGGCTATTGGCACAATCGTTGCTTGATGTTGCCAGTTGCTACATGCCAAATACCTAATGTGGTTGAAGAAGTTTTATCCTACTAATGCACTTAACTCACAAATGCACTGAATAGCGACAGAAGTAGGCAGGAACACATCATTTATATATTTTTAAATTAACAGACGAATACTCGCAGATGCGCGTAGATTTCCCAAATGTGAAGGTAACGTCAAATTCAATTTATGATAATGTCAATGTCAATGGGACAGCAAAAGAAATTTCAAATTTATATCAAATATCAATTGTAAATTTGCATTTGCAATGACGTTCCGCTGAGAGTGGTTGTCTTCGTGCGGGTCTTTATTGGCGTAATATTATTGTGAGACATTAATTGTTTCCGATTCTATCAGCGGCCGTTCGCTAATTTCTAGCAATGGCGGACGAAGATAATACCTGTGACGATGGCGGTGAATTGAAGGCGGGGCAGGCTTTCCGCTTACGAGGCCGAAAAGGTGCCCTGAAGAAGAAGAATGTTTACTTGGTGAAGGATCACAAGTTTATGCCAAGGTTCTTCAAGCAGCCGACGTTCTGTTCCCACTGCAAGGATTTCATATGGTGAGTGTAGTAGTTATTTTAGTTAAATATCATATCAAGGCACATTAAAAATAGTACGTGTTTACAATGGTAAGGTGAGATCAACGCACGGTTTCCTTAAGATAACATTTTGCCATGGTATAACAGAAGAGTCGTAAAATTAATTTGGTGCGTGGATGTGTACGTTAGCATCGTAGAAAACAATTAGTATTAACACGCTTGTTGTGAGACCTTTTATGATTTGGCGAACGACGAGTCGGTATTTTGTATTCTCTTGTTTAAATATTGAAAACATTATTTATTATATAATTTAATCTGATAAAAATCTGGAAAATAAATCAAAATCTTATTGGAAAAAATGTGACCCCTTTTACAATATGCTTATTTCACAAATTATCTGTTGTATTATACTAATTATATGTAACATTATTTTTTAGAATCAATGTATATTCTAGCAAACCATAGCAAATAATATTTCTGAATAATTTTAATGTATGCTCCAAATATTTGTAAAAACCAATGCATCGGCTCAATGTTCAAATCAGACTTATTTCTTATTAATCTTATTATTAAATCATATAATATTTAAGAAATCAGACCATAATGTTCATATATATTAATTAAGGATGGTAATCCTAATTTAATCAATGTTACTAATTATGTATTAAGATATAATTTCAATCCACATGGGAAAATTTCTTTGTTTGTTATATTCTTTAGAAACATCAATGTTGTACTATGCTATAATTGTAAGGGGTTTATTTTTAAACATGGGCCTATTAGCTATTCTTTATACATATTTTTTACTTGTAATTCATTTACCTAGTTTATCTTTAACAAATAAATGGAAGTTGGTATACCATTCATGGTTCACTACATTGATGTTGAAAGCAACCGTTAATGTTTTCATTCAACAGATTAAAACATATGTATATTTTTAATATATAAAAGGCAGTTATTATTTTGGTATAAGTATAGATTTTTGTTGGATCATAATTTGTTTTCAAATAACATGATAATGATAATTTTTGAGATTAATATAATAGCATATTGTGTAAAACTAGTATTTTATTAACGTCTAAGAAAGTTTTATAAGTTGAACCTAATTATACCAATTATATTTTACACTGACAAGTTCCGTATAAACTTCCGAGATGGGGCTACATTTGAGCATCCCCCACTTTCGAAATTAGTATCTCTCTCTAAGCAACCCACCCAATAGACTTGTTCTTGCATTTAATCGTAAATCACAGTAATAAAATAATTAAAGGTGTCACTTATTACTAAAATTTGAAATATAGTTATTTTACATGTATTTATAAGATGTTGCTCTAGTTACGCTAATTTATTATGGAACAAACGTGGAACAACAAAAAACAATTAAATGAATTTCTTTTTATTATAAAATCTCTAAAAACTGTTATTTTTTATGTATTCGTAACAATGTCAGTCTCAACATTTATCACATCTGTTGCATCTGTTCGCGATAATCCCGAATGAACGTTGTAGACTTTCAGTTAATTTTCACAGTAGAGACACCTAGCCTTTATATATTCCTTTTGTTTATTCCATTACACAAATAAGGTTAATTAATTAATGCGTTTATCATGCGACATACACGTAGTAATCCATTAGGTGGAGTGTGGACTGTTGTAATTCTTATCACACTTTATTTTAAATCATTAATAACATTTGTAAATTAAAGGAAAAATTCTTATTACTCAAAATACAGTATTATACTTACACAGTTGTAAGTTTTTGTTGCAGCTATGGGCGGCGGTTATCTGTTTATTCAATCTGCTCGTTAGCTTCTGTCCCATAAAAAGAAAACAAAACAGTAAATCATCAGTTTCTTTACTGTGATTGAAAACCTCATAGACGAATATGCAACAATGAACCGAGCGTGTCTTAGACCCCAAAATGAGATATGTCAAGCAGAGACGCTTGATCGCTTGTCCATAAATCAAAATTATTAGTGAAACAGATTTTAATCTGAAGCGATGTCCCTTTACAGGATACCGGCTCTGGATTATTATTATACTTATTCTAATCTGTATATGTGTTATTTTTTTCTGCTACTCTCTTATATTTCAAGTTTCAACTGCTATCTATAAATTTAAGAAACTATATTGCAACAGAGTTTTGTTAAAGCATCCGTTCTCTTACCTCTGCCGAAATCAGTTTCTCTAAAAATATTTCGATGTACATTCTAAAATAAAAATAAAACTTGAAACGAATATATTTTCTAAATGTCCGCGAAATTGTGAACAGCGAGCATGATATGTAGCTCTGTATGTCGTAATAGTGATATAAAAGATATGTGGTTAATATGACATATATTGCATAGTTTTTATTTATGACCGGTTTCGACAGATTTAGTATACCTGATATTTTTGGTAGTCATTCGTCTTATGTACTAAACTCGGTGAATTAAAATTAGTTCGGATTGCCAATGTTTCATTTAAAAATCTTTTATTAAAAAGATATTTGCTATATGTCGTAACTACTAAACCTCAAAGTATGTTTATAATTTCTGTGTTATCTTTCCGTTAATCTAACTGTATACGAATTACACTTATGTACGAATAACCTACGCAAAAAAGTACGAATTATTTTTAATGGAATATAAAGTATAACTAACTATTCAATGCTTTATAGATAGATTTAATAGAAATAATATAGGATAAGGTTGCTATTTTATTATACTTTTAAAGTAAAGGAGTTAAAAATACTTAATTGTCTGACCGCTAAATTAGACATTATCCAATTTAGAGTCGAAACCATTACAATGATATTACCATCAAAATTGTTGCCGTAATATTATCGAAATATGCGCAGGTCAATATATTGAAATAGGTTCATAGTTAATACAAATGTTTCCTTGGTTGCGGTTTTACCCAAGTTGAGTCATCAAGTTCCCTACTGTCGAAATCACACAAGCCTAATAAACACGTTATCTTAACTATGTAACTTGTGTACATAAGACAAGTGATAATTCTTTGAAGTTTATGGTTTTCTACAAATCGTAATATTTGGGAGTGCTTTTTCAGAATTAGTAGTCTATGAGTCCTGAAGGATCCAGGTCGTATTGGTTCAGAAACACTTAGACGGACAGGCTGGTTAATTGAAAAACGAATGTTTTTATGAATGTTACTATAATATTAGAGAAGTCAATAAAAAACTAGTAATTTCATTTTATGATACACAAGTACATGAAATACAATGAACCTATATGAAGAAATACATTAACGTAAGTAATTAGATATTTCAATTGAGGTTTCTTGATTAAATAGAGATAAAAGAACCTTATTTATACCCTCTGATATTAGATTTTTTCGTTTAGTATTTGTGTCATAATTACGTTTAGCCCGAAGGCTTCAGAATTTTCATCAATTTGCTTAATGAGGACGGACAGGGATGATTTTTTCGTGTTTTACTTCCCTTAATCTGAAATTTGTTATAATAAAACGTTGTACGAAATTTAATTATTAAAGAAAAATATTTACGTAAAATAATTATTTTATTTGAAAAGACTTCGATTACTTCCACAGGTTATCGTGTTTTTGCTTTTGTTTATTTAATGGGAAAGTCTAATTTGTCCATTGCTGGGTATTTTAGGTTATGAACCAATAGAACTTTGCAGGGAATTCACATTAGTTAAGGTTGGGTAAAAGATCAATATATATATTAAGATAAAGAGACCCGCCAACAACTTGACCATGGCGGTCAGACATAATTTTTTGGTTTCTTCTTGTGCACATGCCATTTTTTCATTATAAGTAAAGATTTTCTTAATAAACCTAATCATATAAAGTAATTTTTTATATAAAACAAACTAAGGATCCTCCCTCGAAAGGGACTTGTTTGTGTTATTTTTAAAATATTCTAAGAAAATCCAGTCAATATTAATATAAAGTGAATAGTGAATCCAGTTGAAATAAATTAAAAAAGATCAAAGATTAGTAGGGCCTATCGGTACGGAAAATTAGCTAACCTACAAAATATGCAATTTTATCTTCCATATATGTATGATTGGAAACGCAAAACTGCGGCGTTAGCTGACAGTATGCGAGTCGAAATCATTGTCTTTGATTAGGAACCAAAAATAAAGATCTATTTTTATGAGCAATATTCGTGCTGATAGTCCTTATCGTATGTCGTAAATGTTGTTTAATCACATCTTTAAATGAAAAATTTCAACTGAGCTGTTAGGTAGAGTAATATGCTAGATTTATATAAATTAATAAAAATATACACAAATGTTATGCATATCATGTTTTAATTAAAAACGTTGATCGTGTTTCAGGAAATTTAATATTATAGGTTTTTAGCAATACACAATTTTAATATTGCCATTGATACCTTATGTCAAAGCATTTTAGATATCTTGTTGCTAATTCGTTAGTAATCTGTAGGAGCAATCGAAAATACTTCTCCAGCTTAATCTAATGGTTCAAGTATTTAACGATCGCCTCGTGACTCTGCCCTTCCGATCTATCAATCACTGCGGCTCCTGATTGATTATCTCCAAAATGGTTTTATATAACATGATACAATATTTTATTGCGATAATTAATTACTTTAATCCGATTCTAGAAATATTAGCGATTTGAGGCAATGTTAACAAGGTATGTTTCGTTAATTGAGTATGTGTATATGTTTTATCACTTATAATATCATTATTAATTGTTATACATCGTTTATGTATGAATGCCTGTGTACGGCAGTTGTTACAGAACTTAGATCATTTTACTTTTATTCATACTAAAGTCGCACGTAAAACACTTATTAAGATGGGAAATTCAAGCTATCAGTACCAAAACAATTAAATTGAAATTTAAAACACTTTTTAGGTCATTCTGGACGCTCAGAGCACATCAACATTAAAGAAAACTATACATTTAAAACCAAAATTAATAAGTATTCTCGAATAAATCGCCTGATTATGCGTGGTAGCCTTCGACCGTGGCCTGCGCCTTTATCGTAAAGGCAGTACATATACATACATACCTGTAACATTTATACATACTTATCTGGAGCCGTAGCTTTTGATATACGAATTAACACTATACCTAAAACATACTCAGTAGATTTCAGTTAGATGAAAGGTTTTCAACTCGAAAGTGTCCGTGATTAAATGTCAGCGCCGAGTGCTCTTAATGTGAATGTGTGCATCTTGATGTATGAGATATGTATGAAACATATTTAGAATTTAAATTATTCCGTTTTAGCGTGTTTCAGTTGATTCTTGACGTTTCTTAAAGGTTATTTTGATCTCTGTTATAAGTTTGTATTGTACGATCTTTGTATTTTGTACTTGGGTGTGTAAAGTTGATACTAGGAAAAACGTTTTTAGAGGTTAGCAAAAAAAATCCCATATGAACAAATGTTGTTATTTTTTAAGTGAATATAGCATCAATATTTACAGTACAAAAATATGATTTTCTTTGCTGTATCTATTGGGCTTTGCATACTAATAAAGGAGTGTTATAGTCCGAGAGCTGGCACCAATTTTTGGGTAGGTATTTGAGGCAAGCTGAAAACTTGTCACATACATCTCCTATTATATTCCAACACGGAATTGCAGACCTGGCTGGTGAGTAGCGGGGCTAAATCAGGGGCTTAAAATAAGATCATTTTATCTGATAATATTTCTTTTCATTTGAAAGTTCGTAATTATTTTGTCGTATTAACTCGCTTCTACGAAAGTACATATCATATTTTTATGGTAGGGGAGCCCACGATGCTAAATGGGGATTTACTCGAGCGTCGTAGAGACCTATTGGGATACAAAGCTTAGATAAAAAGAAGAAAAAAATGTTATATGATAAATTCCTTTTCATCGGTGGGGGAAGCGGCTATAGATAGTTAAATATGTAAAAAAAAACTGTTGCATGGACATCCTCGAGCGCGTCAGATATTGATAGCATCTATGCCCTACGTATTTTTAATAATGTACGTATGTTAATCTGATCGTTTGCATGATGCGGGTGGTTGTATTTAAGGGTTGAAAATTAAAAAAAAAAAAAATTTATCGAGCGCGTCAGATTTTCTAAGGGAGTGTTAAGTGCACCAAAAAAAATCTCTCATTCACTAATCTGACGATTTCGATGGGACGCAAACCCACAGCCATTTTCTTAATTTGCAAAAAAAAAATCGCAATTTTGAAATACTCAAGCGCGTCAGATTAAGATATATGTGGTTCATCTTTATGTTCTAAACGTACTGTCTCATAATCTGACGATTATCTAGAGGGATTCGCCTGATCTGACAAAAAAAAAATAGAAAAACGGTTCACCTAAAGGGCCATCCCTGCAACTTCCCGCTAATTCCATTCCTGGGCGCTTAAAATTGATATTTTGAGCTCGCTGAGTTCAAAGAAATAACATTTCTATGCATTTGAGCTCTCCCAGCTCGAAAGTCTGATAGAAGTTTCATAGAACACTATTTTTGGAATTTTCAAACCGCAATAACTTTTGAATGGATCAAGCAATTTTCACGCGGTTGGCGGCATTCGACGCAGTTTTATCATTCTCATAAGTAATTTTGCAATTTTAATTGATCGAACCACAAATTTCGGAGTAATCCCGAAAAAACACTTTTTCGGGTTTCTTTCATGTACGATATCTCTCGAACGAATCAACCGCTTTTGACCAGCTTGGTGGCGATCGACGTGGTTTTTCAAGCTCAAAGGCGGATTAGTTTTTGAAGTTGATCGATAAAGAAACCACTTAAAAAAAAAATATTTCTTATTTTTTTAAGATTTTTCAAAATTTCTCAAAATCTATCGGTCCGAATCGGTTCAAATTCACAGGAAATGTAATTTTGAGGGAAATATTTTGAACGCCGTTTAGTAGATTCCGATCGGTTTAAGGAAATGTAGGCATCACGCAGCTGCACGCATTTAACTTTATCGACGAATTTTTGTTATTTCGGCTTGCGGAAATCGTCAGATTATATATTTTTCATTATTCTG